TGAAAATATAGGGGGTGCTTAACTACGTTCATTCTGTATATTTCAACAATGCACACTTGGATGTTCACTTGACTAGCTTAGTGAATAAACACGACATGTTTGCACCACCTTGCATGAATGAATACGCACTCCGAACAAACGTATTCAGTTTCTGCTTCTCGAGGTTTTCGTCCGTTACCATAAATGTTCTTTTGTTTTGTTTGCACAGTAAAGAAAATTTACTGATTTAGTTATTGTGTGTTTGTGTCCTTCGCTTGTCCGACATTGCTGTTACTATAATTTACTTCTCGTTTAATTTAACAAGTAGCCTATAATAACCTTATCGTTCTCAATGACTCCTCATACTGTTCATAATATTGGCATCACATGAGTAGTCAAGAGTAACTTTAACACACTATAAATTAACTTCTTGAATAGTAATTTTTTAAACGAATACATACATAGCATATTTAGTACTGATATCCCTGAAAATAAACTCCCGGGCAAAAAAGAGTTATCACCAACTTCACTTGACCAAACAATAGAAACAAAGATGTGTGTAATTGTTTGACAAACTGAATTCATTTTCCATTAGTTTGACTGAAAATTCATTGTAATGATGGTCTTGCATGTGTCGCAATTCATAAAGAAAGAGTCATTAAGAAATTGTACAAATCAGAGTTCATTTTTAAAAAATGCACAAAGAGTGACATAATGAGACAGGAGTCGGGGGACACGTCACCAACAGGGAGTGTTACCACCCTGGCATCCATACACGCCATCAGTCGGCGGGTGACATCAGCAGGAATCCTGTCAAGTCCAAGAGAGTCTGTTCAAGTTCCTGTCGGTTCGCTGTCTCAGCTGATGATCAAGGTGACCCCAGAGATTTCAATGGGGTTCATGTCTGGAGAACCCGCTGACTAAGGCAATATGTTGACGTTGTGCACATTTTTTCTAACAATTCTGGCGATGTGAGGCCTTGCGTTGTCGTGCTGCAAAATGGCTACTTTTGGCTGTTGTGGAATAGAGTTCTCAACACTTCATACCGACGTACAGCTCGTGGCCATTGCAGTCTATGTTGACGGTGTAGACGTGTCAAGACCATTTCACGGAAGGGGCGGTGGACTCGCATATACCAGCCATACTAAGTCGTCGAAAGACTGTTCGTCTGCTGATGGCGTGTCCTAGTGCTACCGCTCTCACGAATCTGCATGTTCTGGGCGTAGATCTGCCGGGTGTAGCGGTCTTCGGCCGGTGTCGTGACTCTTGGTCTTCCCGATCTTGAGCGGTCTTGGGTCTGGCCTGTTTGCTGGTAGCGGTTTGAATTTGCTGATGGTGGCCTGGCAGCAGCTGAAGGTCCTTGCCAGCTGACGTTGTGAAGCCCCCATATTGGCCATACTGATCGTTCTGTCTTGCTGCGCATGCGTAAATCTTGGCATGTTCGTGGTAGGGTTTGGGTTACTGCATGCTTGCGCTGACTAACGTCGATATTTATGCCACAATCAGGCATGTGCATTTAAACCAATGTCCCAGAATTAAGTTTTTCACGTTTTGAAAAATGCAGGATTCGTACTACTTTTTCGGACAACGGCATCTTGCGTTTTGGCACATGTTTTCTGCTTGGTTTTGTTTTATAAAATTACTTTAAAAGTGATAACTTCCTTTTGTCCGGTAGTTTGTGTTTAAAACAATATATATTTGATAATAAAATGTCTTTTCCCATATTTATGCATACGTTTTATTGTATGAGACTGCAGCATTCTTTCCGTGGCCATCCCCTTACTTGAGTGAGTGACACTGAAACCATTTCAGCTTGTGTTGAAACGAATGTATTGCGTGGTATATGTCAGTGGGTTTTCATCTCTATGTTTGACACAGGATGCTCTACATGGAACTGATTATATCGGCCAGGATGCAAGTTTATCACCACAATAGAATGCCCCGTGCAGGAAATCGGTCAACACGAAACTGGAAACACCGACGATATAAACTCTTAGGGGAACCTGAATTTTCAATTTGGATATAGGAAGCTGACGCGTTAACAAACATTTCAAACACAGACATCTTATGAACGCACCACCATTTCTCTTTATCACCACCCCTAAACACAACGCATGGGATGCACGTGCACAACGCAGTAGCCCCATACATGTGCAATGGGTGTCATTCTTGATTTTGACAGTTTTCAAGAAGGTCGATAGATCACTGTAGGCCATTGATTTTGACAATCACCTTGCATCACACTGTTGTTAGTGTTTGTTTCTAGCCGTTTTGTTTTGATCGAAAATGAAAATCGTACACATGCAAATGTCACGTCATACACCAATCATCTTTCAAGAGCAATTACTGTACCAACAACTATGGTCATAGGACGTGCAAATGTTGATGCACTCTCAAAACATTCATTATTATCACATCAACAATGATTGACTCCGACATATCTCTCAATTTTTTCATTAGTAAATTCAAAATATAGTTCTACTTTTTTAAAGAGTATATATACGAGGAAAGCCTGTTAGACTGTGTCCACGACAAAGACGTAGAACTTTGTAACCAGTCATCAGTTCTCGACCGAGGAATATTCGGAGAAACGCGAATCAAATACCACTGCTTACAAATACAATTTTCTAATAACCATGAAATATACACCATTATCTGTATCAACAACAAATGTCTACATGTGTTATCCATCGTGTTTATCAAGATAAATCAAACCAAGTTGGAAGGTGGCAAACTTACGAAACCGTGAATGCATGTCGGCAGGGATTACTTACACAGTATTACAACCTCGATTAACCAGTGTATTATATACTAGTATACAATCCGTTGTGATAGACACACAACGGAGAGCGAATACACTAGTTAATCCAAGATAACACTATTCCTAATTAGCAACTATCCTTGTTATAATCATTAGAATATCAATATATAGTGAAGGTATAAGTGAGTGTATTTATGTTGTTTTACGCCACAAGTAGTTTTACATCTTTTTTATCATGAATGTGTCTTAAGAGGCGATTATAGGGATCGGATAGTCAGACTGGCTGACATGGTTGACAGATGTCATCGTATCCCAAATCCGTAGATCGACGCTCAGACTCAATTATTTACAGACCGCAGCCATGTACCTGGAATATTGCTGAGTGCGGCGTTAAAAAACAAACAAATCAAACAATTTTATCACAACAGCCTATTTCATTACGCGCGCCTATAGCCGGATACAATGCCCGTTTCCGTCTTGTAGGCTGATCCCAGTTAAACACGACGCCAAGCAAGGAGTACTGAGGATCTACTTCAATCAGAAAACAGGTGGACAGTCAACAACAAACATTACGTACATTATCACACACTTCCATTTGAAGTATGTAAATCATTCATACTTCAGACGAAACTATCGAACATTCTCTGGCGCCCACGTGTTATACCTCTCAGTCTAATCTGTAGAACTCCACTAATTTTTATTGTGATGGGACTCATCATCTGGATGTCACCGTCTCTGTTATGGTTCATTAAGTGCCATGTAATCAAGTTCAAATGGTTTGTTGGTTGGGCTTTCTTACGCCACATTCAGCAATATTCCAGCTATATGGCAACGGTCTGTAAATAATCGAGTTTGGACAAGACAATCCAGTGATCAACACCATGAGTGAGTTTAGTTTTACGCTGCACTCAGCACTATTCCAGGTATATGGCGGTGGTCTGTAAATAATCGAGTCTGGACCAGACAATCCAGTGATCAACAGCATGAGCATCGATCTACGTAATTGGGAACCGATGACATGTGTCAACCATGCAAGTCAGCGAGCCTGACCATCCGATCCCGTTAGTCGCCTCTTACGAAAGCGTGGGTTACTGAAAATCAATATTCTAACCCGGATCTTCACGGGTTTCAACACCATGAGCATCGATCAACCACGTTAGCGAGCGTGACCACCCGATCCCGTTAGTCGCCTCTTCAAGATGAAATGGAAATCTATTATAGCCCAACATCGACTTCTGGAAATTACGCACTATCTATACGGAACTAATATTTTTTGCAAACGTACTTGTTTATGTTTTTTGTGAAAAACAAGTAATGAAGAATATGTTTTGTATCAGTGTGTTCTATTCTTTACAATAGCCGTAGCTAATGTTTTCGGATCGCCCAGCGACATTTATCAGAGACTTGTTATGAATATGGAATTATGATTACATGAAACTCATTGAAAATGGATAGACGGTGGGGTAGCTTCGTGTTTAAAGCATTGGTTCATAATATCGAGGTTTAAAGTTCAATACCACACAAGAGCACACAGTGTTAAGCCTAGTCTGTGTAACAGTCCCTGAACCACATTATTTTCCCTACTGCCTAGCCCTCTGCAGTGCTAAAGCTCTAAATAAAGCAAGTCTAGATTTCCTCAGGTTCAGGAATCTCTGGTCTCCCTGGGGCTCCTTTTCTATTTAAATGGGCTTGTTTGCTACAATCAAACTTATATATATTCAGAGACTAAGCATTAGTCTATGTTAAGCCCATTTCTGGTATTTCCACCCTGATACGGCTGGGGAAAAAAAGCTAGAAGCGGCGATCACTCTAACTCACTCACCCATTCACGGAATGTGGCTGTTCTACATGAGGTCCAAGAACTACACATCAGTTTCCGTTGAAGGTGAAAGCCTGCATGCTGAGCTTAATTTACTTGTAATCAACTGACATCAATTTGCTGAGCCTAATTTACTTAGCGTACATTACAGATGGCCACACCTGTTGCAGCAACAATTTCCTGATTAAAATCAATGCATGTGTGAAGGCGATGAATCTTAAAGGTTTACTCACCAGCTTGATCTTGACCTGTACAGATATCCTCAGGACTATATTTCACAGAGCCATGTTCAGAAGGATCCTCCGTTTGGCGATTCTTGTGTGGCTGTGTGTCATTGTTGCTTTTGATTTCTATGTTTGGAATAGGATTTCCAACAAGGAACTAGAGCTAAATATGAAACACCAATTATATAGTCTGACTCAGACATATGTTGACTTCCCCATGCAAGAAGAGGTTAGGTCACCATTTGTTAGAAGCGCTGCCATTGTGAGTACTGGGTGTGAGAATATCTGTCGTGGTAAAGGACCGATAGATCTACTATACATTGTCCATTCTGCTCCAAACAATTTCAAATTTCGGACAAACATACGAAAAACCTTTGCAAATCAAACATTCTTTCCTCACCATGAAATAAGAATAGTTTTCCTTCTTGGGAAACCGGAGACTGAAGTGACGCAGTTACATATAATACAAGAGCAGACGACATACGGTGATGTCGTTCAAGGATCGTTTCAAGACTCGTACCGAAATCTTACCCTCAAAGCTGTGTTAGGTCTGAAGTGGGTCAGTGAAAACTGCCCAAATGTTTCATTTGTAGTGAAGATAGACGATGACACCTTTGTACAGACCTTCAGTATATTAGAACAATATTTGCCTCGCTACAAGAAGGGCAAGAAGTTGATATTTTGCAACGTGTGGAAAAAGGGTTACATGACCATTCGGAGACAAGGAAAATGGAACGTAGCAGACGACGAAATGAAAGGATATGACACTTTTCCTTGGAAATACTGCAGCGGTTTTGTCGTGATGATGACTGGAGACTTACTGCCATTGTTGTACAAAGCTTCTCTTTCTGTGCCCATACTGTGGGTGGACGATGTGTACATAACAGGGATATTAGTGTCCAGGATAAAACATGTCAAGTTCGTGAACGTGGATCTAAACCTGCATAGCTCGTTAAAAGCACCGGTTATCCAAAAGTGTTTCAGTCGACCCGATTGTCGGCTTCTCTTTGGTGGATCGAAATCTCTTAATTTGGAAAAACTGTGGAAAATGGTTCTGAAGAGTCGCAATGAACAACACAGAGGAAAGACGCAACGCCACCGTTTGCCCTATAAAAGGGTCTGACTGTAATATGGAAACACATCTGGGTGAAAAGGCATGGAGTGAGTGAGCGAGTTTAGTTTTACTCCGCTTTTAGCAATATTCCAGCAATATCACGGCAGGGGACACCAGAAATGGGCTTCACACATTGTGCCCATGTGGGTAATCGAACTGGATGTTCGGTCTGACGAGCGAACCACTATGCTACCAATCGCCCAAAATAGGCATTAGGGGCTAATTTATTAAAAGTATTGAAAATCAAAAATGAAATTGTAGTTATGGTAAGGTAGATATGGTTTCGTCTTGAAAAAAAGTGTGGGGGCTAAGTCCCCGTTCCTACGCCCCTGATGTTCTGTTTGAAAGAGAAGAGGCACTGTATTGGTACTAAATAGATTCATTATGTACAATTACAAGTTTTCTGTTTGATAGTTTGTTTCTTGAAATCTCACATCTCAACATGACTGCTACCTGTATACAATGGAGTATGGACCAGCCAAACCAGCGATTGATATGAGTAACGATCCAAAACAATAACACAAAATTAACCAAGAAACCCCAATTCATATACCTTTATCCAAATAGCTGGGGACTTCCTAACAGGAAATCCCTACTAAGGCTACAAGTGTAAGAAACATCACATAGATTTGACATAGTTGCATGAATTCAAAAGTGAACAGTCAAAAAATTGTTTTCAGAAAGTATCCACACCTTGCAGCCATTGTGGCCATCCAATCACCAGCATGGGTGCCTCTATTTTTATGTTTAGAAAAAGGAAACCTGCTCTCCCTCATTTATCTGTGTATGCTGTATATCAGCAGATTAAAAGAATGATATGACACATGCTTAGTTTTATATATTTATTTTGTAATAAATACAAATTATGAAACATATCCATGGGAAAGGACCAGAAAACATGCACCTTGATGTGAAGCAGGCATATCAACAGTACAGGGACTGATAATGATGGAGTGAAGCTCAAGCGCAAAGTGTCACTTTCATTTGAATGTTGTTGTCAACTTTACATCAGACTGTACAGGCATGTACAACCAACTGTTCACATTCAAGACGGTGATTGTTTACACAACGCAAGTGTGAAATGTGTTCATAATTGTAAAACACAGGTCTCAACAGGAACCTCACAATTCAACACCATGTCTCCCAAGCGTCCCAAGCGTAGCAGCAGTTTCCAAATACATAACGGCAGGCTTACAGATGTGTGCATCATGTTCACGAGATCATATTCGACATAGAGTCGAGGACATTGGTTTTGTGGTCAGATGGGTTAGCCCGGGCCTCATAAGTACAGATTGTAACCTCGTGGCGGCGAGCCTGCAAGGATAAAACTCATATAACAGTATACTCGGGCAGTCAGTTATTTTACATAGGCACTCATCCAGAAGATCTCATTTATAATACATAGTTAGAGCCTTATTAGTTACCATGTCAAAGTGTTAACAAAGTTACCGTAGTCGAACCAATCGAAAACACTCTGCCAACTCCAAACTTACTAGCTCTGATTAATCTCCATGTTGCTGACTGACATGGTAACAAATACAATCTTTTAAGGTCTTTTAACATGACTGGTGATTGAACCACTAACCTTCTGTCCTCTGGCAGGTGCTCTCTCCACAATGCCACTGAGGCAGGTTATGAATATTTTGTAGTGTTTACTTCTAATTCTACCCTTGGTACAAATATATACATGAATTACCCATCCTTGTCAAATTTGAACTAAACATACAATTCATAGTCAAATTTGGTTAATAATTTGAACAACCTACCCTGACTTATTTAAATGCTTGTTTCACGATAAAATAAAATTCGAGTCATAGACATTTCATTTCAGTTTATGTTAAAAAGAAATTTAAATACGTTCTCTTTATTAATATTACCTGAGTGAAATCTCCTCTCAGACCAATGTAATACACAAGAGTGGAGTCATTCCCAAAGTTACCGGGGAAATGTATGGTTAGGTGTTCAACACTGTTGAATCTTGCAGCCCTGAAATATGTATGGAAAGTAGTGAATAACAGCTATGAACATATGAATACAAGGAATTAGATCTACTGTATGTATACTAAGTTCAGATTGTCTCTATTTTTGCTGAGAGACATTCCATGTTTTTAATTTGTGTCCCTCACCGTGATATTTCAGGAATATAGTTAAATGCTGGATCACACCATAGTCACTCACTCCATTTTTCTCATTTTGCGATTAGCTTAATATTAATATATTTTCTGCACCAACAACAAGAACAAAAGTCTAATACATGCAATTGGGACAAAGTATGATGTAACACCTACATGCCAAAGTTAAGTTCCTGTTTGGCATAGATGTTACATCATCAAATATGCATATAGAGAGAATACATGAACACAGTCTTAACACTATCAAAAATGAAATATTGCATAAAATAGAAAATATTGTTTGGTCCACTATGATCTAAATAAAGACTTATCTGTACCAAAACGGTTGAGCAATGACAAATGTTCAATATGGATGCTGCGGCAGCCCTATTAAAATTTGTATAGGAACTTTGAACAAATTCAGGTGTCATCATTAGTGAAAACATCTATCTATGAAGTATCAGCCTTACTGGCCTTGAAAAAGACCAGAGTTATCTGACATCAGACAAACAGGTCATGTTACAAGTTTGCTTGACTTGAGCTAACAGTTCTGAGAGAAAATTCCCAAATCACATCCAGAAGTGGTCTTCATGAAAAAAACACCTACAGTGTATTTAAACCTTATCAGTGATAACTTACTTTGTTGCATATTCTAACATCCCCTCAGGGTCTGGGTGTAGTTCATACTCTTGCTCTGCTTCGATGCTGACATCATCAAAGGTCATCCCTGGACGATTCTTGAAACTACAGTAATTAATTATGTAATGAGTGTTTAAAATAATCAAAAGATCGTGTATATTTCATCTCTCTGCATACATATAAACTTCTAGTGGCAACAAATACATCTTTTTCGTCAGTGAAAGTATATCATGTTTTTTAACATATAATACATTCTCATAACAAGTGCAAAGAGTTGAAATTTACCAAATGGTATACAAGCGGTATTCCACAAGGAAATAGTCTTTCCTGAATTTTACTCATATCAGACCAGTACAATAAACAAACAAAAATAAATATGATTAGTCTGGAATGTGTTCTAAAATAACTCAATAACTTTGACAAAGACAGGAAACTGAGTGTTTGTGTGAACCATATGCTATTCCTTTGAGATATATCAACTTACAGTCTCATTCTTGAAGGATGACTGTCGTCTTGTCCACCAATGACAATAACCCCTTTCAATTTTACACTTCCAGTGAATCTGAATCAACAAAACAAAAGATATATTTGATAATTTTCCCTGTTGAAACAACGGTACACTGTACAGTATAACTTCTAATCATTTTATGGGTTGAATGCTATTCAGGATTTAAACACACACTCTTTGAGTAAGGCATCAAATTGCCAGCACACAAAAGTCAGCTATCCTCTCAGAAACTTTAATTACATGTGACCACTTTCCTTAGAGCTGCTTTACCAACTTTTAACAATACTGGCAGCTTAACTAGGTAACATATATGTCCTTTATTTTCAACATATTCAATTACTAATGCACTGAGTGCAGCAGGTAATGAAAAGTCTTTGATTAACAATACAAAATATTCAAATATGTTTCCAATCCATATTTAATACCAGACATGGCAAATATATATATGATTAATGTATATCAATCATAAAATATATGGGGTAATACAGAACGCTCAACATACATGATACTGGACAGTGGACACCATGATTGTGGCTATTTATCAGTGATCATAGTCCTTCCCACTACATGAAATACCAAGATCCATAGCCTATTGATGAGTATGAGACTGTTCACTAAAATGCAGAATGCTAGAAGGTTTTCTTACGGTATGTTGAAAATTAATTCTTCATCAACATCACTTTCAACATACTGAAATAGAAAAACAAATAACTTTACAAAATTTAATCAATACAAATCGAATAAAGATATAAATAAATATATATGTTGTGGGTTTCATCCTAATCATGACTTTTCCACACTTGTCTACTGTTTGTGCCAATCTCTGTGTGCACAGTGCAATTATTATACAATTATTATACATATAACAACTTTCTACTCAAATGGTTATCACTTGGTCCTAGCATCTGTACAAACATTTGCACTAAAAAAATACAGTAGTTGAAATCCATAAATCAACTCTGTCTTCATCGGTGAGAAATAATAATATTACATTTAAAAATACACCTGTGTTTCATGTAGAAAGTTATAAAAAAACGACACACTAGAGCAAAAGGCATCAGTGTTGACATAATTGAACAATGTTAATGAAAATAACAACGAAACAGAAACAAATGAAATCTTTTCATACATATTTTTGTGAAAACCATAGATATATAGATAATTATGACATTGTCGAAGGGAGGCCATCGTATGACGACCGCAAGATTATCTCCCTTTAATAAATCACACTGGAACAGTCTAGAACCTTGTCCTTGTCCAGTCTTTGATCCCATGGCTTGAAGATGGTCCTGCCCGATCCATCCAGTGTTTCATTTAAACATTCCACACGTTCTGTGTCGATCTTTGTGTAAAGACTGAACTGAGCTGCCATTTCTGATTCTGAAGGATGGTCATGTCCACCTCCGCAGTCATGGCCGTGTCCATGTCCATGTCCGTGCCCTGACATTATGAACTATCAAACCCAAATACCTTCAGGGGCGATTTACAATCGAAAATTAAAAGATGGATGTACCCTAGGAGAGGGAAACGGACAATACTGACAGAAATCACAGCCCCAAACTTGCTGACATGCCTTCCGGAAGAGTCTCCCTAACACCGTCTTTTTGACAGGAGAGTTCCACATACGATAAACCCGCACCAGCGCGACTCAGTTACGCTGGCGGGGTCGTTCTCGGCACGGGTTCAACAGATGTATTCACCGGATACGTTTCTGTAAGCCCCAGTACCGATCGAAAGTCACTTGGCTACAGCCATGATCAACAACTTTTGTGTGTTTGACAATGCCTCAATTAAAATGTTTATACTTCAATGGGCTGCATATATACAATATTTTAATCTGTTTAATTATTATATCATATGATAAAGATGACATAGGATTCGTTTCATATTGTTTATCAAGTTTTGTATTTAGTTTTGGTTACGACACAAGACTCTAACACTGTACTTCAAATGTGTAACTATAATTTTAAAATATGTGTTTTACTCACCATATTTGTTAACTGCATAATATTTTTTTTTTCTGTTCAGTGTAAGCAATTTTAACATCACTCCAGTTAATGTTAACATGGAATAAACATGTGTGGCTATACTAAACTGTTAACATGTGATAACCCAAGTTTCACCTAATCCCTTCTCTTTGGCTGCTGTTACTGGCAAGCGAACAGTTATCACCACGTAACAGTTATTGCCAATACATCAGTATCACACGTGCACAGTTCCGGTCAATTACAATTCCGGTATTTTTTTCCTTCGGTATTTGACAACAATAGAGGACAGAAAAAGAAAATTCTTCACGGCAAGTAACATAAGAGAAATTTATAGATAAAGTTATGAACCCTTAAAACATTTATAACTTAGTTGGGGGGATGTCCCACGACCTATATAATAGCAAGTTGAAGTTCACAATTAAGTCATTAACTGTTTCATTCCCTATCATTCTACTGTAAAAGAAACACTCAAATAGTCACACAATCAATTATTCGAGGTTACTGTATGATATCAATATATATTATTTCACGAATGGCATGATAAATGCTGAATGGCGACAACTGTTACAGTTAGTGGTGAGAAAACATCTATTTATACTGCCATGATTCCCTTCCGCCGCATTATATGAAAACATGATCGGCAGCAGTGAACAGGCTGGACACATTGGTGAATAGCTAATTTAGTATCATAAGTAATTTTGTTTCATTAATTTAACTAACGGCAGAGTAATTTTGTAAATACCGCTAAAATATGGTGAAAACAGTTCCCTGGCCAGTACAGCAGTAGGAGGTGGAATAGCCTTGTGGTTTTAATTTCCGCTTGTGACATGAAGATCCAGGTTCAATTCCCCACATGGGTACGAAGTTTGATGCCCATTTCTGGTGTCCCTCCTTGATATTGCTAAAAATGGCGTAAAACCAAACTCACTGTCATGGCAGTAGGGGAGGTGGGGGTAGCCTTGTGGTTCAAGTGTTCATTGTCATGCCAAAAGCCCGGGTTTGATTCCCTAAACACACTCAGCCGGGGTTTGAGTGTGTGTGAAACCCCTTCCTGGTGTCACCCGTCATGACATTTCTTGCATACTGATAAAACTGGAGTAAAACCAATTTGCTCAATATTAATGTTATAGGGAAAATCAATGTGATGTGTAAACCATGTGCAGATGTTTGGGAAACTGCCTGTTGTACAAATGCAATGAGTGCAACATAACAATGTCTATCTTGATTCCAGAGCTTATTTAAGTTCATGGAGGTAGAGGTAAAACAAAATAATTTTGATATTTCTATTATATTTACTGTTAACTGGTTCATAAACACTTGTCAATTCTCGCCTTCATAAGGTTACAAGGCAGCCAATATAAATTTGAGTCTAGGCCTGTCATGACACCTGTTCAATAGTATGAGGAAAATTCCATGGCACTGGTGATAGGTCAAGGCCACACACTCAGTCATGTTGCACACTGTCACCATCTGGTTGGTTCTTACAACAGACACCTGAAAATGTCAACCTGTCCTGGAGTAACCATGGAGATGGATGAAGGGATGATTAAAAAATACATTTGACAAATTATTCACATTTATTTCAATTTTTGAAACATGTAATGTGGAAAGCATGTCATCTGATCCTTGAAATACCAGTACTTTGCTATACACGTACATATTTTCCAAAATAGAAACAATTCAGCAACATTCATTTTATTGTAGTCCTCATCATTTTGAGAGGTACCATTAAATCAATAATACAGCATTACTGAAAAATAACAAATGATAAGAAATGGGAGTTGTGTTATTTATTTACATTGATTCTGTTCCAAGTATCAGGCTAGACACAGTTGCTATTTCTTTTTGATACTTTCGTGCAGAGAACCAGTCCAGAAACATCCCACCATACTATCACAACAATACTCAACACTGCAAACTGCTCACTGCTCATACTGCCTAACTTTGTTGAAAACCATCCTATCTAAGCCCCTTTCCATAAAGTGATCAAGTGCTACTTGAATTCGAACATACATGTACTTCAACATTGCCTCATGATAGTCACAGTGCTAAAATACTTTGTCTAACAGGGCTCTGGTAGGATGGATGCTGGGATGTTCACATATCCAGGTTACTTACTTACACCCAATTAGGATTCTATACACACGATGATACAAGAGTTCCATTGTTTATAAAACTTGTACAGAACACCAGGGCTCCAGATAACTTTTGGGGATGTGAGTGTACTTACACATCCTATTGCAAGTGGAGGTGTACTGAGAATTTTGAAGGAGTACTGACATGTTTTTGTGTGAGCGAGTTGGTGACGTGGTTTGTCTGGACGATTCATCGATCACTATTGCCAACCATGTATTTGTATTTGAAGACGCGTGAGAAATAACTGAGCGACCGTGTGATGCACGAAATGTCAGGTCCGACTGGATATAAATAGGAACAGTGTAGTTTTTAGCCTATCGAAAAATAGTGACGCATATCGTTGCATGGCAACGCAAGTGATTCCTACTGTCGGGGTTTCCTCAAGTGTCAAATCGTGTTTCGCAAAAAGAAACTTGACAAGTATTTGTCCGAAATAGATTTCCATTTGCACGATACGCACGAAAATTAAATGTTAGACGTACAAAGGTATTTATGTGGGTACACGATACGCTTGAAATCTTATATTATGTCGTACTTAATTGATTTTGAGGCGTACATTACGCCTGTACGCCCCTTATCCGTAGCCCTGGAACACATATTTTCAAATTGTTGATTCCTTGATGCTACAAATGACAAATGATTTCAAAATGCATTACCATCCAAATGGACAATGAGTACGTGTAGTTGCTTCTGTACATCTGTAATAGGCATATATTTATTGATGTCATTCAAGTCATGTCCTTGAAATTCATTAAGCAGATTCTAAATATTTGACCATCTCTTGATACTCATTGATTACATCAAGATGGGTGAATTTGTTTGGCATGTGATTGAAGATGCGGACCAGGTTGAACCTCTCCCCAGATGTTCTGTTGTAGTACATTGTCATTTGCCGCACAAGGTTTATTGCATCCTTTCTTTTCTGAAAAAAAGTAATTTAAACAAATTATGTTTTACCTTAAAAATAAACAAGAAGACAAAGTCATCAATATCCCCCGCAATGGCAAAATACTCTTCATGATTATGTCTACGAGTTATGATTATGTCAAATATTTAGGTGTGTATATAGAAAAGTGGAAGGAGAGTATTGAAAGGTTTTTAAAGTTCTGCTCCAGAAAGGAGCACTATCACCAATTTCAGGCTAAGTCAAACTTGTTGCCATGGAAACGCCAAAAATATTTTATTCAGAATTCCAAAACTACCAAAAGGCACCAGTACACTACCAGATCTATCTCTGTGCCAAGTTTGGTGAAGAAATGGTGAACAGTTTTAGAGTTCAGCTCCGGAAAAGAGCACTACCACAATTTCAGGCTAAGTCAAACTTGTTGCCATGGAAATGCCAAAAATATTTTATTCAGAATTCCAAAACTACCAAAAGGCACCAGTACACCACCAGATCTATCTATGTGCCAAGTTTGGTGATGAAATATTGAACGGTTTTAGAGTTATCCTCCGGAAAAGAGCACTACCACCAATTTCAGTCTAAGTCGAACTTGTTGCCATGGAAACGCCAAAAATATTTTATTCAGAATTCCAAAACTACCGAAAGGCACCAGTACACTACCAGATCTATCTATGTGCCAAGTTTGGTGAAGAAACATTGAAGGGTTCTAGAGTTATGCTCCGGAAAAGACAAATGTGCACGGACGCATGGACGGACGCACGGACGGAGTCCATTTTAATACCCCCCGCAAAACGCTTTGCGGGGGATAAAAACAAACTGATGTGACACATTTCACTTAGCTTATGTGAACCCTAAAACTAAAAGAGTTGTTTTGAAACTATAAAGTTGACTTGCTGCTGGTGCAAATGCCCCACTGTTACTGACAGTTTGTCAAAACGTTTGTGTGTGTGTTGTTTAATGCCACAAGCAGCAATATTCCAGCTACGACATAGCAGCCTGTAAATAGGCTGGACAAAACAAATCAATGATTGACATCACACAATCAGATATGTCACCATGTCCTACAACCCATTTCATTTAGTTTCACAAACACAGTTCCAAGTTCTAACCTACCAAAAAAGCATTTTTGATCATTTTTTCATGTCTTTGAAAAGAGAAATTAGTCCTAATCTAGGGTAAGTAAGGATGTGGGCTCAGATAGCTTGAAGTCTCTGGGTGATTGACTATTGAAAAAGAGACCCTACATTTTCTAAGCAATTTTGATCTCCTGATCAAAGATTAACTCACAGATCAAAGAGTACCCTGACCCATAAGATCTGTGATCAATCCAAAGATTTAAGTTTGCATTAATCAGGGTTGGGTGTAAAAACAGGAACGATAGTTTACTTAGACAAGATTCCAGCTTACCAGTAGCGAGTCATCATACTGCCCTGTCATCAGCACAATACCTGCACATAACAAAAACAATGAAAGAAAGTGGAAATACAGATCTGCAAATGTCCATCTATCTATAATTGAAAAATATAACTAGATACAGAAAAGTATTTTGGTTCTTTTGTGAGTATAGTTTTTATGGTTTTTAAACCACTTTCAGCAATATTCTCGATTTTTCATAACGGAGGACAGGATCTCACGGTATGCACTTATCCCACGGTTGGACGGCGGGACGCAGATACCCTGTGTCTTGTCAGTGCGAACAATAGAACTGTGTAGACCGGAAACAACCGTAGATAACGATGAACAAGGGAGGCCTGTTACGACTCGCCAACTCCTATGCTTGTGACGAGTTCCTCTGAACTCCTTGGCTTACTAAGCACAACGTCTCCCAGGGAGATGGGTGCTCCCGAGCAATGTAATGTTTGGCCGCAACCTCCGAAGAAGGACGCAGCTCAGCGAGAAAGGATGTCACTTCGCCACGAATTTCAAGGTACCCCCTGGAAATTAAAGTCATAGACAATAATCAGGCCAGCCCCTGCTTCGAAGACCCCACAGACACCGACCAGAGGCGGTGAAAGAGAAGCACAACTCTGAAAACTCTCGTAGTTTCAATGTTCAGTTCCAGTCAACATCAAATTGACCCTCACTCCTTTACATAAGCTTAGTCAAAGGATGAGCCTGGCCGGAGTCGGAACGCACAGAAATCCACTGGAATTCGGGAGTAACACACTTCACTGATGGAATTGCTTCAAAAAGTAGAGGTCAGGAAACGTGAAATGTCGAACCCTTCCACATCGGGATACAGAATCGAGCTCCAGATTCATCCAACCACCGAGGCGGTAGTATCTCCATGTCTTAGTATAAAACTAAGTGAAGTAGTTCTAACCCATAAGCAATCAAAACATAAGGCAGACATAAAGTTCAGACTTATATTCAGGAAAATACAGGGAAGCAGCAACCACGTGGGACCGTTCCCTATCTGCGTTGTTGGGCCGTAGACAGCTGTTGTGCGAGAACAAGGGGTCCAAACTGGTACAGGCCTTGGACATCCTTGACTGAGAGGTCCCGAAGGTAGTGGGACGAGAAGACCGAGTCAGATTGCCAGAAGCATCCTTCCATAATGGCATGGAGAGAGCAGTTACTATGCAGAGCCACTGTAGACGCTAACGCCCGTGTCTCATGTGGATTGGAAGCTGTCGGGGGCGGTAACCTAGTGAAGGTGTAAGCCCGTAAGATGGTGGCTTTCATCCAGAAGGATAATGTGGTGCGAGACACTTCCTGTAGCCAAGGCCACAAGGAAGAAGGTCTTGAAGGAGATCTTCTCAAAGTCCTGAGTTAGGGATTCATAATCTGCTGAGGCCAAATGACGCAGCACCACAGATAAATCCCATGCAGGAGGTCTAAACTTCTTAGACTGATCGGCCAACTTGAAGGACTGGAGCAAAGACTGAAGCTCAGGAACCGTCGAGACCTTAGAGCCTGTGGTGGTAGCCAGGACCGAGTTGATCGCAGCAAGGTAAGTGGCCAAAGTGGAACCCTTGAGCTTCTTAGAGGATCGCAAATGCTGAAGAAATTCAGCGACGATTTGAGGTGAAGTAGAAACAGGAGATGCAATGTCTCTGGATGTGAAATATCTCTCAAAACACTTCCACTTCTCATCATAAAGTGAGCGGTGGAAGTCCGATGAGCAGAAGTGATGGCCATAGCCCTACAACAATAGGTTGTCCCGGATCGGGAAGAGGAACTGGATTTAGGTCTTCGAGCTGTGCGAGATTAACAAACCAACTCCTGACTGGCCAGTAAGGCTGCGACCAAAAGCAGTAGAATCTGTCTGGTCGCCCGGAGTTTCTGGATGACTCTGGGTAGAAGAGCCGGAGGGGAAGGCGTAAGCGTTGAGCCCCTCCCACGAAATCGCCAGAGCATCGAGATCCCACGCTAGTTGGTCTGGTATCGGCGAGACAAACTTCGGGAGCTGATGGTTAAACCGCGTGGCGAATAGGTCGACTTGGGGCCTTGATAATGGGAAGACCAGTTCCCGAAAGATCTGTGGGTTCAATTGCCACTCCCTGGGAGACGGCCGATTGAGCCGGGACAGCGCATTCGGGCGATGATATTCCTGACGCCGGGAATGTGTCTGGCTCGAGCATCGATGGTGAGGGAGTCAATTAGATAGAAGAACCGAAACGCCAGCTGAAGAAGGTTCGCTGAACCTGTCAACCCGAGATGGTTGATGTACCCGACAACCGTGGAGTTGTCTGTCTGAAACAGCAGGCAGGACCCCCGAAGTTCCGTCGCCCAATGTTGAATGGCGAGAAGAACCGCAAAGAACTCGAGTTAGTTGATGTGCAAGTCCCGTTCTGCGGACGACCACAGCCCGGCTGTCTGATGATGAAGAAAGTAGAGCCCCCAATCTGTGAGGGATGCATCAAGGAACAAATGATGAGTCGACAAGAAGGACAACATTCTGCTCGTCTAGCACGGCTGTAGCTGAAGCTACCCTCTGCTAGTTGGGGCTTGAGCTGACGTCAGAAAGCCTAGTAGCTGCCACTGAGATAGCGCTAGAGGAATGCATTGCGGGGTCTTGATGCACCTGTCTTGAAGTGCGAACATCATCCTCTGACAATGTATCGATGAAGTGGAGTCTCTGGATCGATGTTAGCTTCGATACAGCAATGTACAGTAGCCACCCTAACTGCCAGAGCAGCATGGTGGGGAACTACATTTAGCGGGGAAGTACTATCAGATCCTGATGTGCCTGGATGCAATCATCAATGTAGCTTCGAAGATGAATTAGCACCTGAAGTTGACTTCTGTAAGTGAAGGCTTGAGCTTAGGTGAGGAGACCCAGCAACTATTGCCACTGATGAAGGGATATCTCCTGATAGAGTGCTAAATGTAGTAGATTTGGCGCATGGAGATTGTCAGTCAATCTACAGGAACGTGTACATTGTAAACGGGTCGATGAAGGTTGTACGATCGGCGATCTGTGGAACGTTAGTTCACAAAATGAAGTGTTGGTCCACTGGATGAAGTGATAAATGTAGTAGACTAGATCCATGGGGATCGTGAATCTACCGGAACGTTCGCAAAGTTGATGGAATGACAAGGTAAAAAGAAGACCGGCGACCCCAGGAACGTTTGTTGGGAAGATGAAGGCAGTAAACATGTGCCTGGGAACTGCAGTGACCTCTGAACTAAGGGTTTGAGCTAAGTAGAAAACCCGAGTAACCCTAGCCAAAGTTGAAGCGTTCTGGGACGTTTCTGTCTAACACCCTCGGTAAGCTATCTCTCTCGGCTGGCTGATGAAATCCCGACATAATCACTCTTACCGGGAATGGCACCGTTCATTGTCACTGGCAATTAAAGGCTGGGGTTGTTATCCGCTGTGTTGGACCAAGACAATTCTGTCAGTGCACTTCATAGTCACTCTCAACATCACAATTCTCCAGTAAACAAAAAGTAGTCCGCCATTTGCAATTGTTACCACAATGCAACAGTGACAAAAATCCGGACAACACAGTCTTCGGTCACAACCCATAAAAACTGGTAAAGGGATGCTCGCTACTTGACAAGACATCACTGCTGGTACCATGCGCAGAAACTTGATCCATCTGTCCAGAAGCTTGCTGGTGATGTAAAAGGAAGGATGAGGAAGGTGACGAACCATGCCATGATTGCACCCCGAGATACACCATGACGCTGTTACGAGTTGTCTGTAGTAACAGGACTCAGTGAAACGTCATAAAATACTCCTGGATAGCAAGCTTGTCTGGTAATGCACAAACAAGTGGTCGGAGAGCTGATATCTTCACCGGAGGGTAGATTCAAAAACCAAATCATTCATCAAGGTGAAGATTGGATGGTAGAATAAATCTGGAACGATATGAGCTCTAGTCGCGTAGAAGTCTGGGGGATCCGGGATCGTCAGAACGTCAAGTGCCGGCGTAATGTAGATGTGTGCGCTACTGACATAGCTACTACCTTCATTCAACCAGTTGTAAAGGTGGTACCAGGTGGGATAAGTCATGTGACTAAAAACTTCTAGCGCCTCATATGCCGTAGGGTAATCTGGAGAACCAAGTCAGATTGTCATGCTTATAGCATGCCATGTCGTGGTGAGGAATTCAGCGTATCACAAATACCCTGAATATTAACATCGTGTTGGCCTGTATCTAGATGCAAGTTGATGATCTTCGATGAAGATGTAATAAACCAATGTTGACAAGTTCGATCCTTCAAGTTGAATGGGGGGGTGGGGTGAGGTGAGGTGAGGTGAAATTGGGTTTAACGTCAGGTTTGAGAATATTTCGCCATATGACGACGATGCATGCATGTGTATGTGTAAGCGCGGCTGCTTGTACTAGCCCAGACTGAAGCTGGTTTTAAAGTGCTAGCCCACTGAGATTCTGTAGAAACGCCGTGTTTGAAGTAACATCATGCACAGAAAATAATCGCTGAATCCTGATGGTTCGGTTCGGTGACCGGGTCAGGTCGGTGATCTGGGTCGGCAAGGTAAGATCTAGATGGGTCGCATCTGGTTCTGACCAGATCAGGACGATCTGACGAAGCAGGTCGATGGCGTTGTTAAGTTTGACCAGGTGAATGCGTTGGGTTAAGTGTCTGGGAGACATCCCTGACACAAGTAGGGTAATCTCTGATGAACCAGTAGGCTGGGAATCTTCTGGGGATTCGCCGTAAAAACGGATCTTATAGATGTGGGCTTAAACGAGATTTCGAGCAGGTAGTTTCGGCAGAAAATCCGAATATTGGTAGGCGGTTGATCCAAAGCGGTTTGGTGAACCATGTTTCCTCGTCGAAGAAGAAAAACAAGGAGAGCCAACTGAGTTCGCTGAATCACCAATAGATGTATGATCTGGCTTAAAAGTGCTCCGAGAAAGCTGATTCGAGGGATGCCGCTTTGGTGAAGCGTTGTTTCGTGGAATGCCCTTTTCGTGAATGCTGAATTGTGGAATGGCAGTTCGGGCTTAATGTCGCTTTCTTAGAAAGCCGGTTCGCGAATGAAGGACTGGAGAGGTGCAGTCCGCGAATACGATCCAGTGAATTGTGGGCCGAAGAATGTGTTGATTTCGGCGAAACGGATAAACGACTCATTGGAGCACTGGAGACAGCATCATATTCGCAGATTGGGTAGCAGTCGGCGAAACGACTGAAGAGATGTCACAAAGGTCCTGCAACCGATACGGCGAACTAGTGCGCTTCCTTCCACTGTTTGAAGAAGAATGACGATCGGATCAAGTACGGCTTCGACAGATGCGATCCTAGCTGTAGCCTAGGGGTGGCAGAACGCTCAACAACCACCTCAAGGGATGTCATCGATGATGAAGGGCTCGTACTGGAAGGCAGAGAGCCGACAAGTTCCCTGAGATCTTCCGATAAATGCAAATCCGAAGAAGCTCTCATAAAATCCTCGTCTTTGGAGTGAGGAGACTGCGACTGACGAGCAATGATAATGGGACGCTAACATTTGAATTCTATCGATGATGCATAGCTGGCTAGATCAGCAAGACGCCGAGCGCAGGCCCTGGAGTAATCCCCAAATGCCTCAAAGGTAAGATGTAGGCATTTATCACATCGGACGTCTCATTATATTGCCCCACACAACACAGCAAGAAAGCGGAACGCTCAAAGAAAATATCTTGTTGCATAGAGCACATTTTATCCTCTTCCTAGGCTGGTCGGTCTTCCCATGATGTAAAATGGGAGAACAAACGATGAAGTGAAAACACGCCCACACTCGACAAGAAAGAGAATGATGATTAGGAGATAGTTAGTGGGTAGCTAGTGGTGCATGCCATGCTTTGCATGACAACTAGGAAGCTGTCTGATAATGAGGGCAGTAAGGAGTGAAGGAAGGAAGGGAGAAGTGCATACCATGAGATAGGATAAGTTTAAAAATTAATTCTTTAACCACTTACCTTGGTCACAGAGCACCAAGTGCAGTGGGCCCTGAAGAGACTTACTTTTGTCCACCAGGATCTCTGTCAAGTGTGCCAAAAATAGACTCACCTTTATCCAGCATCTCTTTGTCCTGCAGCACTGTGAATTAGAGCTGGGAGAGACTCACCTTTGTCCTGGAGCTCTGAGAAGTGGACCTGGGAGAGACTCACCTTTGTCCTCCTGGAGTTCTGTGAAGTGGACCTGGGAGAGACTCACCTTTGTCCAGGAGTTCTGTGAAGAGGACGTCTGAGACACTCACCTTTGTCCAGGAGTTCTGTGAAGAGGATGTCCGAGACACTCACCTTTGTCCTCCTGGAGTTCTGTGAAGAGGACGCCTGAGACACTCACCTTTGTCCAGGAGTTCTGTGAAGAGGACGTCGGAGACACTCACCTTTGTCCTCCTGGAGTTCTGTGAAGTGGACCTGGGAGAGACTCACCTTTGTCCTCCTGGAGTTCTGTGAAGTGGACCTGGGAGAGACTCACCTTTGTCCTGGAGTTCTGTGAAGAGGAGAGCGTGGAGCTCTGAGACACTCACCTTTGTCCAGGAGTTCTGTAAAGTGAGGAGAGACTCACCTTTGTCCTGAGTTCGAGACACTCACCTTTGTCCTCCTGGAGTTCTGTGAAGAGGACGCCTGAGACACTCACCTTTGTCCAGGAGTTCTGTGAAGAGGACGCCTGAGAGACACTCACCTTTGTCCCTCCTGGAGTTCTGTGAAGTGGACCTGGGAGAGACTCACCTTTGTCAAGGAGTTCTGTGAAGAGGACGTCTGAGACACTCACCTTTGTCCTCCTGGAGTTCTGTGAAGTGGACCAGAGACAGACAGGGAGGGGCGTTCTCCTTCATCTGCTGGTACATGATAAGCGGTGTGAAATACACCGACTTCCCTGAGATCATGGAGAAGAAGAACTCATATCCATCCTGACGAGGCAGAGGGTACAGGAACTGCAACAACAGTTAACATCAACATCCAAGACTAAATATACCACAGTATATCATGGAGCAATCACCTTTTAGTTCCTAATGACTTCATAATGCCTTATCCATCCATGCATATAACCCTGGTATATGTACATACTATGGAATCTTTTTGTCAATGTATTATTTGTTTAAGGCTAAATTAAAGCAACAGTTTCATAACTTCAAGAATACATCTACAGAATATATACAGTTCATGTTAATAATTCCATAAAATGTACATTGCCATCTTTGGACACATTGCCCAGCCATTTGTTCCATTCATTATTTTAAAGATTTATCGAACAGACAGACAAAGGATGGATTATCACGGGAACAGAATTTGTAATGAAACTTACAGATGGACATGTCTTGGCCTTTTGCAACAAATCATCATAATCGATTGACTGAAACATAACAAGTACAACATGTTAAGCTATAGTGTAAACAGAGAGTGTGGAATTCATGAATTTTTCAATCATTTGTACAGTACACATTCAAGCAAAAACCATCATCCTTAAACTGCCACCCTGGGTGGTCTGTGGTCAACCGTTTGCCAAACGTGCAGAAAAAGGAAACACATCATAAACTTGTAGAGTAACTTGTTCAGAGAGAGGTGACCCATAAAGATAACTGAGAGATTAATAAACAAACAATTTTCTTTTTTGTTCAGGATCTTAACAAACAAACACAAAAACTTGGTTGATTTTGTACTTAATTCAGTTGTGTCTTTTTGTGGCTGTCTTACCTTCAAGACTGCAAATACACATTCCTTCCTACTGTGGTATTCCTTCCAGATCTGAATAGACAGAAAAATGGACTGAATTTTGTTATCAATAAGAAGATACATCAGTTGTGGAGTTATCTCCCTTCATGAAACAACAGTCAGTATATATGCCAAGAAAAGCTTACAAATGAGTGAGTGAGTGGGTTTAGTTTTACGCCGCACTCAGCAATATTACATCTATATGGCGGCGGTCTGTAAAAAAGCAAGTCTGGACCAGACAATCCAGTGATCAACAGTATAAGCATCGATCTACGCAGTTGAGATACGATGACATGTGTCAACCGATTCAGTGAGCCTGACCACCTGATCCTGTTAGTCACCTCTTACGACAAGCATGGGTAACTGAAGATCAATTCTAACCCAAATCTTCATGGTCAAAAAGCTTAAAAGCAGTAGTATGTTTTGTGTATTACTTGGTGTATAACAATGAGGTAATCAGTGGTTTCATTTTTCATGATCAGAGTTCAACTTACTAGAAGTCACCTAGTAATACTCATACAATTTAACACGTCTTATGTATACTGAGTGAGTGAGTGGTTTAGTTTTTCGCCGCTGTTAGCAATATTCCAGCAATATCACGGCGGGGGCAACAGAAATGGGCTTCACACATTGTGCCCATGTGGGAATCGAACCCAGATCCTCGGCGCTGATGAGCCAACGCTTTAACCACTAGGCTACCCCACTGCTCCTTTATGTATACTGCTACTGTACAATGTCTGTACTTGAAAATATGACCCAAAAATGTCAAAAAGTACTAGAACTGAAGAAATGGAAAATTACTGCAGAATAAGTGTAACCCATTGTACGTGCATAAACTGAAATCACAGGGGTGTTTTTAAATGCACTAATAATGATTAATACAACAACTCAGTGGCAGTCCCTTCTTTTCAAAGTCTCTTTGTCTGTATCAGTACTGTGCTGATACAACTGGCCACAGGAAAACACAAACCTCCTCAATCTCCTCTGCTGTCTTATCTCTGATTAGGTCTGTCTTCATGATACTGTCTAGCCCCTGGAACAAACAGCACCATGAACAATACATTACACAGACCATACTGCTATTACACAGACCATACTGCTATTACACAGACCATACTGCTATTACATAGACCATACTGCTATTACACAGACCATACTGCTATTACATGGACCATACTGCTATTACATGGACCATACTGCTATTACATAGACCATACTGCTATTACACAGACCATACTGCTATTACATGGACCATACTGCTATTACATGGACCATACTGCTATTACACAGACCATACTGCTATTAGACAGACCATACTGCTATTACATGGACCATACTGCTATTACATGGACCATACTGCTATTACACAGACCATACTGCTATTACATGGACCATACTGTTATTACACAGACCATAGTGCTATTAGATAGACCATACTGCTATTACATGGACCATACTGCTATTACATAGACCATACTGCTATTACAAGGACCATACTGCTATTACATGGACCATACTGCTATTACATAGACCATACTGCTATTACATGGACCATACTGCTATTACATGGACCATACTGCTATTACATGGACCATACTGCTATTACACAGACCATACTGCTATTAGACAGACCATACTGCTATTACATGGACCATACTGCTATTACATAGACCATACTGCTATTACATGGACCATACTGCTATTACATAGACCATACTGCTATTACATGGACCATACTGCTATTAGACAGACCATACTGCTATTACATGGACCATACTGCTATTACATAGACCATACTGCTATTACATGGACCATACTGCTATTACATAGACCATACTGCTATTACATGGACCATACTGCTATTACACAGACCATACTGCTATTACATGGACCATACTGCTATTACACAGACCATACTGCTATTAGACAGACCATACTGCTATTAGATAGACCATACTGCTATTACATGGACCATACTGCTATAACATAGACCATACTGCTATTACAAGGACCATACTGCTATTACATGGACCATACTGCTATTACATAGACCATACTGCTATTACATGGACCATACTGCTATTACATGGACCATACTGCTATTACAAGGACCATACTGCTATTACACAGACCATACTGCTATTACATGGACCATACTGCTATTACATGGACCATACTGCTATTACATGGACCATACTGCTATTACATGGACCATACTGCTATTAGATAGACCATACTGCTATTACATGGACCATACTGCTATTAGACAGACCATACTGCTATTAGATAGGCCATACTGCTATTAGATAGACCATACTGCTATTACATAGACCATACTGCTATTAGATAGACCATACTGCTATTAGATAGACCATACTGCTATTACATAGACCATACTGCTATTAGATAGACCATACTGCTATTAGATAGACCATACTGCTATACCAGATGTGTGCAAACTGAAAATAAAGTAGCCTTGTAATGCAAGCCTCCATTAAACAAGGTCATGTGTGGTCTAAATATGATAAGAACTTCAAAACAAGTGGAGTGAAAAATATTGTTAAATGCTTTAGATGTCTTCACTGGTACCACATGCTCAGTGGTAGTGGAGTAGCCCACATATACAGGCCTACATCAAACAAGGTCATCTGCAGTGTATAAAATATAGCCCATCCCATCGCCCTTGACGGTCTATCTTTGTGAAGGACGGTCTATTAAATAAGAAAGGCCGTCCTTTGGTCGGGGGAAATATTTGAAAAAATAAACTTAACTTGTTGATTTTTTTTATTGTTTTAGTTTTGGGGACTGGCTGTGTTTGTCCAGGACTGGTCACTTTTTTGGACAGCCAGTCCTTGGACAGGCGACATTTCAAAACTATTTTATACACTGTCATCTGTGTAGTTAGCTAAACTCAAGATTTCAAACAAGTTGAATGATAAAAAATGTCAACTGCAACAGTTCAAAAAGGGTCTTCACTAGCAGCATATGCTCACTGGTACATCTGAGGGATGATGTTACCTTAGACGAGGCCTTCCCTTCAGCCTCTGCTTTAGCTTTGGCCTCTGCCTCTGCCTTCTCCAGCTGATCTCTGATGAAGGCTCGGTCCTTCCTCATCTCCTCTTCAATGTGATGGATCTTCTCCTGGTAGGCCTTGGGTGAGGATCTGTAAGGGGCCAAAGTGTGAACAGTTCACACAGTGTCAGGTATTCAGTAACACCAATATGTATTGCAATAATGTAATTTTTTAAGTAAAATTGATATTGTATACTTATCCTGACCCATGCTTATATGCTTACCTCCTTCTTCTATGTGAATGGTAGTGGAACACTTGAATCCGTTGTAGTTCCCTAAAGCGGACGTAAAAGTTCACTCACCCACGAGTTGCCTCCCTTTTCCTGCGCAAACAGTCATGTGACCTGCCATGCTTGTCACTCTCTTCTGAATAAGCCCAAGCACTTGGGTTTGCTGGGAAACCTGAAGTGTTTCCAGCAGGGGAGGTCGGGAGGGCTTGACACTATGAGTCAGGATAAGTATAAAATATCAATTTTACTTAAAAAATTACATATTTTTCCTTATCCTGACTCATGCTTATATGTTTCCAGAATCCACGGAAGTGGTGGTGGGTCAAGCCACTTCGTGGATTCATCAGCTGTCCTTTGATACGTCCCAACACGGGGGGACCACATCTTGTCATACTTCTCTAAGACAAGTGAATCTTATAGATTCATGTGGATTTTTGATATACTAGTATCTTCTTTTTACTAGTTATCTATAAACAACACATAGATTATGATAAGATCATTACCAAAAATGAGTTGCGACCCCTTAACGTACAGGTAAGATCGTTACCCGTACAGAGCCTTAATCACTCATGCCAGTCTGGTCTTAGACGGTGTGCATAGACTTTCAAACCATAACTCTTCAGAGTGAAGGTTATCAACAAGTCAACGTGATAAAGGGTGAGATTTCCAACTCAGCGCCTTTGTGGGACCGTTAGCTGTTGTGCTACAACAAGTAGCTATGTCTCTGAGGTTGTGGTTGGCAAACACTGTGTCTGACTTCCAAAAGCAGCCCTCCATTATTGATGATATCGAGCAGTTTCCCGTGCAGAGCAAGAGTGGACACCATTGCTCTGACTTCATGTGGATTAAAGGCTCTTGGACGTTCTAGTGCTGCTCTATAGGCCCTCAGTATAACGGCTCTCCTCCAAAATGATATTGTCGTTCTTGAGACTTCTGTAGACGTCTCTGGTGACAAGGGGATGAATAGGCGCTTGAATTTTCTTCTCCTTGTTTTAGTCTTTTGAAGATATATTTTAAGGGCTCTGACAGGACACAAGGATAAGTCCTGGGTGTCCTCTGATCCGAGGATCGTAGATAGCGCTGGGACGTGGAACTGTCTGTCCGGTTGGCCAGGTAACTGATTCTTTGCAATGAAGTCCCATCTAAGTCCTAGATGTACTGCAGCACAGTCTCCCGTGTCGAATCTAGTTCGTCCAAAGTCCAGCGCATGTAGCTCTGACATCCGAGCTGCTGTGGTTAAGGCGAGGAGGAACAGAGTTTTCTGTGTGAGTAGCTCGAAGGTCGTCTGCTCTAGTGGTTCGCAGGCATCACTCATGAGATGTCGTAGAACTATGTTCAGATCCCAGACTGGTGCTCTGAATTTTTTCTGCTGATCTTCCAGTTTGAAGGATCGTAGTAGAGCAAGTAGTTCTGGCACTTTCGTCAATTTGATGCCCGTCTTCATGGTGACGACTGTACTGATAGGTGGCAGATATGTAGATAGTGTCGAACCTTTTATTCGCCTGCCTCGTATATCTAAGGTGACATAGATATTCCGCCACTTGAGGGTGAGTTGCTTTCATTGCTGTGAAGCCTTTCCACACTGCATATTGTTCAAATCTCTGCCACTTGTCATCGTACAAGTTGCGAGTTGATCTACAAAGTTACTGCTTTCGCTGCTCTGGCGGAGTACCCTCTTTTCTTCAAGAAAGTCTTGATACGGTCCATACGTGTATGAGTAGGTTCGGCCACTCTGGTAATTTCAGGGTTGGACTTCCGAGTTCTTGTATTAGATCTGGGAACCAGACTCTCGCTGACCAGTAGGGTGCGACCAAAGTCAGATGTAGTGCTTGGGTCTGCTTGATCTTCAATAATACTTGCGGTAGTAGAACCGGAGGCGGAAACGCGTATGCGTTTAGTCCTTCCCATGATATGCTCAGTGCCTCTGTTGCCAAGGCTTGGGGATCTGGAACTGGTGAGACGAATGTCTGTAGTTGTTTGTTGAACCTTGTGGCGAACAGGTCTATTGAGGGAGATCCTATTTCCCTTATGATGAGCCGAAACAAACCTCTGGGTGGATCATCCATTCCGTGGGTGATGGATGAAGTGGGCGAGATAGAGCGTCTGCTAATACATTCTTGGCTACTGGAATGTGACATGCCTTTAGCCAGATGTTTAATTTGTCTATGATGTTGAACAACTGGATCACAGCTTTCATCTCCAGTTGGCTGATGTGAAGATGTTGTTCTTGTTTCGACCACTACCCTGATGCCACTTCGTTGTCGAGATGCGCTCCCCATCCTTGTAGTGAGGCATCTAGGTAGAGGTGTGTGTTGCAAACCAGCTCTTGCAAATAGGTCCCGATTCGATTTGTGAATCCACCATAACAGGTATGTCTTGAGACTGATCACGTCCGTGCTGTCCAGGTGTCTTGCCAGGAATCGCTGCAACGGACGTAATTGTAGTCTTTCTCTGCGGGTCAAGTCCTGCGCTGAGGTGAGTAGACCGAGGAGACACTGCCATGTTTGTAGTGGTAACGGAGAGATGACTGCTTCTGGAATCATGGCTTGAATCTTGACCCAACTATCTTCTGGGACCACAATACAATTCTGTGTTGGGATGAACCTTATTCCCAGGAATTGAAGATGTTGTTTTGGTTCCAACTCTGATTTCATCAAGTTTACTGGCCATCCCAGTTGTGTGAGCAGTTTGATTGTGAAGTTTAGCTGCTGTCTGAGTTGATTGGCTTCTTGATGAACTTGTATCCCGTCATCCAAGTAAAAGGCACTGCGTAAACCTCAATGATGTAGATAGGTGACGATGGGTTTGGTCACTCGTGTGAATAACCACGGAGCCGACGATAATCCAAACGGTAGGACGCTCCATTGATAGTGTCGACCTTTGAACAGGAATCTCAGGTACTTCCTTGATTCCGGATGAATCGGGATGTGTAGATATGCATCTTGTAGGTCTATGCTGGCCAAGTAATCTGATGGACAGACGAGTTGTCTGAGTTGAGGCAGGTGGATCATCTTGAACCTGTCTGGTTTGAGTAGATAGTCTTGGTTGAATCTTTTCATGTTGTATATCAACCTGAATTTCTCTTTGGACTTTTTCTTGGGTTCTAGGAAATTAGGGAGTAGAAGCCGGGCATCAGATGATGTTGATTCAACACTTCTACGACGTTCTTGGTCAATAGCGACCCTGTCTGCGTAGTAGCCACCGACGTTGAGGCCAAGTGATCCTACATGAAGTGTTGGTCTTCTTTTGGAGTTAATAGTGCAGATAGTATCATTCTATCTTCCTCCGTCTTGTGGTTCTGGAATCTTGAAATCAACGTCTCGTTGATCGCTCTGGATCTCGCCAGGCAGACGAAGGTTCTTCTAACCGTGGTGTCGAGTTGAGCAATTTTCTTGTCTTCCACCTTGTAAGACTTACTACGGGAGTAGTTGATCAACTTCATATTATCATCCAAGTCCGGCGCTCTCAGGAAGGGTTCCATATGATGCAGAGGGAATCTCCTAGCATTAAATGTAGGCAGATGTTGATTCTGGTGCCGGGTTGATTTCTCAAATGCAGCCCCGGAGGTTAGCAGACACCTTGGAGATTGGTTCAATTGGTGGAATTGTGAAGGTGTCGAAGTCATCATTCCACATCTTGTACGGGAATGCATCCGATTCCTTGGATTGGGAGTCTAAGTTCAGACCGTTAGCAATCCACGATATGACCTCTGCTTCTGAGAAGACGAAGTCGCCCTCTTCCTCTGATAGCTCCGAGTTCGCCGAACCTTCCTTCCTTGAAACCTGCGTTCCGTGAACCTCCTACGTTCGGTGAACATTCCTTCCATGAACGTTCGTGTGAACGTGACGACACTGATCTGTGAGTATGAGAGCTGCGGGATACTGATGTAGAACGACTGGATCTTGAGGGGGATCTTGCTCCGTCTGACGTTCTGACATGTTGAGGGTTCGCCGAACCTCTAGTAGACTCCGGAATGTTCGCCGAACCTCTTTTGGACTGAGGGACATTCACCGAACCTCTTGTAGACTCAGGGACCTTCGCCGAACCTTCTTCTTCCAAAATGACTAGGTCCACCAAACCTGAACATTCACTGACGTTGTCTTTGGCCGTAGACTTGTGAGGAACAGGTTCTCGTAGGGCTGAGGTTCGCCGAACGTTGTCTGTCATCGTAGGGTTCTGCCGTGTAGCTCTTTCTTCGACGAACCTCTGCTCCATCATCGCCAACATCTGCGTTGTAAACTGCCTCATAAATTCATCTGGGTCGAAGTTCTGGGTTGTAGGTCGGAACTGATGCAGTGTAGATGGAGCGTTTGAGAACGCTGAGGCATCAAGTGCGTCTACTTGCAACTGCGATGATGCTACACTATTGTTGTCTATGTTGACAGACACCTGAGTTGCTGATGGCTGGTCTTCAAATAGTTAAACGGCTGTCAAAGGTTGCAGGGGACGATCGTCTCGCCGTGGAGGAAGACTGCGTCGATGATCTTACTAGTACTTCAGGTAGCAGTATCGGAGGGTCAGCATAAATATCTGCGTCATCAGGAGGCACAATGTCTTCATTAAACGACCACTGATGCGTTGTTTTACAGGAACGCGTTGATTTCGACGAAGTTCTAGATGAAGATGACTTCTTTCGTGTCGCAGACGATGAGGACATCTTCTTCTTACTCCCCGCTGGCGTTAACTCAGTAGAAGTAGATCTCTTCTTGGACCCGGCTGAGCCCCGACCAGCCACAGACGACCGCCCCTGTAACGTACTCGGCAAATCACCTGCGTTATGAATTACAGCAGTAGCAAACAACATACGGTTACCGGCATTATCTCCGGATTTATCACCAGTGACTTGAGATGATTTCCTCCCCCGATCCATCGCACGTTTATAGACATAAGACAAATAACGATTAAATTGCCAATCTGGTAAATAATATAATATCTGCAATGCAAGCTGGAAGAACATGGATTAATGCATGATGGGCATTGGGGGTGAGGATCAGCGGCTGATAACCGGTACCTACAAACACTGCAAGATTTCATAAAAATGTCAACAATTACATTATGGTGAGAAAAAGTGACAAAATATGAATAATTTTTTCAAAATTTTGGCATACGATTAAAGTTAAATATAACCAGAAACCATACACAGCTAAATTTGGATAAAAGGATCTAAATATCAAAGGATATAGTGCCGTATACGGGACTCCAGTGCTCGCCCAACCATCCTCCTAGGCGATGAAGGAGAGAGTGACAAGCATGGCAGGTCACATGACTGTTTGTGCGGTGAAAAGGGAGGCAACTCATGGGTGAGTGAACTTTTACGTCCGCTTTAGGGAACTACAAGGGATTCAAGTGTTCCACTACCATTCGCATAGAAGAAGGAGGTAAGCATATAAGCATGAGTCAGGATAAGGAAAACTTACAATACTCAGCTAAGATTGTACAACTAATACATGCTGTCATCAATCACACAATTCCACAAAAGTGGAAAATACAATTCTATACAATCTCCTGAAAAAAGGTATCAAGCATGCAGTACCACCAATATGTTTGCAATTCATAAAAGTATTCAGTTCAAACATGTGCATGACATTGTACACCAAAACTAACCCATGATGTAATCAAACACAAAAATTCCAAAAAATCCTTGTGGAAAATACAAGGAAAAGCTAACTACTGAGAAAATGGTTTGCAGTAACTTTTAATATGAAATGGTCTTTCAGCAAATTTCATTACGTAAAAATACTTCAGCGTAGGTGATCAGGGTGGGAAGGGAAGAAACATTTGACATATTTTTCTTTAAATATTTCTTAGTACCTTAAACAATTAACAGATCAATTATAACAAACAAATGTAACTTTTCATTTTAATTTGACACTGGAGCATTTAGTTTTAGGTAAAGCATTGCTATACGTAAACAAAACAAGACTTCACTGACTTAAACTTGTAATCATCAGTGTCAAGTTCACGTTTCAAAAGGTTACGACTTTCATATTTCAAGGTTGCAGTAGCAAAGGTAGTTCACTGACTATAGCAGGTTGAGCTTTTTGTGCTGGTGATTAGGTGCCCAACTCTGAGGGTTGAGATGAGTTGGGTTTTATGTCACATCGGCATTATTCCAGCCCTAAAGTGACGAGATTCAAGTCTGAATTCATACACATTCTAAATACGGTGAGGTGAGGTGAAATTGGATTTTACGTTGTGCTTGAGAATATTTCGCTCATATGACGACGTGCATGCGTGTGTATGTGTATGTGCGGCTGCTTGTACTAGCCCAGACTTAAGCTGGTTTTATAGTGCTAGCACACTGAGATAACATGCCGCAGTGAAGCATGAATACCCCACTCAGACACATTATACTGACTCCGAGCCGACCAGTCCTTGTTGTACCCATTAATGCCGAGCGCCAGGCAGGGACCAACAAGTACCAAATTTTAACGTCTTTTGGTATGACGCGGTCGGGGATTGAACCCGCGACCTTCCACTCTCCGGGCGGACACTATAACCACTACACCACGGAGGCGGTCCATTCTAAATACAAAGTGAGGGTGTGGGTTCGAATCCCGGATGGGACTCCAACCCAACAAAAGTACTAGAATCTGTACTTAACTAAGAAAGTGTAATCCCATATATAACATATGTTACATTTGACCACTTTCTAAATGGCATTGTGTAATCATAGCTTTCGGCTGTGGGAGCCATGCCAATTTACACTTATCAGAGGGGTACACAAAGTCTGCAGTCTAGACTACCAGTTTCATTTTTGTGGAAGTCGCGGTGGCTGAGCGGGTTAGGTGGCTGACTTTGTGTGCTGGCGATTAGGAGCCTGACTCTGAGGGTGTGGGTTTGAATCCCGGATGGGACTCAACCCAACAAAAGTACTAGTACTAGAAGAAAGTGTAATCCCAAATATAACATATGTTGGATTCTGTATTATACGTCATAATACCCTTTTATGTAACAAACCTTTGTAAATCCAGCAGTTTTTTCTTGTACTTGTCAAAGTAAGGATTGTCCTCCATGTTCACTTTCACGTCATCATCATACTTCTCCGATGATGTAGATGAATATCTCAAGTCAGGATACTTCCTTGGGTGCTGTCCTTTCAGTAGACTGTTGGCTCTTGAAATCGTGATGGTCATTCCTCGAGAATCAGAGATGGTTGAAAGAACACTGTGTTGTTTCTTCCCACCGGCATACAGTCTCCAGCATTTCTGACAGAGTCGGACACCTTGTCTTTGTAGTAAAGACATATTGTGCTAGGTTGGTTTTCACTTCATTCAGCCTGGAAAATACATTGGGAGAATAAGAAATACGAAAAAAGCAGATGGTCAAATGCCGTTTTTGGAAACATAAAGAATAAAGTGAGTGGGTGAGCGAGTATGGTTTTAAGCCGCTTGTAGCAATATTCCGGCAATATCACGGCGGGGGACACCAGAAAATGGGCTTCACTTATTAATTGTACCCATGCAGGGAATTGAACCAGGGTCTTCAGCGCGACTAGCGAATGCTTGAACCACTAGGCTACCCTACCGCCCCTAAAGAATAAAGGCTCATGATATTGTTAAGTGCATCATGATTATAGTGATCCTTATTATCAGTGTTGTATTGATATGGTGCCTTTAATGCGAAAGTGGTCACCCAGTGGTTGACAATGTGAGCAAAGTGCAGAGCCTTGATAAAGTGCGGCTATTTAAAAAGTGACAGCTGCTTTTGGTTTCCTGCACACAAATTCAAGTTTCATGTGGTCCAATACTGTAGTCATTTCGGCATTACTTAATTATGATGAACCGGTGATGGGTTTATATTTCTTGAAAACACCTATATCATTCATTTGACTTGAAACGATATTCTCAGACTCAGGCATTTTCCATTTATACCAGCTGGACTACTATGTATGTGGGCATTGCGGCGATTGCCACCAGAAAAGAGATTCTGATACGTCTTGATCTTGTCCCAGTGTTGACGATCTTTGCCAGCTAATCAACTGTTGATCGGACAACAGAACTGAATGAATGACACGATAATTCTAATTTATTACACAGCCATGTCTTAAACCTGTGACGACTGTCATTTGAGATGACCTACCGGTTACACGAACATGAGGTGATTTAACTTCCGGACAGTGCAGTGAGGGTTATATTAAAACTTGGAATGTAGGCCGAAACTAACTTACAGTTTCACCAAGATAGGATTTTCACACCAGAGACCATATAATATATATCTATTATATGGTCTCTGATGAAACGTTGTCGTTTTTGAAAGCAAAATAAAAGAATCAGATGACAAGCTTTTAAAATGTTGTAAAATCAATAAAAATAGAAATTCGTAAAGACAAAGCAATGAAACTTAGAGAATGTGAGAAAGAATAGGTCCAAGCAACCATATAATACATAATTCAAGCCAAAGTGAGTGAGTTTAGTTTTACGCCGCACTCAGCAATTGAGTCTGGCTATATGGAGGTGGTCAATTGAGTCTGGACCAGACAATCCAGTGATCAACAGCATAAACATCGACCTACGCAATTGACATGACTGTGTCAACCAAGTCAGCGAGAGCCTGATCACCCGATCCCGTTAGTCGCCTCTTGCGACAAGCATGGGTTACTGAACACATGCTCTGTCGTCGTATCGCATGGTGACAATCACTGGATTGTCTGGTTCAGACCCGATCTGTTTACAAACAACATCATACAGCTGTAATACTGCTTAAACAAATATCTGCTCATGATATAGACACAACTGTACAATCAAATCTGCACTTGGCAGAGATTTCTTATGAACGTGGAAAGGGTTTTGTCGCTTCTGTTAGGGAGAAAAGATGATTATCCCTGCTTCTATTTACTGAAGATCAGTTTTAACCCGGATCTTCACGATCTTCACAAGACATTCCACATTCCTCGTTATGCTCCAGTCACTTGAAACAGAATCGGCGTTACTGTGATAATTAACTTTGACATGAGCACGCCCAGGGAGCATAGGTAAGTGTTTATTTCTTTATTTTTCACAGTGTAAAAATTAATTTTAAAAATATACTAAGCAGCAAAAGAAACGTCAGTTTGGAATTTTTCTTCGCATAAACGGATAACTGTAAACTCATTTAATGTTTTGATTGTATATTTTTGACAACATCTCCAACTTTACCTGAGCAAAGACATTCCTTCCCAAACTCAGAATTAAACCCAGGAAATGGTCTCAAAAACGCAACCTGATCTGGGAGATGGTACGGTGTTCTTCATGTTTTTCATGCAACTCATGCTGCAAGTGCTCTTCACAAGGACCAGCCCTATAAAATGCATTCCCAAACTTGGTTGAAACATTTACATTACAACGTCAGCAGGATGCCGCGACTCACGACAGCTCAGAGGAACCAGGCCCTAGGAAGACTTGAAGCTGGCCACACTGCACAAGCCGTTGCCAATCACTTCAAGGTCAACGTTCGGACCATCTACAGGCTGCAGCAACGTTTCCGGGCCACCAACACCACAAATGATCGCCCCCGTGCTGGCAGACCAAGTGTCACCACAAGACAAGACCGCCATGCGACAGCATGTACAGAATCCCTTCATGCAGGCATCCGAAACAGCACGCCAGACAGTGGGAACACACGGAAGACCAATCAGTACTGATACAGTACGCCGACGTCTTAACAGCGGGAACCTCCATTGCCGTAGACCATACCGTGGACCTATCCTCATCCCTCGTCACGTAAACGTCTTCAGTTTGCCCTACAACACCAAAACTGGCGATACAGGTAATGGAGAACTGTTCTGTTCACAGATGAGGGTCGGTACTGCGTATCAACTGCAGATGGCAGAACAAGAATATGGCGACGACGTGGCCAGCGTTACTCAGACCAATGTGTTATGGAAAGACTCATGGGGAGGTGCAAGCATCATGGTACCCCACGTCATACCACATTTCGGACGTCACCGGAACAACATTAATTTCCCAGCATGATAACGCCCGGGCCCATACTGCCAGAGCTACACGGGGCTTTCTGCAGCAAAACGGTGGCAACAATATGCAGTGGCCAGCCCTTAGTCCTGATTTAAACCCAACTGAACATCTTTGGGATGAAATTCAGAGGAGACTGAATAATGTCATACCAAGGCCGAACACAGCCGATTTATTGCGCCAGGCCTTTCTCAGAGTGTGGTTCAAGGTGCCAATGGCCTTCATCAATCGATTGGTGCACTCCATGCATAAACGCTGTGCTGCAGTTATTGCCGCTCGTGGTGGTCATGGGGCGATGGGGTAGCCTGAGTGGTTAAAGCGTTGGCTGAATCACGCCGAAAACCCGGGTTCGAATCCCCACATAGGTACAATGTGTGAAGCCCATTTCTGGTGTCCCCGCCGTGATGTTGCTGGAATATTGCTAAAAGCGGCGCAAAACCAAACTCAGTCAGTCAGTCAGTCATGGTGATCCACTTATTGAAGTCAAGGGTCTGAATGGACTGCAAAAGTTCACGTAATGTCTTGATTTGTGCTGAGATATTCATTGATGTGTCTAAGATATTGTACACAAAAATGGTTTTGATCCGCTTATTATGTCCATTTCTGTTTTGCTGCTGAGGATATGTTTAACATTAAGGAGATAAACATGTATTTCAGATTCGTGCGTGTTGTTGAGTATATTCGATGTTGGACAAATTCATTCGGAAAAAAACACTTGGACCAATGGCAATATATGCCCATAGTTTCAAATGAAACCAAAATAACAAACATGTACATTAAACTAAACACGGCGTTTCTAATTTAATTATCATCGGAGAAAAAAAGAAAACATAAATCTCACTTGGTAATTAAATACAAATCAACTTAATTAATCCCCTAAACAAGCAAATCTGCAGATAAATAATAGATTTGGTACTTTCCTAAATACAATTAATAGGCGTACACAAATGAATCGACCCCCGCCTCCCATGCCCGGCCGTAACGACAGACAATAAACGATCGTGGGAAACATCATCTTTTCCGTAAACTGTTTTGCTTCTTGCTATTTTAGAAAACGTCAGAACAAAATAAACGTAATTTGTTTTTACGTTCAGTCCGGTAATAAGCATCCGACTTTAAGAAGACAGGCGTGATTTGTACCGATTGTGCTTTGTTTCTCGTCTAATAACACATTTTATGATATTTATCAATGCACATACGAGTGACATAACTAAACGAAGCTATCCATTTTGACTAGTTCCAAAGCAGTTCGTTTTTTCTCCCATGCACAGTTTTCAATTCTCTGTTTTGATTTTATAGTGTCCTGTCAGAGCGCAACAGGTGGTGGTATGTGTACTCTAACTATACACGCTCTCAATGGAAGAGGGGATCAATAGCGTTTCATGTCGGAATGAACCAGTAACAGTAATGGATACCTTCAAGTGAAGACCTACCTGTTGTCAGTATCATTTTGATATTCTGTACAACGTAATAGGTAAGGTGTCCTTTATTATAACTTCTTGTTCCCTGATGTGTACTTGGTTATGGTGTAAGGCAAGCATGATTTCCCACGAATCTCAGGTATTGTTATGTAAATACTTTGAATGGATATGTTGTGTCGTTTGTCATGAATCGCCGGGACGAACTACAGGGCCTCAGCGGAAGGTATATATGCTTACCTTTATTATATACTTGTGTCCATTTACTAACATAACTGAAACTACATAATTATGTATCACAGTGTTAACCTTGCATTTAAACAGAGAGAGTGATCTTAAGACATAACATGTACAAGACAGATTAGATGGAAGTAGTTTTAGCATGAAATCACTGCTCACACGAGACAGCTTGATTCATGCTCTAACATTTCAAGTAATCATATTTTGCAGTGGCGGATCCAGAGAAGGGGGGGGGGGTCAGGGGGTTCAGACCCCCCGGAAAATGACTAAAGGCCACATTGAAGTTAATGTTTTGCAATGGCAGAGCCAAGGTGGGGTTTAGGGGGTTCAAACCCCCTGAAACCCATCCCCTTTGAAAATTCCTGGATCTGCCTATGTTTTGTGGGGGTAAATGGTTGTCCCATTGTTCTGTAATATAGGTATAATCACTACAATATATAATACCTTTCATATTTTCAATTTGTGATTTGTATGCTACACAAATATTCAATCAATATATATATGACTTGTGTCAGCGTGATCATTATGACTTGTGTCAGCGTGATCAGCATGAGAGGGATTGTGCAAATTATTGCTAAGTTTGACAAATTCTACACCTATTTTGTAGGTAGATTTAACTGAAACTATACAAGTATTCTTTGTGTTTTCCTTAAAACTGTTTATTGCAGTCAGACCTGTACATGAATGTTCATACATTAACAATGAAAATGTAAGTGTCAGTTTTATACCATTATATGCTTTAAAGAAATAGAATTTGATAGCCGACATCATGATAGATTTAAACACACAGGTTCAGGTTATATTGTTAGGTTTACATGTCCCCACCCTATCGTTGAAGGATTAAATTTGTAGAAAGGTATGACTGCAGAAGTACAATAAGAAAGTGTTTAGCTTCTTTTGTTTGTTTTTCATCAACACATACTGCAACGTTCAAGCTCAAACTTTGATAGTGGCATGTAAATAATCGACAGATGATATATCACTATAAAGAAATTTTATCTCTGACAGAAGTAAATAAATATGCATTTTGTGTATGTTAAAATGTTTATCCCATGCATAGATAGGAATTGTTTTACTTTAGCAGGGATTGGGACAGAGAACATTTGACAGGATTATTAGCCATTTTCTGAACTTGGAATGGGCATTTACTTCCTTGTATCAATAGTAAATTTTTAATGGGCCATATTTTGTTCTAATGTTCAAAATGTTAATGGGACCTGCCTTTCTCCCAATCCCCTGCTTTAAAAAAACAGAATGAGCATTTGTTATTAGAAGTTCAAAGGTTTAAATTTGAAACTCCACAAACCACCTATACCTGAGTACCTAAGGCTCACCTGTTGATTATGTTAATACACCAATACAATCTGAGCTGTACAGATCTTGTGAAGTGAATGATAGTAATAGGTTAAGTGACCACTGGCCAGGTTTGAGATGTAAAAAGGCTTTGTTGTGAAGATTTCATGTACTGTACATTAGGTGTAAGAGATTTAGATGACATGTTCTGGGGCCAGGAGTCCTTAGCGAAGAACCACTCTGCAGGAAAATTTTCAAGAATGTCCCCCTGCCCCAGAGTTAGTCTGTAGCAATTACCTACAGATTTACCTACCTGGCCCATGAATTGTCTATAGAATGTGCCTCACTGGAGATGTGTCAAATGAAATATAAAGGCTTCTTTGTACAGTAATTTACAGTTAATGAGTTATAATGAACTCAAAGGTCAACCCCTTATTTTATTATTTGTTTAGTTTGTTATAACCATTGTTTATAAATCATATTTCTACAAAATTATGCAGATACAGACCGATACAAAAACCCAGTTCATTATAAGCTTGTTTGTTATACACATACTTCACAGTATTTCAGTGGATTGAACTTGAAATGTTTGTATCTGTAGCCTTGGGAACAATTAGGGTTGTGTGAACCACTAGGCTTCAAAACATGACAATAAACCACAGAGCTTTTATATAGGAGACTCTTTTCAAATACAATAAAGCATGCTAGTTAGAGATTGTCAGTTGTCTAAAGCAGTGGCAAACATCATGATCATATTGATGTCCCTCAGATAAAGGGTTTAATGTCTAATGTCTAACAATCTGAAGAGAAGTGTTTCATTATTTTATCCTACACATAATAGGTGGAAAGCATCTGCATCAAGGGATTGTGCGATACATTTCACTTTAAAATACAATAAAATCTTATTACGTTATGTCACATAAAACTCAGTCAGTTTATTTATGGGGTAGCCTTGTGGTTAAAGCGTTTGTTCATGCTCGCCAAAGACCTGGGTTCCATTCCCCACATGGGTACACTGTGTGAAGCCCATTTGTGGTGTCCCCACCATGATATTGCTGGAATATTGCTAAAATGGTGTAAAACCAAACTCACTCACTCACTCACTCACTCACATGAGTACAATCACACCAAGATATGCATCAATATATGGGCAGGATTTGTGCAGGGTTCCAAACTAAGTGCCCTTGGCAGGCAGTTTAAGGGAATAAAATATATTCTTGCTGAAATTGGTCAATGAAACACAAGTCCCTCAAAGCCATAATAGTTTTTAACGCTTAATATATCAAATGAATTTAGGTATTGGTTATGCCAGTTTGGGTTTATTTACTGACATTTGCTGCAAAATTGGCCCAACATGGGTACAGTGTGTGAAGCCCATTTCTGGTGTCTTAATGCTGTGATATTGCTGGAAATTTGCTAAAAGCGGCATAAAACTCACTTACTCACCCTATAAACCCAGGGTTCACAGGAAACCGACTAATTTCAGGTGTCTTTACAGGAAGTATTAGCATGATTAGGGTGTGAGTGTCATGTACAGTGTGTAACATACCATACCAAGAATATCGTGAAACACAATAATTACCTCGAATGTAGGAACATTATAGTCTTGTCAAAGTTTTGGTATAGTGAATATTTTCATTTGTCCCTGGGGATGTAATATGTATTTTTCTTTCTATACATTTGTCTGTACTTTACACACATTTCTTGCTTCACATCGTATTAAAACCCTAATCAGATAAGTCGTGATAGGTGACTCATAGTGATATTGCACAAGAGAAGGGGGTAATTTTGTAGGGAGAGAGATCTGGGTCTCCAAGTAATCTGATGCTGCGGCTGTAACCTATATGCTATTTAATTGCTCGGAAGTTTCAAAGAGCTTGCCTACCTTCTAACTAATATTTGCTTTACATCGCATTCTTTATACATTTATCACCAAGGGGCGGTGGGGTAGCCTAGTGGTTAAAGCGTTCGCTCGTCACGCCGAAGACCCGGGTTCGATTCCCCACATGGGTACAATGTGTGAAGCCCATTTCTGGTGTCCCCCGCCGTGATATTGCTGGAATATTGCTAAAAAGTGGTGTAAAACCATACTCACTCACTCACTCACTCACTCACTCATTTATCACCATTTTACCCATGAAGATCTGGACCGGTTGTATCAAACTTTAATAAAGCTTTAATCGTTAGTTAAGCTATGATTAGTTAATCACTGATTATCTTTAGTTGCATGAAATCCTTAATAAAGGAATCCCTTCATTAATCCATCATTAAGCTAATGAAGGTTTGGGGGTATCATTAACTCATCATTAGCTGTATCAACATGGCAGACAACATAATGTACCATCAACCGACGTCAGAGAAAAGAGAAACATTTTCGTGAACGGATTAATTAACCCCACTGGGTGCCACAGGGACATATATGTCCTTCCTCTTTAACCCTCACTTTGAAGTTCAATAAAATTCTAAATATGTTACATATTTATATACAAATATACTTCACAGTTTTGAATTCCGCATGGAAATTCCCTGTTTCTTGATACCATCCACTATTAAATCAGACAAAACTAAAGTGCTTAAAATAACCTTTCAAAATAGACTTTTCGCCGTGTCGCCATTTTTGACACAATATGTAATCGCAATTCACAGAGTTATTTGCTGTAAGTTTTGACATGTGAAAATTTGACAATTACTGGGAATATAGAATTTCAAAAATAGCATAGTAATGATCACTGATATCAGTTTTTCATAAAATCACTAATGATAATTCTGAAGCGTTGCCTATTTTAACCTAGAATCGTTGGGATGTTTTCGAAAATATACTTACACAAACGCCAGAGAGCTTTCCGCCATATTGGATACTGTTTACAAAATCCGTTTAGCTTGAAGGCCGGTATTGAGACACCAATTACATCAATGCGTGATATTTCATATTAAGCTGCGAGAAATACATCAATGAATTCCCTATATATTTTGGAATCAAATTACAAATGGTCTTTGTCACCAATACCAACTGTCTAGATGAAATGAAACGAAAGATATTGGGGTGAAAACAAACATTGTACTTTCGAAGATTGCACTTGTAAACAAAGAAAAATCCGATTTTACACTGCGTAGCATTTTTCTGAATTGTCCGACACCCAGCCGTCCATTCTTTGCTTGCAATGGCTCAATATTTTTAGAATATGCATGGAAAGAGTATCGTGTAAGAAACAAGAAATTTAAAAACAGATACAATGCAATGATTTGATAATTCATAAGAATTTATCAAGGTTTCGTGCAGCGTGGCGTCATGACTGATGCAAAATAGCGCAGAATGACAGCGGTAATTATCAGCATTTCTGGCTTCTTCTCTTATTTATCCAATGAAACGATAAAAATATAACAATACACAGAGAGTCAGAATAATTCTGATTACTTACATCACATATTTATGTACAAATGATCCCTGAATCAAGGGAAGAGTCCTGCGCCAAATCCTGTGTACCCTTGTCAGCGAAATTAAGCCATTTTGTAAGAAATCGGTCAGCGATAGTGATGTCATCACGTCAACCTTGTTGCACATATTAGGCAATTTCTTTGAGGTGAAGGTCGGCTTTGAACAAGAGTAAACACAATCGCCCTATCCTTCCGATTACACTGTCAGTATTATGATGTGTATTTTAGCATTATAGTTCAGATACTTTTTCATGAAACTGACTTCAGTATCTACATTTAGTTTTGTTCAATATCATATCATACGTGGATATAGGGTATACATTCTATGTTTTTGAAAGTTTTTGATTGTTTGAATAATATTTACATAAGAAATTGACACATTTAGTGTAGTAGACCATATTCTGTCTGAAAACACTTTTATTTGCATTTTGAAACATGTTGTTCCATTTTGTATTGATTTCTTTGGACGTTCTATTGCTTACCCTAAAGCTATTCAGCTCAGACATTATTTTGTCCCATATCTGCTTCTTTTGTCATTAGTAATGGAGTTAGTCAGTTTGCTGTTTAACACACTGATATGATCTTCAACTAGGCCTGTATTTCACAACTTTCAAAGTTTTTACTGCGATTTCTGGACGGCAGCCATTATGCAGACTATAGATGAGTGTTTACCTGCAATGCATCATGGATAATAATTAGGGGATTCCCTAAGTTAATCATGGTTTAATGACGGGACCTTTATTAGAGGCATACTTAGTTAATGGGTGTTTAAATAAGGGTTTATACAACCGTATTTAAACACTTCATTAACTAATCAAACATTAAGAATTTAATCAATGATTAGTGTTTAATTGATGATTACATAATTACTGGCGTTGATACAACTGGGTCCAGGGTTAGAATTGATCTTCAGTAACCCATGCTTGTCGTAAGAAGCGACTAACGGGATCGGGTGGTCAGACTCGCTGACTTGGTTGACACATGTCAAGTAGATGTATATCACTGTATATTCCGGATACCTTGGTCCCTCTGCCATGTGGACAGGAACACACAGTTGTATAAACAATTGCAGCAATTGATTGTTTTGATCACTGCTCACTTGTTGCTAGTAAGCAGCTTGTCAGTGAATGTACATGACAATCCCTTGTTGATATTGATTGCTATTTTGCTGTCACATTATTTACAACTAATTCAATCATTGATCTTCTATATCATATTTATATTGTCAGATGAATCTACAGAGGTGCAGATAAGCTGCTTATCTGTGTAAATTACGCAAATATTCATAATTCCTGTTAAGTCTACTGCGTACAAGTACGCTTGAATTTTTGTAAATACTCAATAAATTTGATCTTACATGTGTACACACAAAATAGATAAAATAACTGAGGTATATTGAGAGGTTCTATTTCAGCACATGAACTAGGCAACTTGCAGTCTTTCTTATCATTTCTCATATTACAGATCAAATATAAATAACAAACCTTTCATTTTTACTTTATTATATTTTTACAATTAAGGGAAAATGTCAAAATCCCCAACTGAGTTTGAGTGAGATGGGTACAATTTATTTGGTTATTCAAAGGAAAATTAGGGTACCCAATTGAGATGAACACAAGCGAGTACATAACTCAATGACTCAAAAAGTTATCTATAGCTCTGAATCTATTTAAATGTTCTTATTTTAGCTCTCACAAATATATGTATTTAGAGGAAGATGATTTAACTTGGCTACCTTATTTTACTATGTTGTGTGATCTTGATTTTCTAGTGGTATGCTGTACCACATGTTGAGTTGGGAGTCATCTCCCTTGACTGTACTTTGGAAAGAGTCGTTGATAAAACATTGTGTCCTTGGAATTCAATGTGTCTGTTGTTGGCCTAAGAACCCAAACCAGAACACGTAGGAACTAAGTTCTACAAGATTAAAAAAATATCATCAATTTTTTTCAGTTTATATTGTTTATTCCCACTACTGTCCACAAAATCACTCTGTTTATCTTATCAGTATTTGTAACTGCCATTTTTAGAGTGTAATTATGCAAGCATTTGCAAATATTCTGTAACCGATGCTCTTGCTCTTGCACCACCATTAAAGAATAATTGACTTCAACTGACATGATAAGTGATGTTGTTAAGCAATGTATTGCATTATCTCTTCATCATATCTTGTTGTAAGCTCATGGCCTTGTATGTATGTGATCATATCATGATGTTTACGATGATTGTTAAATCACCCAAGTATTATAAGGGAGCATTCATTTGATTTCTATGCTTATGGGGGCGAGAAGATTTTTTAACTGGGTAATTGTTCAGAAATATGCCCTAAATTGTTTCCTGGCAATGGTGAAAATGTAAATGTAGTGATCTACACTACAACACTAATGTTTTAAACAATTTACCACTGAACCGAGGTAGAGATGTTGGGGACAGATAGCAGACACTTGGCCTACCTAACAGGATCTGTGTCGCTAAAACCTTTAGAAGACGTCACATGAGTTCCCCCGTTATGCGTACAAATGACGGTAGGTTGTTTTGCGTACATGTTCCATCTCTGAGTGATAAGTATGTCCTCGCCCCCCTCCATACACACCCAAGTTTGCTTTCACCACCAGTTACCAGATCTATAATCATAGTTATGTGTGTATATATAATTTTGTATCGTTAGGCCATACCAATTTGATTTCTTGTTTTACAGATTTTTGTCCTCAGAAAGAAAAAAGAAAAATAATCACCAGTCAAAGCAAAAACCACATGAGTTTCAATGTTAATCTTTTGGTTTGTTTATTAGGGCTGCACAATTCGGTTTGATTCATAGAAAATCAAATCTGACATCTTAGTCTCGATTTTCGATAATCATAATCACTATTCCGATTCAATATTTGAATACCTATTTAAAATATTTCCACACTACCAGAACATAATTTTGATTCCAACTCAAGCAGTTTCTAGTGCTGAAATACGGCGAAACGTGATTGGTTGACGCCTAATTGGCTAATTATCCAATGAGAATTGTTGTTTGTAGAAATCGCCAAGTTGACGATGGACTTCCCGCTAAAAAAGCCGAGCCTGAGGGTTAAATGAAATCTGATGTTTTTACTTGTATGGCTAATCGAATCGAAAATGATCAAATTGAGGGTCCAATATCGAAAATCGAATCGAATCGAGGTCTGGGTGAATCGTTGCAGCCCTATTGTTTATATCAACTAAAACTAAGTTGAGTGAGTTTAGGTTTCAAATGATTTCAAGATTATTTCACTTATATCACATTAACAATACGATTATATTTTTTGAACAGGGAAAAATTATTTTTATTTATTTTCTTATTCTAGAAAAAATATGACCGGAGGATCTGTAAAACAAGAAATGAAATTGGTCTGGCTTTATTTTGGAAAAATAGATGTTTAGTAAATGATGCCATGTAATATTTCAGATAGGATGTCAGTGGTTGATGACACATAGTCACTAGATGCTGGAAGCCCCACGTTCTGAATCTGACATTCATCCACATGATCATCTAAGATGGGAAAGCGAAAGAAACTGAGTTCTGTCATTATAAGCCTGTTGCTCCTGTCAGTTTACTCTCAGGATGCCCAATCCCAGCAATCTAAACCAAAACGTGAGTTTACATTGGGAAGCACACAAGATGGTGTTTAATCTAAACATGTTTATAGTGAAGGTTTGTTGATTTTTGCATGATCTCTCGGGATGGTAAAAATTATTGATAATTTGAAATATTGCTGATAGGGAAAAATATTACTGATCATCATAATGAAAATTTGTGTTATCAATTATGAATAATATTGTCCATTACCTTTTGCGATACTCTCACTTCTTTCTTACTCAATATACAAGGTTACCGGTAAGTCTTCATTCATGGACTGACCGTCTCCGTGGTGTAGTGGTTAGAGCGTCCGCCGCCAGGAGAGCGGAAGGTTGCCGGTTCGATCCCCGACCGCGTCATAGCAAAAGACGTTAAAATATGGTACTTGTTGGTCCCTGCCTGGCGCTCGGCATCAATAGGTACAACAAGGACTGGTCGGCTCGGAGTCAGTATAATGTGTCTGAGTGGGGTATTCATGCTTCACTGCGGCGTGGTATCTCAGTGGGCTAGCACTATAAAACCAGCTTAAGTCTGGGCTAGTACAAGCAGCCGCACATACACATACACACGCATGCACGTCGTCATATGAGCGAAATAGTCTCAAGCACGACGTTAAACCCAATTTCACCTCACCTCACCTCATTCATGGACTGCTTCTCAATTATGTTCAGGATGCTGTTGTGTTAGTAGTCCGTGTATAAACATGTCACCACTTCACTGTACCTAAGGTGATGCTGGTAACGTGCGTTAGCAGCATCACAACATAGCGGCAGACAAGATCGCTTGGTAATTATTCCCTTCGGTTTACAGTCTAATCCACGTGTATACAATCAACATTATTTAACACACTGATAAACTTTGATTGTGCGAATACATTGAATGTACTGAATGTGCTTATTAATGTCTATGTGTTGAAGAATAAGCATTTTTACAATCGTGCGAGGATGTCGGTAACTCAAGTCTGGATGGCGGTAACGTGCAATGAAAGATGCTGGTAACACATACTGTCCTGCTTTAGTTGGTAAACAGAAATTGTGGGTAAATAGAAATACAAAGGAGATACTAATATCAGTTCTTATGTTTTACACAGATGTGTACTGCTGCTACATTAACAGTATGGGGACACCAGAAATGGGCTTCATTCATTGTCTGTGAACCGGAGAGTTGTTGCTTGCCTTGAAGCAGGGTGTGTTTAATCACACTATTTATGTGGCGTTTCATTGAACTTGAACGGATTATAAGATATGTGTGCCATTAGGCTGAGAGTTTTTTCTCTGTCCCTCCTTAATTCGGACATTTGACATGTTGATTTCGTTGCAGTGTTGACGGTTAAAGTACATTTTACAGCGTGCATTTATTGGGTAGGGCTGAATATATAAAGCTATATAGTCTGTCAACCTGACTTTAGGGACTGTATATTTTGCAACTATTTGTTTTCTTATTCGTTTCAGAGTAAAAGTGTTTACATGTACCTTCATGTTTCTCCGTGACCTCAGGAACCTATTATTAATATCACGGTGATCGCCTATTCAAAAAGATTTAGTCCCATTTCTGCAGTGAGATTATCACACCTTTTAATTGGTCCAGCGCGTTGTCCCATTTCTGGCAGTGCCATTTCCGTAAGTCCCATTTCTGGCAGTATGCTGTTCGCACCGCTTAACTGATAGTTAAAAGATTGCTAATTGGACTTGAGTAGGCTAATTAAATGGGTTAACGATATCGGTCAATGATACGTTACCAGGAGAGACACAAGCAAATAAAAGAAACATGATTGGCAAGTCATAAGATTTTATTATATACAAGTATAAAATAAATCATGATATTTCACTGCATCAATCACCTTAGAGTTCAGATTAAAGTTGATATCACTGATCAGAGTTCAAGTCTTGAAAGAACCCGCAAGCACTGCTCCACAAGCTGACCGATATGAAGCAATGCCTCTCTCACATAACTATATACACCATATCCTGTCCAAAGAAAAAAACACTGCGTTCATAATCATTAGAGGGGCAAAGGATTAACTGCCCAAGTAGCATTTAGAAGAGATATACATATATGCAAGAATTTTATGGATGTCAACTTCTTTATTGAGAAGGGTGACGACGTTTCGAAGTATATTCTTACTCCTTCATCAGGTGAATGAAACAATTAGGTGCAGACAGCTATATTATGTACATGTTAAAACAACAACAGTTATGAGATAACAAGTGAAACTAGTAGTTAATTGGTAGATGGACAAGTGGAAGCCAGGGATTGTTAATCCTGGCATAGTTGATTTAGGTAGCATTGAATTAATTAAGGATTAATTAACCCAATTTTGGCCTACCTTTAGAATACAGCACCACAAACTTTGAAATACGTCTTAGTGTGACTTTGTTCCAAAGCACGTTCTCAAAACAATGCCCTATGACGCCTACATAGCAACAAGGTTGTCAAGCTAAGCGAGTGCGTATAAGCTCCGTTCAGTGATGTTTCATCTCTACTGGCTATCTCATTGCATAAGCCCAACGATGTTGAGTTTCCCGCAATAGTTTACAGGCGGATGCGCAATTATTTGCAAGCACCAGTTTACCATTGTTTTGTTATTTCACAAATACGCTGATAATAATTTACATTACGGGGTGCTGAGGTGTTATACTTTGTGTGTTTTTTGTGTTTTTTTGCATTTTATATTTTTTCAATTTAGTAAAAATGCATTTTACCTGTCACATTATGCCAAATTCTATTATTCGCAGTTTTGGTCAATTTAATCATTATATTGTTGAGATTAGGGTTTAGGGTTAGTGAGGGTTTTAGGGTTAGGGTTAGTTAGGGTTTAGGGTTAGGAATGGCTTTGGTTGGGGCGGAGATTCTTCTTTTTTTTTTAAATCCATGGCGAACATTCACACAAGCACCATACATTTACTATTGTGAATGAAATTAATAATACACTCAGCAAAAGTAAATGTAATGGCGTTTGGTGAAAACCAAACATGGATTGAGGCGGCGTCGTTCAAGGCATGATCAGTACTCAGTCAGTTGGCAGGAGAGGAAGCAGCAAGAACCGTGGAGGAAGCAGGCTGAAGTGGAATGGATCCAGGCATGTTATTAATAGGATACTGTCGGGCAACTTCACGAAGTAGAGCATCAAACAAGTCCCCTTCACCCCAAGATACCTTTACTCTCTAGATATGTTCATTGAGATAGGGGGGGCGGTGGGGTAGCCTAGTGGTTAAAGCGTTGGCTCGTCACGCCGAAGACCCAGGTTCGAATCCCCACATGGGTACAATGTATGAAGCCCATTTCTGGTGTCCCCCGCCGTGATGTTGCTGGAATATTGCTAAAAGCGGCGTAAAACCAAACTCAGTCAGTCATTGAGATAGGATTCAAAGAGAGACTTGACAGTGCCGTACTTATTCATGGAGCGCTTCGCATGAAGCCATTCTCCTTCAATTGTATTTGTATGCGCACCTGTAATGGGGTCTCTGAAATTCTCGGAATGGTTGACAGTGAGATGTGTGTAATCCGGATCAGAATCGAGAGAACTGTATGATTTCCAACAGTCGGACATGATAATAGAACCGGGTAAAATCCATTGCTTGATTAATGGAATCAAAGTGTCAGCATCACTGCATTCTACTGGTACCATAAAAATCTTATGTCGGGCCAATCTCTCAACACCTCCGAACACCAACTGGCCCTCCACATAATGACCTTTATGATACTTTCGTTTGCCAAACTTTGATTCATCAATCTCAACAAAAATACCTGGCCCACCTATCTTTTCCATCCTCCCATAAACCGACTTATCACACACCTCACGACAAAAGTTGTACCAGTCAGTAGTCGTTGCTGAAGAGAAAACGTACTCAGTCTGACAATCAAGCTGAGAGCGGTTCCGACACCAGGGAAAAATCAATTTCAAACATTCAGCCATATTGATGCGAGCATCAGAGAACCAGCTTTTAGTTCGGATTGATTTGTAACACTGATGTTTAACTCCATCACTCGTTCTACGACAAGCCCAACGAATGCCGTCACTACTCCGATGAATCCCAGTTTCCTCTGCAATATACATTGACCTCTTGCATACATCACAGGTGACATGGTTACAGAGTAACCCACGGTTCATGCACCAAGCCAAAGTAGCACGAATCGTCACAAATACTTGAAAGAGCAACCAATCATAAGTTATGACCCTGGAAGCCCTCCCCAAATCTCTCCCATATGAACTTACCCAAGGAGCATCAGTACAACTTGGAAATGAAGGAAAACTGCCATCCGCCTTCCCAGTGTCTCCCACATCCTTATTCCTGGCCCTCTTATCCTTACTCCCATGAACCACGTTCTCCTTCCTTGCTCCCGTGCGCCACACTTTCTTTTCCATCACAAAATCCTCGAACGAATCGTTCAAAGATCCTGCCATCGTGAATTACGGTGTTTGCCCTTTCAATGTCAAGAGTGAAATGACACTTAGATTACCCAGGCCCGCGAACTTGCGCCAGCAAAAAAAGAATGACGTCATGAGTTTCCAAGGTTACCCGTCATTTCCGAACAACTTCGACAATGTACGTGGTATGAATTCACGTGACACTGTAGACTTCGTTAGGTTTCTGGTGATTTCCGTGACGTCACAGGAATGACTCGATAAATTTGAACATTGTGCAACAGTGTGGACGTAGCTCAGTCGGTTAGCTGTCAGGCTAACAATCCAAAGGTCGCGGGTTTGCATCCGACGGGTTCTCACAAACTGGTTGCCTGTCTCAGTGACGTGACCTACGGCTGAGAATGTCCTCACGAGAAGTTGTGGTGCTGTATTCTAAAGGTGCTCCCCAATTTCATATTCACACAGACCAATTAGTCCTAATTAGTGATGGTAGTTGTCCCAATTCTGGCAGTGCAATTTCCGTATGTCCCATTTCTGTCAGTGGATTATAACACCTCCCTAATTACTTCATCTTGAGACTGCCAGTTTTGGGATGAAACCTTTAAAAAGTTACCTATATAACTATACACATGGCACTTGATTAAACACCCCCGATATTTTCATATTGCCATGAAACTGAGCAACCATTACCATTAGTATGCATACTGGAAAGCTTAAACTCCATTGTTTCCTGAAAGTTGACATTTTGGACAAAATCATGAAAATTTGCAATACTTTAATTTACAAAATGACATGAAAACGTCAACGATGTTTGTCAACGAAATGTATCCCTGTACAACTATGGGGCTGCAGAGTTCCAAGATGGGAGAGGTCTCTCAGTCTGAAAATGTTCTCTGTTATCTTCAGACAACAAATCACATGAAAAATGTTTAATAGCGTGCATATCCACCTTGTGCACTGATGACTGCTTTGAGCCTCCTCCTCATGCTTGTCGTGAGTCTCTAGATTCGCTCCAGAGGCAGCTGCTGCCACTCCCGGCGCAAAGTTGCTTCCAAACATGCCAAATCTTGTACAGGCGGATCCAGTGCTTGCACTCGGCATCCAAGAATGATCCAGTCAGGCTCCAATGGGTTCAGATCCGGGCTCATAGCAGGCCATGGAAGTTTGGTTACAGTGTTGTTGGAGAAAAATTGTCACAAGTCGGGAACGATGTGGTCGGGCATTGTCATCCATAAATACAGAGCGAGTGGCTAATGGGTGGTTATCAAAATGTGGCACAAGAACAGGATCCAGAAAGACATTCTTAAGAGGCATTTAGAAGTTGGTGAATATATAAGACGAGTATATGGATGGCAACTCCTTGCTTATTGTATAATACGTTTCTGGGCTACTTCTTGCCCCTTCTTCAGGTGATTAAAGACATATGTAGAAAGCAAACTATATATACCAGATTTACCGGAAGCCAGATATGTACATGTATATACAGTCAATCACAGAGGACCAATCAAGAGCTGCTATAAAAACCTTGATAATTGGGATAAGGTAAAGACATTTGACACAACTTATGAGGATAAAAGAAGTGGAAACAGCAGAGGCTCACAGATCGAGTATTGGGGTCGCCGCGCTAATCTGAAGTACGGTAAGCCGATGTTTTCATAGCAATTCGCTTTCGCGGCACTCCCAGCACAACTTTGATTTTCGCTTTAACCGGGAATAGGGAATATTGAAATTTCGCTTTTCCAGGCTGACACCATTTCAATGAACAGTTACCAAGCCCAGTTTATGATCATGGGAGAGACACCCCCCATGACAGATCCACGACCGTAAGGAAATGATGCTCTGATGTTCTTAGGCTCATATGCACTGTTCTTGGTCCCCTAGACTCGCTGACGCCCGTCTGTGACGTGCAATAAAAATGACTCGCATCCGACCAATGCACCTGCCTCCATGACGCCAACTTCTAATGACTTCGGGGTAAACACCACTCCAAATGAGCTCTCTTGTGAAGATTGGTCAAGGCTGGATGCTTGGTCACCCTTCTTGCCCCTCATCCCATGTGCCTTTATGCGGTTTCATACAGTCCTATTGCACAGACGTATGTTGGGGAGCCATTGGTGCTTCAGGACGCCATTTGTAGTGAAAGGCTGACGTCTCACATCCCGGTCCTCAACTTTTTTCCAATTTGTATTTCAGTACACCAGGGTTACATGTTTGTACAGTTAGCGTTGTTAGTGTGGATTCTGTTGCAGTTTCTTTAAGCGTAATTGGCTCTTCAAGTATATCAAATATATCTTCTTTTTTATTTCCGGAGTATCTGTTGTTTCTAGTATGTTTTCTGCCATCTCATAGTCAGTTTCAGTTTGCTCAGCATATAATGTCTCATAAAAATTTTTTAGTTCATTTCTTATTTCTTTTCCATCAGTTATTATACAGTTATTACTATATATTTATCCTTAACTCTCTTCTTTGGGGGTTTACCTGGCTTTGGTCAGTCCATAACCTTGTTGGTGTGACAGTGTTTTCGACTTATGACGGTGTGGTGAATGTCAAGCTGTCGCCCTATAGCCCTACATGACATTCCGGTGTCGTGCATTCAAATAATTTGCCATCTCCTTACTCCTGGTAGTCTCCCTCGTGCCATTGTAACAGATACTGGTAAAATCATTAAGAAGTTTTGGCGTTTTATACAGTTAGCCGCATTAATATTAATAGTGCTTTTTGAGACAATCGTGGGTAGTGTGCTTCAACTGCATATTGAGATGTGTTTTGACGATTGATTTTGCAAAGCCCTTAAACAATATTGAAAGGAAATACAATTCAAATGATAGTCATCGTTACAATTCAAGATTTATCATTAGGTAAGTCAGTAACTTAAAAAATGTTGGGCGGTGCTTAATTAAGTTCCATGTGTATATCTTTATTTTTTCTGTGATTGTTTTGATCAACTCAATCTGGGCATGGGTTCAATTGATGTCGGTGCAAAATATGCAGTCCCTAAAGTAAGGTTGACAAACTATATAGCTTTATATATTCAGCCTTACCAAATAAACGAATTGAGGAGGGACAAAGAAAAAGGTCTGTAAAATGTACTTTAAAATCAACATGTCAAATGTGTCCGAATTGAGGAGGGACAAAGAAAAAGGTCTCAGCGTAATGGACAATGGGCACACACATCTAAATCCGTTCAAGTTCAATGAAACGCCACATAAATAGTGTGATTAAACACACCCTGCTTCAAGACAAGCAACAACTCTCCGGTGCACAGAAAAAGTCGCCCATACTGTTAATGTAGCAGCAGTACACATCTGTGTAAAACATAAGAACTGATATTAGTATCTCCTTTGTATTTCTATTTACCGACAATTTCTGTTTGCCGACTGAAGCAGGACAGTATGTGTTACCAGCATCATTCATTGTACGCGTTACCGCCATCCAGACTTTGTGTTACCGACATCCTCGCGTGATTGTAAAAATGCTTATTCTTCAACACAAAGCAAATTCAGTGCATTCAATGTATTCACACCATCAAAGTTTATCAGTGTGCTGAATAATGTTGATTGTATACACGTGGAAGACTGCTATTTCGAAGGGAATAATCGCCAAGCGATCTTGTCTGCCTCCATGTTGTCACCTTAGGTACAGTGCACTTACCAGTGATGTGAAAAATATTAATTTCTTTCAGATTTTTTGTTCTTTTTGCTCAAAGTTACTTTTCTGATATTTATCAATAAACGATTGATATTTAGTTAACGATTATCGATCTCTGTCAGAGCTCCAGATAAGATTTAGCTCATGTGGGTACTGTACCCACTGTATTTTTGGGGAGTGGGTTTTATGCATGTTGAGTGGGTATTTCATTTTCCGTTTCCCACTGCTTTCAAATATGTGCGTATTTCAGTCATTTTACTCACCTCAGTATTATGTCATTGAGTAAGTTTACTAAGCAGGTATGTTCTGCCTTATGTCATACCTAATCAAAACCAAGTTAAATTTAATGGAAATGATTTCATAAAAAACTCACTCATCCTATACTGACAGTACAACACTTGTCCTATACTGACAGTACAACACTTTATAGCAATCGATGTCTTTTTCATTACGCAAGCGATTTTATAAATATATTCTGTACGCATTTGTTTTAAACTTTTTGTGTATCTAACATTTTAAATGCGTAATTAGTATGCAACAATTATTTTTCAATGCGTATTTGGAAATTTTCTATGCGTATTTTACCCAGATACGCAGCTTATCTGGGCCTCTGTCTGTGATATATATTGACAGCCAGATATTGATTGGAAAACAAAATTTACTAGTGCAGGCTTTAACATGCACTTAGGACACTTATTGAGGTGAATGCAGTATTAATGGATTAATTACACAAACTGCCATTGGTTTTGTCTTTTTGAGGAATGATAGATATATCATGACATCTGTATATAGAGATACGATTACCAGGAAAACAAGATGAAACAATGCGTATCAGGGTTGCTAATAACCCATTGCCCCACTTCCCAGTCCAGTGTTTTTTTTCTGTCTGGCATGCAAATTTGTATATTATGCTGTACCGGTGTCCAGTTGACTTTCCAATGTTAATTATGTTGTTTATTTAAAAAATCAACAAGAAGATTGGCCGGTATAGTGGAAAAATTATCAGGGCAAGTGACTGTACATGTGCCACTGTACCGGAGTACACTAGCAATTTTATAGTTTCCACCCCTGCTTATGCTGAGATTGTTGTTCATGTAGCCTACCTGGAGAACTGCCCTGATCTAGAGCCCTTCCTGTTCCTAATGTTCTGTGGGGATCCAGTGATGCCTAGCAGCTGTATCCTGGAGAAATGGCTGTGTGATGGAACACCCGAATGTCCCAATGGAGAAGACGAGACAAATGCAACTTGTCGCAATGGTAGGCTTCACATTCTAACATTTGGACAATGTCAGTATTGTGCTGTTCACCAGCATCTGTTGGTTTTGTGGTTATATCATGTTATTAATGCCAATGTCGTACCATTACTCATTAAATGTGAATACTGTATGAAGCATTTGACATACGTTTCAGATGACGCATCTACACCATCCTTTTAGATAGGACACAAATGTATTTTATAGCCAATAACCATGGTAAAAAACAAACAAATATGTCCTGTCATATTAAATGTCACTGCATGTTCTATGGATGAAGGGCAGACAAATTGAGATCAGAATCTGATCATTTACAGTGTTTAACAAAATGGTACTGCTTGAATCACTGAACTGATCAAGTTTCAATTTTATGTTACGTGTGATTGACTGTCTGAGGTGATGTACATTCACATTTCAGAGTTTCAATTGTTAAAGATTTATGACTTCTCTGCATGTACAACAACAGCTTCTATAGTCTGTCATCCTTACTTTTGGCGCTTGTATTTTCACAATGTAATTCACCTTAGTAAAAAATAATAGTGGCAAAAGTGGGGTTGCTGGACATTAAGTAACTGCAATAATATGACAACCGTAACATTTGGGAAAGCATACCTTTTCTTTCCAGCCTAATTCCTAATATTCACTGAGATTCAAAATGATAAACTTAATGCCATGAATGTATCTGTTGATCCTTACCTTTGGCGCTTGTAGGAGACCCATGTGAGGGACGGCCATGTCAGAATGGAGGAAGCTGTTACGGCTACCCGTTAAACCCAAACATCAGTGTAGCCTACTACATATGTGTGTGCCCCCCGGGCTGGTATGGTGTGACCTGCAACAGCACCACGGCCCCGCCCACCACCACCACACCTGCTCCACCTCCGACCACCCCGCTCCTGCCACCTGTCAATTCCACGGCATCTCCAGGTAAGTGTGGTTAATGGTACACCAAATAGTGTATTTACAGTGCAGTATTGATTATTTTTCCTTATCCTGACTCATGCTCTTTTTGCTTGTCTCCTTCCTCTTGCGAACATAGTGGAACACTTGTATCTCCCTAATTGAAGTTCCCTTCAATGTAAAATCACTAATTAGTACACCACGAGTTACCTCCCTTCCACAAGCGCGGGAACGAGGGCGCCACCTCTACCCATGTGCCTCACTCTCTCCTTCTTCGCCCAGTGAGCTGGACGTGAGAGCGCCTGTGTCTCCCGACACACTATATCCTTTGATTATATTTAGTTAGTTACCTCGTATAGAGATCTATAGAGGTTTAGCTAGTATCTTTCAACAATTATATATTGATATTTAGTCGTGTTTCTACTGTTTATACACGGGACGCCTCGCTGTTGCAGTGGATTACGTTGATAAAAATTCTGTACTGTTGCACATTACGTTTTTTATTCTGCTGCTGATCCGCATTTAATATGCCCTAGCTGTACTGCGCCATGTTTCATGTGATTCGCGTTGCAGTTCGCGATACTAATTTATCCAATTCTACCTTTAATAAATAATTACGTTTGCTTTGAGACGACAGCAGATAGGTCAGCGTATGCAGAGTCTAGCATGACTGATACACCTGAACCCTCGCCAGTCTACTGCTGTTGGTCAACCCCCCTCCCGTCTGGTTTTCCGCTAGAATGGTGGAGAGGCGTGGGACGTAGTCCGCCGCCTCCAAGAAGCGTCCTGCTTCCCCAGACATCCCTTCGCCGCACTGAGGGGTAATCAACTAAGTCTACTAGAACTTTCTCAGCCGAGATTGTTCTCATCGCAGATTTGGGCCTGTATGATGATCAGCCGATCATCATTCCTGATGTACATCAAAGAATGACTGATGTCGGCAACAGTGATGTCAGCGCCAGATCAACATTCGATGATCTTCCTGAGGGTCCCGTCGCTACCAACACTCAGCGCAGACTTCGCACCCCAGGGCAGCGTCGACCTCTGAGGGGAATTCAACGAAGTCTACTAGGACTTTCTCAACCCGAGATTGTTCCAGCCGCTGAAATTGGCCTACGATGATCAGCCGATCATCATCCCCGACGATATGAGACAAGTAGCGACCGGTGAGCAGCTACAATGACATCAGCAGAGATCGTCATGCAGCCTGATGTCTCTACACTGATGTCAGACGACTTACCTGAGGGCCCCACCACTAACAGCGCAGAGATGGCACCGACTACTTCGTCGCAGACCATCCCAGACGAGCTACTACGGCAAATCATGGTCGTGATGGAGGGTCACTACAGACTGGAGAAGCAGCCAGCCCAGAGTACGAGCCTTCGCGAAGGCTCCAACTTAGACAACACTCTAGAGGCACCTCCAGTCAACGTAGCAGCCAAGACGATGCAGCCTTCGCGAAGGAAGTCGCAGACCACCTTGACGAAGGACCCAGATGTACAGCCTTCGCGAAGGCGGGATAGATCATCACATTCCTCGGCTTCATCCTTAGATGCAGACTCAGCCACCAGACCTCACGGAAGCCTTCGCGAAGCTCAAATCGCCGTTCCCCAGGACCGAACGCAGAGGAAGCTTCGCGAAGGCACTCGGGAAGGACACCCGAATATAGATCGTCATTTAACAGAGTCAAGGGACTACTCAAGAGCTTCGCGAAGCTGTCAATAGTCTCCGATCTCCTCGTACATCACCACATCGATCGCCTCACAGGTTACCACACAAGTCTGCACACAAGTCTACATCACCTTCCTAGAGTGGCAGTACGACGCAGACATACCTGATGAAGGAAGACGATGCAGATGCTATCACCCTACCTCCGATCGACCCGATTGCTGCGGTAGCACAGAATCTAGACATAGCATCCCATAAAGCCACAAAAGTTCAGACACCATAATTGCCGAACTTTCACGCCTAGAAGTTTTCCACGCACAACATGGACCCCTTCTTCAAGGCTTAAGACATCGATGAAAACTACAAGTTGATCATCGATATCAACAATAAGAACTACAATCGTAAATTGGTTCAGTTGAATCCATGGCCGAGACGTATGTTCGTTGGCCTAAATAGATCTAGAGCGATCATTGAGACACTTATCACCAGATTTCGTGAGTAACCACGACTTCTGAAAATGATAAGATGATCCACTCGGCCCTACTTATGCAGAACCAGCAAGTCCCAGGCGCCTCGGCGAAGGAGCTAGAGCCTCACCAGCTACAAGGGGCGTCGGCGGAGGAGTAAGCGCCGCCGACCCCACATCCTGTTAAACACAGAGGCCATTCGCGAAGCAAAGCTCTTATATATATATATATATATATATATATATATATATATATATATATTCTAATCGGACTTTGACTCGATACCTTCGCGAAGGTCGCGCGAAGGCTAAGTGGCTCAAGTCTACTTCACCAGTAGATCTAGAAGGGATACTTGAGAGCTTCGTGAAGTCTCCGTTCACCGAGGAAGTCTCCTCCAAGGTCTCCATATACTAGCCACTTTCGTCATATATAGCTACTCCTCAGTCCGTTCAAGACATCGCATAAGTTGTCTATCAACTGTATGCCAGATGCCGTCTATAAGCCTACGCGAAGACAACTGCACAGGCTATTTACAACACAGAACGTCGCTGTATTAATTTGTCAACGACGTTTCATAGATCTTCACAGAAATCAACTATTCCGTATAAATTGCTAGTATATGCAATCCCGGACGACGATACGATTATCTACATGCGTGACCATTACGCATATCTGCAGACAATTCAATATCAATGAACGAGCAAGCCTCCTTACAGCCCAGTTAACCTGAACCTTCATGATTAGGCTGCTTTCTTCAGGTTAGAGACCTCCCCTGTCAAGTTTAGACAAGGGCACAGCAGTCAGGCGATTTTACATAAAGTTCATCGAGGACACAAACTCCCGGTTGTGCACATACATCGTCAAGGACATCGCAACGATTTACCTAGACGACGTGATACAAGTGGATCGAAATCCACAGCGTTTCAGACTACACCTGAATTTCATCATCAAGCTACTAACACAACTAGATGGTTAGTAAACCTACTAAGTTTCTGTTTGGAGAATAAACGGAAGTTTCACGTACCAACTTGGGGATATGAATATAGTGCTACAACACCTCACAAGTGAGGTTTATGAACATGCCTGGATGACATACTTGGACTCCATGATACGATGATGCTATCACGCTGGCCAGCAAGAGCACTGTAAATTTATCTCCACCAAACCAAACAGGAAGGAAAAATACAACAGATTTTTTTCCTCTATCATCAACTTACGCAGAGTGTAGTCTCACGTACTATATCTCCGTTTGGATCAGAACTGTCATACTACGTGCATACAAGACAGATGGACCTAATCCGACCCTCCATGAGCTTTAATACTCTTGATATTAGAGCTAACTTCTACAATTTCATCTACACAAATGTTATTTGAAATAATGGAGGGTTTATTACTGTAGATCCGATATGGTGGTTGCCAACCATTATCTGAGAGATATCACCACCGAGGACGTCTCAGGTATCCACCAATTCGATCCCATGGTCCTTGCACAACAGTTGACAGTTCCTCGGAGAAGATAAGTCAATCTTACAGATTTTTACTTATCTTATAACAGTACTAAATAGCTTCATGCTATATATAATTTGCTTAAGCTCGTTTTTTATCATCACAGTGGTTACATGATAAATGCATTAGCTAACAAACTCTACAGAGTTTTTTTTGGCTATTATATACGTAGCTTAAGTCAAGTATATTTTAAGCATAGTACTATACTCATATTGTAAAAATACATTAGCTAACAAACTCTACGGAGTTTTGCTATTATATAGGTAGCTTAAGCTCATTCATATCTTAAGCTCAGTACTATGTTTATATCATATAACTATATTAGCTATCAAAACTCTAAAAGAGTTTTTTGCTATTATATATTGGGCTTAAGTTTTCATCATATTTTAAGCTTTATGGTTACATTATATCATGTATTAGCTAACAAACTCTACGGAGTTTTTGCTATACATATGTAGCTTAAGGTTTCTTCATATCTTAAGCTCAATACTATGTTGATACCATATAAGTATATTAGCTATTAAAACTCTAAAAGGTTTTTTGCTATTATATATTTAGCTTAAAAGGTTTACTTCATATCTTAAGCTCAATACTAGGTCTAAATCAACATAATAAAATGTATTAGCTATCAAACTCTACGGAGTTTTACTATTATATATTTATAGCTTAAGTTTAATCATATCTTAAGCTCAGTACTATGTTTATAACATAAAAGTATATTAGTTAATAAACTCTAAGGAGTTTTTTGCTATATACATTTAGCTTAAGTCTAATCATATCTTAAGCTTAGTACTATGGTTACATTATAAATCTATTAGCTAATAAGCTCTACAGAGTTTTTGGCTATTGTATATGTAGCTTAAGTTAATTATATCTTAAGCACAGTACTATACTCATATTGTAAAATATATTAGCTAACAAACTTTACTAAGTTTGGCTATTATATATGTAGCTTAAGTTAATTATATCTTAAGCACAGTACTATACTCATATTGTAAAAATATATTAGCTAACAAACTCTACTAAGTTTGGCTATTATATATGTAGCTTAAGTTAATTATATCTTAAGCACAGTATTATACTCATATTGTAAAAATATATTAGCTAACAAACTCTACTAAGTTTGGCTATTATATATGTAGCTTAAGATAATTATATCTTAAGCACAATACTATACTCATATTGTAAAAATATATTAGCTAACAAACTCTACAAAGTTTGCTGTTATATATATAGCTAAGCTTATTCATATCTTAAGCTCAGCACTGTCTATATCATATAAATATTTTAACTAACAAACCCTAAAGAGGTTTGTTATTATATAATTAGCTTAAATTTAATCATATTTTAAGCTTAGTGCTATGTTTATATCTTAAAGTATTTTAGCTAACAAACTCTAAGGAGTTTATACTAGCATATTAACAAGCTTAAGTCTATTAGTCTTAAGCATTGTATTAATATTATATATACTTTATCATAATAAGTACATTGTAATAACCTCTATATGGCAGCTGATAAGCTGGCAGCAGGAATTCATCAGTTCAATGCCTTTATGAAGTTCCCATAGGGTTATTACAATCATCACAGTTCAAATCACTAATTATTAAAATCCAAAGTATTATATATTCCCACCTCCGCTCTGTTGGATTCTACAAGCAAAAAGAGCATGAGTCAGGATAAGGAAAAATATGTAATTTTTTGAGTAAAATTGATATTTTATACTTATCCTGACTCTTGAGTCAACCCTCCCATCCTCCCCAAATAACACTTTGGATTTCCCTGTAAATTCAAATGTTGGGCTCAGTATATGAGGAGAGAGTGAGGCACATGGGTAGAGGGGGCGCCCTCGTTCCCGAGCTTGTGGAAGGGAGGTAACTCGTGGTGTACTAATTAGTGATTTTACATTGAAGGGAACTTCAATTAGGGAGATACAAGTGTTCCACTATGTTCGCAAGAGGAAGGAGACAAGCAAAAAGAGCACGAGTCAGGATAAGTATAAAATATCAATTTTACTCAAAAAATTACATGTTGTTTAACGACGCACTCTGCAATATTCCAGCTATATGGCAGCTCTGTAAATAATCAAGTCTTGACCAGACAATCCAGTGATCAACATCATGAGCATCGATATACACAATTGGGATGTCCACCATGTCAGCGAGTCTGACCAAGCAATACCGTTAGTGGGCTCTTACGACAAACATGGGTTACTGAAGACCAATTCTAACCCGAATCTTCACGGGTTACAGAAGAGTGAACTACATTTATATTGGTGGTTGTTTAATGCTGAATTCAGACTTTAGTAATGATTAGTGTGATGTAAGCTATTCTACCTGTTTTGCCTCTGTTTACAGTGGCCGCCTCCGTGGTGTAGTGGTTAGAGCGTCCGCCCGGAGAGCGGAAGGTCGCGGGTTCGATCCCCGACGCGTCATACCAAAAGACGTTAAGATATGGTACTTGTTGGTCCCTGCCTGGCGCTCGGCATTAATGGGTACAACAAGGACTGGTCGGCTCGGAGTCAGTATAATGTGTCTGAGTGGGGTATTCATGCTTCACTGCGGCATGGTATCTCAGTGGGCTAGCACTATAAAACCAGCTTCAGTCTGGGCTAGTACAAGCAGCCGCACATACACATACACACGCATGGACGTCGTCATATGAGCGAAATATTCTCAAGCACGACGTTAAACCCAATTTCACCTCACCTCACCTGTTTACAGTGGACCCAACCATCTGTGATAGTAAACCCTGCTTGGAGGGTGTGTGCACTGCTCTAAGAGGGGCTCAGTACCACTGCAACTGCATTCCAGGTATGTGTTTGTAGTGCTTATTCTGTTGGTATGTGTGTCTCTGTCAGTAGTCATTAGTCGTCTGCTAGTAACTGATAGTATTTAATGCAAGTTGTGTGGTAATAAAGAGGATATTTGTTAGGGGTGTCATGATACACCAATCTCCACGATACGATACGTATCACGATTTTAAGGTCACGATACGATAGGTATCGCGATACATAATTTTCGCGCCTTTTCATAGCATTACCTTACCGGCAACGTACGCGCTCGCTGATTGGTCCATCAAAATAGTCTAGCCAATCACAAAAGCTGTTAGTTTCCTACCTATTTTTTAAGTAAAGCTAGCTACATCTATTTATCGGAGCGATCTCGTATAATTTTACTATCAAGACTTTGAAGGAGATGGATATAGCATAAAAATTTGAATCGATAAAGTTTTAAAATAGGAATCGATACACGCAAGCATGTATTGCGTATCGTATCGTCAGTAAAAATGTATCGATGCATCGATACATTCGCGTATCGCAACACCCCTAATATTTGTCTTACCTTGTCAAATAACATGTTTAACTGAAAACCTCACTGACTGTTCAACATCACTCATATATATCAACTGTTAATGTTACCTTGATAATTGTGTTAGAATCTTCACCGAAACATCGCTTTATGCAATAAACAGGAAGTTGTCATCCATAATGTCATACGCTATATTACTGACTCACTAACTCCAAGAATGCTGATCAAATGATTATGTCCAGAGTTACTGACCTTCAAGGTGTCAAATAATTTGCTTTTATTAGTTGACATGACTTCAGAATCATATCTGAGTCTCTGATGTTTGGAAACAAGGAATGTTTTGAAACACTATCAAGTTTTAAAGTGAGATCATAAACAATTATAGACTGGTGATGAGGTCAATACCTGTTTTTATGGACCCGTGAAAAGCAATATTGACCGAAAACGAATATTGCTTTTGTCATCCATAATGGGTCCATAAAAACAGGTATTGACCAAATTCACCAGTCCATAATTATTTAATTATGTAATTACCGTTAAAAAAAAGCTCAAAAAACCCAAAACATGTCCATTTAGTCAAGAAAAGTAATTCTATTTTCGCTTCAAACCACTAACGTTATGTCAACAGTACTGTGACATGTAACCAATAGAATGACATCATAGCTTGACGTCAAAATCTATTTTTAGTAACTCAAGTCAATATGACTTTTGGTCGGACCTGGGTTGGAGACAATATGCTTTTCTGTCAACAGTCATGTGACCGCCTCTAGACCAATCAAGTAGCCCTGAAAAATATGCTTACATAATATTGTCTGATATTTACTTTGATACATGATGATTGCACTGGAATCAGACTTGCTGAGAGGTATTTTTTACTCCAGGTTACAGTGGGAAGAACTGCAGTACTGCCGAGAACCCGTGTACATCCTTCCCCTGCCTCAACAAGGGGGGGTGCCAGGTGACTGGCAACACCTTCACGTGTGGATGTGCTGCTGGGTACTCCGGCCGCCAGTGTGAGGAGGAGATAAACGAGTGTAACGTACGGCCATGCAGGAATGGCGGCACCTGTACTGACATGGTCAATGGCTACAGCTGTGCCTGTCCTTCTGGATACAATGGTGGGTTTTCTCAGTCTCCATAAAACTGTGACCACTTGCATGTGTAGGTGTCCTGGATGGCAATTGTCCAGGTGCCATATTCAGCCTGCCACCAATAACCAGGAATACACTGGCTTGTCTAGGATCAATCCCAATGGTACAACTGAGTCAGTGAGTTAGTCGCCACTCTGATCAGCATTCCTGTATATCACAACATGCCAGCTCAGTATTGGAGGAAAGCTCAAAGTGATATAGGTTTAAGAAGTTTACCACTTTGGTGAAACAAACTAGTACTGTGGTGCTTACTAACCTAGAAACCGAGATTAGAACCTGTGATCATAGTTTCCTGGCATGCACAAAGGGACGTAACTCTCTGCAATGAATTGCAGCATCTTAGACAACAGAGACACCTTTGTCTAATGAAGTATATAGCAGTTACCGGTAGTATAATTATTTATATTTGTATATCGCCTTTCCTCTTTGAGGCAGTGTACTTTGACTGCAGCAGACGCCTGATGAATGCAGGGTCTTTGCAGTGAAAATATAATAATTACTATTCACTATTAACAGGTTCCAACTGTGATGTAAACATCAATGACTGTGCATCCCAGCCATGTGGGTCGGGGACTTGTGTAGATGGTGTCGCCTCATACACATGCCAGTGTCCACCTGACAGAGCTGGGGAGAACTGTGAACGTCCACAACTATGTCTTCAAGGTAATCTTTCGCCATCACGCAAGGATCCTCGGTTGACAACCTTATTATGGATAAACTTGTCATTGACCCTTGTCTTGGGTAAGGGGGCGGTGGGGTAGCTAGTGGTTAAGTGTTTGCTCATCATGCGAGAACCTGGGTTCACTTCCCCACATGGGTACAATTGTGTGAAACCCATTTTGATGCCCCCTGCTGTGATGTTGCTGGAATATTGCTAAGCGCGGCGTAAAACTAAACTCACTCACTCATTGTCTTTGGTAAACGCCTAACTTATTGTAATTTTTCAATTTCTGTATAGTTCATGATATGAAAACACAGGTCAAGTGTATCCTATCAGATCATGTGGACAAACTGTGGACATTTTCAGGCACTAACTGCTACACCAACTAAATCATCTCAACATGAAGAGATGTTTCTGTTTTTAACGCAAAAGGACAATTTGGTCACAGGTTACACAGAAGAATTGATACACCTGCCTTACATTTTGATACCATTTTGTGAGATTGTTGCTGTAATTTATATCGCCAAGTTAAGTGAACAGTTCTAGAACTGGACTGTTGGTTTTCTGGACACAACTCAGCCAAGTGGATATGTTGTAGTAGCTGAGGTTTAATGTGTTGTTTGCAGGTGACCCCTGTGTGAATCACGGGATATGCTACCCTCTCCAAGCAGGGAGCCAGGTGTGTGTGTGTTTCCCAGGATTTAATGGCTCTCGATGTGAGAACAACATAGACAACTGTCAGAGCAACATTTGTGGACAACATGGCAAGTCACTGCATACATGTATAGAAGCTCTGTGATACTGTGCAATAATTCGTACAGTTCAGCAAAATGTTAACATTTCTGGTAAAAAAGTGAGATCTGTATCAGTAGGGGTTTTCTTATATAGGAAGTATGTATGTGATATAACTTGTATTTCTTTTAAACATGCACTAGCTGCAAATTTCCAAGTGCTGTTATAGGCTTCAAACCATGGACATTGTGATCCACTGTTCACATGACCAAAGAGGTTAACCCTTTCAGTTAACTGACAAGTCATCTGTGTGTAACAGGTAGTGGTGTCATCCCACAGATGACATCCTTACCTTGTCGCCTTGCTGACGGGGTTAACCTCTTTAGTCTTGTGGAAAAGGTGTCCGACTTTGGATCAGAAGGTCCGTGGTTTGAATCCCAGCATGGAACACGAAAATTTTATGGCCGCTACATGTGTAATGAATCCATACCTTGCTCCAATTTTTAGGACCATTGTCAAAATTGAAAGTGAGTAATGATATTGAGTATGTTTCTCCAATTGTCATCTGAACAAGGTGGTTGTTTGATCTTTTTCTTAGTTACGTTTCTTTACATTCTGTTTTATGTTCATCAACTATGCGGTTCAAATTGTAAAAACCGGATAATTCTTGAGTCATGATACTATTACTGATAGCTTATTGTAGTGACTTGTGCATGTTAGGAGGCTGTCAAATGGTGGTAGTGTGAGAGTCAGAATGTATGCAAGGGAGAGAACTGCCTTTATTGATTTGATTGCTTATGATATTGACAGGTACTTGTGGGGATGGTTTTAACATGTGTCAGTTTAAGACTTGTACAAGGGAGAGAACTGTGTTTACTGATTTGATTGCTTATGATATTGACAGGTACATCTAGGGATGGCGTCAACATGTGTCAGTTTAAGACCGGTACAAGGGAGAGAACTGTGTTTACTGATTTGATTGGTTATGATATTGACAGGTACATGTAGGGATGGCATCAACAAGTACACGTGTGAGTGTCAGCCCGGGTACACAGGTGTTAACTGTGACACACTCATCGACCCCTGTGAACCTACCCCATGCAAGAACAATGCCTACTGCTGCAGTAAGGGGAAACAAGCCTGTGGTGACAAGCTGCCACTGGGTTCCTACCAGTGCTATTGTTCTAATGGGTATACAGGTAATTTTAATGACAATTTATGAAAAAGCTGGTGAGAGGTGTATGTTTGGGATCTAACTGACATGTCTTTTGTAACCATTTTTGGTTTAATATGATGGTGTCCCATGTGTAGTTGAAATTAAAGGGTTACCTCCCATTAAGCACACTCTCTGCTAAATTGATTTTATATGAAGTCCTGAAGTCCTCCTGTCTGTAGTAATAGAGTTTTATTTAAGTCCTTCGTTCTCATACAGGTACTCAGTGTGAAAGGCGTCTGAATGAATGTGGGAAAAAGCCCTGTCAGAACGGAGGCCTGTGTACACTGATAGAAGAGAACTATTTCTGCACATGCCCACTGGTTTTCACTGGACGTAACTGTGAGACTCTTATACCCTGTGCTAGCCAGCCATGTCTCAACAATGGCCAATGTGAGATCAAAGGGAACACTTTTGAGTGTAAATGTGTGAATGGATTCTCAGGAGACATCTGTGAGAGGACTGGAAACTGCCTCACAAAGTCCTGTCAAAACAATGGCACTTGTGTTGTCACATCAGGAGGAGAAGTTTGTCGTTGTCCATCAGGTTATTTTGGTTTGAGCTGTGAGAGTGCTCTCCCTTGTGTGGCAAATCCTTGCAGGAACAATGCTTCATGCCAAGATGTTTCATTGACAGAATACAGGTGTACCTGTCCGCCAGGGTTGTCAGGGAGGCAGTGTGAGAGTGTGTTACCCTGTAAGGACAGCCCATGTCAGAATGGTGGGACGTGTTCGAATCTGGCATTAGGGTTTTACTGCACCTGCCCAGCTACCCATACTGGTGTCAGGTGCGAAACGTACTTAAACTGCAACAGCTCACCTTGTTTCAACAACGGTACTTGCATAGAAGAGGGCTCTTCATTTCGCTGCCAGTGCCCTTCGACCCATACAGGTCCAAGATGTGAGAGTGGTCTCCCCTGTCTCAACAATCCCTGCACCATTGGGTCGACGTGTGTTAGTGTCAATATTTCTGCCTATCGCTGTTTCTGTTTACCTGGACTCACTGGTATCAACTGTGAAACAAGTCTAGCCTGTAACAACTCTCCATGTAGAAATGCTGCTCAGTGCCAAAATGTCAACAATTCTTACATATGTTCCTGTCTTCCCGGTTTTACCGGCCAGAATTGTGAAACACATGCTCCCTGTTTGAGCGCACCATGCCTCAATAATGGCTCTTGTACAAACTTTGGTTCATCATACTCCTGCGCATGCTCCAATGTGTACGGAGGACCAAGATGCGAGATATCCAATCCATGTGGTTCGAACCCCTGCATCAACAACAGCACATGTTCCAACAATGGAGACATCTTCCCGCTGCAACTGCTCATCAGCTTTCACAGGCAGAAATTGTGAGACTAAACGAGAGCCCTGTGCACCAAACCCCTGCTTGAATGGCGGGACCTGTGACATAGAAGGTCAGAATTACACATGTCGATGTTTGTCCTCCCACGTGGGCAAGAACTGCGAGATCCCGGTTCCCTGTGCGAGTTCACCTTGCAGCAATTCTAGCATTTGCCTCAACCAGGGATCTCGCTACACATGTCAGTGTCCTCCTGGGTATACAGGTTCGAGCTGTGAGAGCAGACTCCCCTGTGCAGATAAGCCTTGTGCTAATGGAAACTGTGTGAATGGCAACCCAGATTATGTGTGTACATGTAACCCAGGCTACACGGGGAGGAACTGTGATTCTCTTATACTTACCTGTGATTCTACCACCTGTGTCAATGGACAGTGCAGTATTCAGGGGCCCAGTCTCAAGTGTGTCTGTAATCAGGGATTTACAGGTAAGTTGTGATTTATGTTTCCATTTTGTATCAAAATCTGAGCAACACTGCTAATGATGCATCTTTAAGTCTGTAATCTATATAATATAATAGTTTGTAGGAGATATTTTAATCTTGTTATAGATGAAAGAAAATTCTTTTTGATTCACTTTTGTTTTTTTGAAAATCTAAAAAAAATTCAATTATATACTTATCAAGTGTATTGATCAAACGAAAACTTTGATAAAAATGTCTATATGTGGAAATAACATATGTATATTTGGACATTACATTACATTTTGACCATTTCATTCAAATTCATATGACAAAGTAAGAGATTAAAGAAGTTTATTTTAATTGTAATAATTGTCGAAGTTCTATTTGACATGGTTCATAGATACATGATACATGAGCATGTTGACATAAAACACTGAAAAAACTACTTATATTTGAGGAGGAATATCACAGCTGTCAGCTTCTGTGAAGTGAGGAACATGATATTTCAGAGTATATTCATAAGCCTCCATCAGGTGTTTGAAATATAGGAAACATGTAGCTTCACATGTACATGTGAAAACAATAAATATACTCTGAAACGTTATGTTTCTCATAATACAGAAGTTGATAGCCTCCTTCACACCTCTGTTTGTTTTTCACTTTTAAATGCCTAAAAAAGAATGTACAGATATTTGGCATGGTATGATTATTTTTAATGATGTCTGTGATACGTGAATTGTAAAAGATTAGAACAAGTATGTGTGTAGAAGATCTTCATGTTGATGTATGTTGACTAGGTCCAAGATGTGACCTGGTTGACCCCTGCCTGACTCCTCCCTGTCACAATGGCGGAGCGTGTGAAACTCGCGGCGCCCAGTTCTTCTGTCAGTGTCCTGAAACTCACACGGGGGAGACGTGTGAATCCCTACAACCCTCATGCTACTCCCAGCCATGCAGAAACAATGCCACCTGCATCGACAGGGGACAGGACTTCATGTGTTTCTGCACACCTGGATTCACAGGTGAGATGTCCACACTGTTACCAGGATCTAAGTGAGTAATTTCGTTGCTTTGTTGTTCCATGCTGCACTCACCAATATTCTTGCTATTTGGTGGAAGTCTGTAAATAATCAAGTCTTGACCTGACAATCCAGTGATTGTCCTCATCTGTTTATCTATATAAATGAGATTCAATGATACTGACCAACCGATCCTGTCAGTCATTACACAGAATATTAGAAATAATAATTTAAGCTTTTTTCATCACTAGTGTCTTGTTAGTCGTCTGTTACTACAAACATGATTGGTAAAGACCAATTCTATGGTGGATTTTCAAGGTGTTTATCTTGTGTCTGTATGTAAATATCACCAGTGATGCAAGTGTTTAATTTGATTGATAATGAATGCTCATGATGTGTATATGGTGTAGATTAGAAAAGATCAGAAGAAGTCTACAGGGAGATAGCACTGGCCACATCGAACTAGTTCACAGTACATTCTGATAAAAACTGTAAGACCTATTATCATGATTATGATCTAAGATTGATGTATGTAGATAAGACTTTAGATTTCAGAAATATTTTTGTTGCAGGTTCAAACTACTTGATAAAACCACCAAGGAAATATTGCAAACAATCACCTAAGAAATTGCTGTCTGTGGTTTATTTTATTACTTTTGTATATTTTATATCAAATTAACAGATCAAAGGGTATTTTTTCAAAAGGCAGTGGATGTCAACTGTTGAATTTTCTGTTAACTTTGTAACTGTTGTGATGTGTTCAGGGAAGGCGTGTGACACAGTCCTGCTGCCATGCGATGTCCGTCCATGTAAGAACGGGGGAACTTGTGTCAATGTAGGCGGCTCAACCTTCAGTTGTCAGTGTCCGGTGACACACACAGGTAATAAAACATTAATGGGATTGTAAATATTTCAAAATTGATTTTTTTTTATTATCCCCCAGCATGTAATGCGGGGATATAGTTGACGCCTCTTCCGTCTGTCCGTAATCATTTTGTTTCTGGAGCATAACTCAAAAACATTCAATATTTTTTAACCAAAATTGGTAGATATATCAAACAGAACCTAAGATGGTGCCTTTTGCTATTTACAGACTTTTGTGATTTATTATTTTCTTGGTTTCCATGGAAACGATTTGGACTTGGTCTCAAAAGGGAGGGGTGGATTTCATTTCCTGAGCACAACTCGAAAACTTCTTAATATCTTTCAGCAAAACTTGGCAGATATGTGAGGCAGATCCCAAAGTGGTGCCTTTTGCTATTTGCAGATTTTTGGCATTTTTATTTTTCCCTGTTTCCATGGAAATGATTTGGACTTACCGGTAGTATATAAGAAATCAAGCTGGACTTAAAGTAACTGTCAGATGATTTGTTCTTTCAAAGATGTGGGGTCGGGGGATATGTCATCTTCTGATGACTCTTGTTTTTTTAAGTCATGAACATGAATCATGTTATATTCAGTGAACAAATGTTTTTTGGGTGGGTTAAAAACATCATTCTCTAATTATTTGCCTCAGGCTGCAGAGAATATGGAAATGTGAAATCAGAATTTCAAAATAAATATCTTTCTTTTTTCCTTCCAGAATTAACTGAATATGCTGGATAAAATTATAAATAAAAAGTGTATTTTTATGATTCAAAAGGATTTATTCTTTAATACACAGTAAACTACATTTATAACAAATATAAATAAAACAAGCATATAATGAACTGAAGGATAAAACAAACTGGTTTTCCTCTGGTCCCATTCACTTCCCCGTATATGTTGATGTGATAACGAACTACGGTTATAACAAACTATGATTAGCATTCCCTTTGTGTTTTTATAACCTTAGTTTACTGTGTACCTCTCATTCGACTTGTCATATTTGGTCATTATTTTACACTTGTGTCTACAGGATCGACATGTGAAACCCTCCTCAGCTTGTGTCTCAGTAAACCATGTGGAAACAGTGGGGAGTGTGCATCATCCGGGGATGACAAGTTCAAGTGTACTTGTAAACCACCATACACAGGTAAGAAGCCTAGAAACGCCAAGAATGTGGGTGCAACTCTTAACAAGTGATATATCTATATAGGTAGGCATATGATAGAAACAGCACTCATTTCTGAGATGTTTTTAAGGTAAATAGTTTGTTATTGTCAGTGATCTGTGTGAAGATTTAAGGGTAGAAAAACCCTGGTTTTGTAGTTCTTGAAGGCATTTACGGTAGAAGTTGGTCGTACATGAATACATGACACTTTGTATGGATAACAACTTCTTTTTATAACAACAACGAAGTTGCGGGGGATATAGAAACAAGTTCCGGACGGCCGGCTGCCGTGCATCTGTCACACTTTGTCCGAGGCATATCTCCTAAACTATTCATGATAGCTTAACTAAACTTGGTACACATGTCAACCATGATCCCTAGATGTGCCTTTTGGGGTTTAGACCCAGATATGTATTTTATTTTCACATGAGCCGTGACTTTATGAGGATTACTCACTCACTCACTCACTGATTATGGCATTAAACACCATTCACTGATGAATCAATTTAATCATGTTAAGAAACAGAAACTGTTGACAAGAGTCTGCACTTCCGTTATTTCCATGGTACAGTATAGTTTGTAAAACATAAATCTGTTATTGATTTGTGAATATAATCTATTTTCTGTTCTTCTGCCTCGTGACAGGTGCAACGTGTACTCAGAAAGTGGTGACCTGTGACCAAACTCCATGTCTTAATGGAGGGTCTTGTAACACGGACCAGTATGGTGTGTTCTGTGAGTGTCCCACGAAGGATGAAGGACTTTTCTGTCAGCTTGCTGGTGAGTAGAACACTTCTGTTAAGATCTTTTTCCAAAGGGGCAGTGGGGTAGCCTAATGGTTAAAGCGTCCACTTGTCATGCTGAAGACCCGGGTACGATTCCCCATAATGTGTGAAGCCCATTTGAGGCGTCCCTCATTGTGATATTGCTGGAATATTGCTAAAAATGGTGTAAAACCATACTCACTCTTTTTAAAAAAAATTCTTATGATGGTTTTGAAACTGAAGTGATAATAAGTAAAGTAAAACATTTTTTGAGAGTTGTATCTGAAAACAATTGTCAGGGAGAAATGACATGCCGCTGTCGATATTAGCTAACAGGTTCTGCAAGAATAGGAATACAGAGTTTTAGGATGTAATCTGTTGTATGACTCAATATCCTGCTACATACGCTCCCATTAACAGACATGCCTGTAAAGCCAGATTGCTTGGAGCCTTATTTCAGCTGATATACTTTCTGCTGATCAAGGCTCAATTAGATTTTTTCTGGCTGCGACAATATGGCTGTACCCTAACTGTAGACGCAAGAATGACAAATCTCCAGTAACTCGCATCCACAGGGTTTTATTCTTTTGATGGGAAACAATGATACGTTAGGTGTTGATGTATGTTGACAAATGTAGAATATACATTCGACGTTGATCGTTAGCCATTGTGTGAAAGGATAAGTGGTCGAGTGAATGAGGTTTGGAAAACTAGAAGAAACAGACACAATTTGTAATATAATTTGACTATAAATATAACGCATTAACAAAATATCATCTAAAATAATGTTTAACAATGTTGAAAACGTTTGAACATTATTTGAACACTTATAGCAATAATGCATGTAAAAATAGCATTATGAGGCCATGAACTTCAAAGACTATTAAACATTACATTTGCACAAGAGATATAACAGTCGGAGGAGACCTCTTGACAGTATGGAGGCTGCTTACAAACTGAAACATGGGGTCCCAGTACCACATGTGCTTTTTAGGGTCACATGACAGGAAAGTGGTACTATGGGATATGAAACATAACTTATGAAATCTGCAAACAATTCTGTGGAAAGCTGGTCGTGAACCCTAAATGGCTGGATTACTATCAAGGGAGGTAATAACTGATACTGGTTCGGAGACAGTACAGATTAGGAAGACATTTGTGATGCATGAAATATGCATATGAAAATTATGTGACAATATCTGTATGAGAAAATTGTACATAGAATAAATAAACTATATGAATCTTGCATTAACACTAACATATGTCCCCAGTTTATCTCTACTGACTAATCCAGTGTGTACACTCCAGGTGACGTCTGCTCCCCCAACCCCTGTCTGAATGAAGGCCAGTGTTGGAAGACGGGGCAACAACCGACCTGTGAGTGCAAGAAGGGATTCATTGTGAGTACTCAATAATATTTGCCAGTGTTTGTGTAAATTGCTGCAAGAACCTGTACATGTTGGTCTCATGATGCATGGTATTACTGAATCGAACATGTGTGCATGCAGTAATGGTTAGTTAATGTTGTACACTGGTTTGGACTGATCCTTGTTCCATTGTTTATATTTTCTTCCTCTTATAGCCATACTGACAAATAGACTTAAGCTTTTTACATTTCTTTTTGTCATATGTATACTTTTTTCTTTAAAAACTGGGGCAGTGGGATAGCCTTGTGGTTAAAGCGTTGGCTCGTCACGTCGAAGATCCGGGTTCGAATCCCAACATGGGTACAATGTGTGAAGCCCATTTCTGGTGTCCTCCGCCGTGATGTTACTGGAATATTGCTAAAATTGACGTAAAACTAAACTTAGTCAGTCAGTCTTTAAAAACTGAATGAAATTGCCATACTGATGAATAGATAGTGTTCCAGTCATATATTATTTCAAATATTTACCCTCGTCACCTTAAGCGTTTCACATTTCCTTTTTGCTCATGTTTTTTTCTTTATAAGCTTAACAAAATTGTCAGTTCATTGACAAGATGATAAAAAGTTTTCACTTTTGTTCAATCTTCTTTGAAAGCCTGCTAAAATAACTGTTACATAATCTGTCATTTCTTTCAGTGGATGATTTTCAATCAAAAACTATGTGTACCTTTTATGATTTAGGTATGAAATACACAAAACACTGATGCCTGATCGAGACAGTTCAGACACAGTACTGATTTTGCAACCATTTCACATGAACTTAACCCCTTCCAGGGCACATTCTGTGCGACGAAGGTGGAAGGCTGTGGCGCAAACACTTGCAACGGTGGTCAGTGCATCGACAATAGTGACGGGGAATTCCAGTGTATGTGCCAGCCAGGGACGACAGGCTACAGATGTGAGAGACAGGTCTGACTGGGGGATATGAGCCTTGATGTGCTCATCCTTCTTCTGTAAGTGGTTCGTTGTTTTCATACCTGGAATGAGGGAATAAATATTATCTGTCAGACTGTCAAAGTATTACCTGTTGGGCATGGCAATGCATCCCCTATAGCTCAAGGGCTCACATTTTTGTAAACCTGAACTTACCTCTGGATTTCATTCTTGTATTTCTGACAGTCTCACATTATCTGCCCTTGATTTCCATATGGGAAATTGATTAACTATGCAGGTAGGTCTAACAAGTTACAAACCAGCGCCAATGTTGTTTGGGTAATGTTTTCCAGAAATTCAGCACTGGAAAAAACGATTGACATGCAAAAGAAATCCCTAAAAAAAAGGGTAGGATGTCTCCATGTCCATTAAACTTAAACAAACCTGAAGAGGTTTTCAATTCTTTGAAGAGAGTCGTCCTTGGGGTACATATTATGCATTTTCCGGCTGAAAATGTCCTGTGACAGTTGTATCAATGTTTTTTAATAAAAATATTGTACAATGAATATAAATCTTTTTATTTATTATACGGCCCCCACCTCGTGGGGTTACCTCCCGTTGTGCATGCGCACCAACTGGGTAAGAACCTAGGCCCATATCATCATTCCTTCTGCTGAATAAATCAGTGAACAGAATTGCGGGGAGGCGGGAGGCCCTACCCCAAGGACGACTCTCTTCAAAGAATTGAAAACCTCTTCAGGTTTGTTTAATTCTTTTTCATAGAGATCGTCCTTGGGGTACATATTATGCATAAACACAGACTCCCAAAGACCGGAGGCCAGGGAGGAGGGAATTCTGTCAAAGCACATACAAATAGCTATCGTTAATTGAATAATGTAACAGATGCCATAATCACTCACCTGTCACATGTCCCGGTTTGTGCTTCCGCGAGAGGCATTATGGGAGGGTAACTGACAGGGAGGAAATGTACTCAGATACGACCTCGCAGGTTAGCATAAGAATTCGCACATGATGCGAATGTAAACAAAACCCCACCCACCTTGTGTCGATTAGAGAGCACCGGAGGGGGGAATTTAAAAACGCTCACTACCGACCTATATTCTCCGTAGAGGATCGAAAGGAGGTTAAAACACCACCTGCGGACATGTCAATAAACACAATATTGAACAGCAGCGTCAACAAAACCAATGAACCAAGACTCACTCGGTCAGGGTGGCAGGACACTGTCCACTGGAGAGAACAGAACGGCCAAAACCCGCACGATTACGGGAATGTGTATCGAGCTGATAAACGTGCTAGGCTGGCTCCAAATAGCGGCAGAGCAGATCTCTTCAATGGGGAGTGCCGATGCAAAAGCTTTTGACGTGGCTACTGCCCTGACCGAGTGAGCCTTCAACCCCTCAGGGGGAGGCTTGCCCTTAGCCTGATATGCAGCACAAATGACCGAGACGAGCCAGCAAGACAAAGTCTGCTTGCTCGCCGGCGCCCCAGCCTTCCCGCCACCGTAACAGCAGAACAGATGGGTACCCGTACGGATTCCCTGTGTTCGTTTGAGATAGACCTCGAGAGTCTTACGGACATCCAACGGGTGAGTGCTCGTAGGAGAGGTCCCCGATGTGGAAGGCTGGGTAAGAGTAGGAAGTTCGATAGGAGCTGTCACATGGAAAGCGTGATCGACCTTCGGGCGGTACGTATCCGGGAGGCGAATGCTGACACGATCAGTGTGAAACACAGTCAGCGCCTGGTCGGATGACATAGCATGTAAGTCGCCTACCCTACGCCCAGATGTTACCACCACCAGAAAAACAGCCTTCCATGTTAACAACTGAATGGAAATAGCCGATAGACGTGAGAACGTAGGACCGGACTGCCAATCAAGCACAATTGACAAATCCCGAGGTGGGCTGGTTCGCCTGACAGCAGGTCGAACCCGATCCGCGCCAGCTAAAAGCGCTGTACGAGAGGGTGCTGCCCCAGAAGAGCACCATCGACAGGGGTGTGAAAAGTGGAAATAGCGGTGGAGTAGCCACGGATGGTCGAAGCCGCCAGGCCTTCTTCCAAATGAGCTTGCAAAAACTCCAATACTCGGACTAAATCCGCAGAAAAGGGATCTGCAATCCCCCTATCTGAACACCAGCGCGCATAGCGGAACCACCTATCCTCATACTGAACGTTTGTCGAATTCCGCCTCGAAGCCAGAATTGTGTCTGCAACTGCTGCAGGAATTCCGCGTGCTTCAAGGCTAGACCTGACAGAGGCCAAGCCACCCACTGAATCCTTGGATTGGGGTGTGGCGCGCCGTTCTGAGTGAGAATGTCCGGTCGCAAAGGTAATAGAACAGGAGGCTGAGCCAGACACCTGAGAATTACCGGAAACCAGCTCTGTGACGGCCAAAGCGGTGCCAGTAGCACAAGCAGCCGAGCTGGCTGGGTGGACAGCTGGGAGAGTGAGTGAGTGAGTTATTATTTAACGTCACATCGGCAATATTTCAGCCATATCGTGACGAGAACATTTGACATTGTAATAGAATATATATAGTTATTATAAAAACCTGCCGACGAAGGACAGTAGAAATACTAGACAATCACAGCTATCAATATAAAACTAGCGAACAAAGCTAAAATATTCCAATTAAAGAAGACAATACAATGTAAAAATGGGCTATAGATCGCCAACAACTGAAGGGAGATCACCATACTAGGAACCATGGGGACTTACATTACTTTTGCTACCTGCATGGACCCTAGTTGGATTTACACCATCCCTTCAGCCATTGGCGACAGAAGAGAAATCTAGCCATAAATTAAAAACACACTTATTCTACGATTAAAAAGCAGGTACACTTAGATTGACTAAATGCTTTGGGACTTACGTACCCTCTCAGGAGGACAATAATTTTACAATACTTCAACCCCCTTTGAGGATACAGCCACGACAGCTGGGAGAGGACACGGGGAATGAGTGGTAACGGCGGGAACGCCCAGAGCATTTTGCCCGTCCAATGCAACAGGAAGGCGTCGGCAGCCAACGCCCTCGGGTCCGGTATTCGAGAGCAGAACACGGGTGTCTGATTCGTCCCGCCGGACGCAAACAGATCCACCTGGAACGACCCGTACAACTGGGAGATAACTCCGAATATCTGCCGGTCGAGCATCCACTTGTGCAGGGCCAGGATCCGGCGAGAGAGAGCGTCTGCTCGCATGTTCTCCAGCCCCGGGAGATAAACAGGGAGTACCTGACAATCGCACTGGTCGCACCAGAGGAGAAAGTCCCATGTCTCCCAGAGGAGCGCTCAGGACACCGTGCCGCCTTGCTTCAGGATGTACGACATGGCCGTCTGGTTGTCCAACTGAAGACGAACCACCTGGCCCTGGACATGCTCTCGGAAGCGCTCGAAAACCAACCGCACAGCTCTCAGTTCCAACACGTTGATGTGAAGGCGGGCTTCGGCTTCGGACCAGAGTCCGGACACCGACAGACTGCCCAGAACACACCCCCCAGCCCGTGAGGGAAGCATCGGTCTGAACTGTAAGAGCTGGCGTCGGGATTTCCAAGGGGACCCCCTTGGTGAGGTTCCCGACATTGGTCCACCACTGAAGGTGAGGAGACAACCACCCGGGGACTGTGAAACCCTGCTCTAGGTCCTCCGAGTGAGCCCACAGACTCGCCAAAGCTTGCTGTATAGGGCGCATCCTCAACCGCGCCCGCCACACGACAGAGATAGTCGCCGCCATATGGCCCAGTAGACGGAGCCAAGTCCGTGCTGGTGCCTGGGGCTGGGAAAGGAACGAAGACACCATCTCCCGTACTCTGGTGACCCGGTCGGGCGACAAGGAAACAAGATCCTTGTGAGTTTGGAACCTCGCCCCGAGAAAAACCAAGTCCTGGGTGGGTACCAGGTCGGATTTCTTGAGGTTGATGATCCACCCCAGTCGAACTAGAATGTCTATCACCTTGTGAGTAGAATCTAGGCTCGCTGTCTGTGTTAGTGCACCGAGCAACCAGTCGTCGAGGTAAGGGTAACAACGCCTTCCTTGCGAGCGAGCGAGGGTAGCCGGGACTAACATGAGCTTGGTGAACACCCTGGGGGCAGTGGATATGCCGAAGGGGAGCACCCTGAATTGGTAATTCATCCCGTCGTAAGAGAACCGAAGGTACTGCTTGAACGATGGATGTATAGGCACATGTAGATACGCATCCTTTAGGTCGATTGACGTGAGCCAATCGCCGGGCTGACAGAGGAGATCACCGAGCGCAGTGTCTCCATCTTGAAGGTTGGAACCTCTAGCAGGCGATTCAACCCCTTGAGGTTGAGAATGGGACGGAACCCGCCATCTTTCTTTGGAACGAGGAAGTACGTGGAGTAAAATCCCGCCTGTTCCTCGCCCGGTGGTATGCGCGCTCGATAGCGGACTTGTCCAGCAAAGCCTGGACTTCGTCGCGCAGTATGTCCGCCCGTACCTGACATGACGGCACCGGAGTGCGGCGTATGCCGGTGAAGTCTGGCGGACCTCGCTTCCACAGTGGTAGATGGCCGACACTGACGGTGGACAGCACCCAAGTGTTGTTTGTAGCCTTCTCCCACTCCGGCAGGAATAGAGAGAGGCAGCCTCCCACTGGGACGGTGGGTAAGAGCGCGTGAGTGGTCCCGAGTAGCGGAGCTGACTGGGAGTGACACACGTCTTGTTCTACAGCCTGATGGGTTAACGGGAGGTCGGGGCAGACCTCCCGCGCCCGCGAAAAGGCTGGGAGCCAGTCGAAGAGGACTGCTCCTTGCCCTTACCCTTGGCGGGACGGCTCCTCCGCCTACCCCTGCCTAGCGGCCGAAGCCAGCCAGCAGACTCGGGAGAAGCCCGCGGGTGCTCCAACAAGGCCTTAGAGTCCTTGAAGGAGGTAGCTGCAGCTGCAGCCTCCCGGATGACCTGCTGTGCCCCAGGAAACAGCGTCGCTCCCAGACTGTAGGGGAGGGCCAGCAAGGTCTGCTGTGTAGCTGCCGAGTACCGAGACGTCGACAGCCACAGCTTGCGCATCCCCATGACTGCGCACATCACCGTCGATGCGGCTGACCGCAAGGAGTCGCGCGCGAGGTGTGCCTGTACTTTTCGGAAAGTTGACGGAGGAGAACAACATGCTGAGAAACGTCTCCAGCGTGCCCCTCCGACTCCAGGGCCGACCTCTGAATCGAGGAGAGGTAGGCCTCGTGGACCACCACCCGCACCTGCTGCATAGCGTTCCGGTACACCTCCTCGTAGGTCCGGTAAGCATGCTGCAGGGGGGCGCCCGCGAGGGCAAAAGGTGGCGTCAAACGCCCTTGCCTGGCAGCCTTAGCTGCTCCGGAGGAAGCCGAGCCTCCCCCCAGGGCGACCGAAGTGAACACACATTCGTCGACCACTGGTACGAAGAACAGGGAATCTTCCCCCAGCTGGTACCTCTTGACAAGCTCTGTCAAGTCAAAGCGGAGGCGTGACCCAGCCAAGAGGGGATCCACCACGTCCTGCACCAAGGACGGCAGAATGCGGAGCAGCGTCTGCGTGGGTTGCCTAGGGGCAAACGCCTCGCCTGGCAAGCGGAACTCAGTCGAGTCCGAGCAGCTGGTAGGCACCGCGGCCTGGGGAATGTACTCGGCAATGCGTTGCCGGACTTCCCTCAGAGCCGTAGAGAAACGGAAGGCACCCTCCGGCTCCTCGACCTCCCCAATGTCCATGGACTCGTCGCCCGAGCCCGAGTCCGAGGCTGGGTCTCCTCGCGAAGAGGACCCGAACTCCGACCCGGTGGGCGGCCTAGCACCAGACACAGAGGGAAGGGAAGAACCGAAGCAGCGCCCTGCTTCAGTGGCCAACACCACGCTTGGACTCCGGTCCCGAGACGCAAAACTGGCTCCTCTGCTCTCATGGGGCGGGACGGCGCAGGGACCGGAACCCCAGGAATCCTCAACGGACCCTGCGCCAACTCCGAGAGGGGGACTGGGAGAGAAGCCTCCCCCTCCGGGGCAGCCGAGGCGTCCGGACCCGAAGCCAGAGGCAACGGATCAACAGACGCCTCCAGGCCGAGGGATCGAGCCGGGCTCGGCGATCCCACCCTCAGACTCTCCGCCCCCTGCTCTGAGTGGGCGAGGAACTCCTGGCGGACTCGTGAACAAGGGACTTCACCGAGGCCATGTGCTGCTGGAATAATTGGGTTATGATATTCATGTCAAAACCGCTGGGAGCGGCAGTCGGCGCTTAGCCGCGAGATTTAGCTTTTTGGCCCTTAGATTTCGGCTTTTTTGCTTTAGACGGGGGGACCTGGGTCAGTTCCCCTCCCGCCTCTCGCATCTCCCGATAGAAGAGGAAGTCATCCACCCGCCTCTTCTGGGCTCGGGGGGAAAAGCCCATACAGATATCACAGGTGTCAGGGTTGTGTCCGCCTTTCTCAAGGCACACCAGACACTTATCATGCCTGTCGGCACGGGGAATACTCTGCCTGCAGACAGTACAACCGGAAAACGCCTGAAAGCAAACACGCAAGCATGTAGCTAACGGTGGACCAGCAGCATAAGATACACGTATAAAACATTGAAAATTACGTGAAGGCGACCACGGGAAGAAATAGTTGGTTAAAACGCAATATTACAACCACGTGGCACGCTAAACTTCCCGCCATGGAAGAGCAACATGTGCGTAAACCACGGGAAAGTTAGCGTAAAATAATTTGAATACAAAGTCACAATTAGGAGACAACCGACCACAAAGCTTTACTGTTCCTTTGAAGGACAATATAAAGACCATACATACAAGCAGTGACAGCAGAAGGAATGATTATACGGGCCTAGGAGCTTACCCAGTTGGTGCGCATGCGTAACGGGAGGTAACTCCACGAGGTGGGGGCCATATAATAAATCAAAAGTTTTTTATTTATTGTACAATATTTTTATTAAAAAACATTGATACAACTGTCACAGGACATTTTCAGCCGGAAAATGCATAATATGTACCCCAAGGACGATCTCTATGAAAAAGAATGTTGGTTTTAATGTCTAGGAAACATGAGTTACTTCCCCTTGTGTGAACATTTGATTGGCAGGTAAAGTGGTTATGAGAGGCAAGGGCAGGTAATTGCAGTTGCATGAACCATAGATCTGATTGAGGGGTTGGAGAAGGTTTACTGGGATACAAGCACTGGAGACAGAGAGGATGGTGTCGGTGATAATGGTGATGTGTTGAATCACAAACATTTTTCCATCAGATGTATCTTTTGTAAGTTATAAATGCTGTGATGTTATGACATATTTCCAAACTGAATTGTTTGTGGTTGTTATCTATACATCTTTTTTATTATCTTTGTTACAGGTGACATTGAAGAGAAAAATAGTTCTGAAGGAGACAGTGAGCATAATTTCAGTATGCACATTTTGCAAAACGTTTGGAATGTACATACAGTACTGCAGAAAATGTCTGTTTATATATATGTTTTGGGTTGTTCTGTTTACCAAAAGTGATATGATATGTGTAAGCGTTTTGACAGCTTTTAAGTGGATCATACACATGAAATTAGGCTATATTTAGAAAGAAAATGTTTGGTTATATATTTGATAACTTTTTGTATAGATCTAGATAACAAATATTCAAAACAGCAGGATTATTCATGCCATGAGAGTAAATTGTATGAAATGGAGCCATGAATTTTTTGAATATGAATAGAAGTTTTGTTTTTTTAAATGATTTCATCTGGACATATGTATTTTTCAGAGGTTTTTAAAAGTTCAAGCTTATAGGTTGCATAGTAACTGCAATGTCACAGAATAGTTTTAGTTGAAATTTTACACATTTATGTCAGCAATAATCTCTGTAGATTTAACATTTTGTGTTTTTTACTATTCATTTTTTTATCAGGTCAACATTACAGTTAAGCCATAGTGTGTACTACAAGTGTCACCATTTTCATGAGAAAAATCAAGTTAAACTTTTAAAAAATTATACATTTTTTGCATATTATGCTTTGAATTGTATGAGATGATCAACTTCAATGTTTCTACAAAGCTACATTCAATCAGAACATGTTATCTCAGCTGAAGATATACAAACAGTTTGGGGAAGGATGGGGCATAGTCTAAGGTGCTGCCTTCTGCTGTGCGGAGTTATGTACCTTTGGCACATCAGAATCCTATGATGGTTTGAATCCAGGTTCACCCTGATTATTTGACTAGGTTTGTCAACACCATTCCATTGCTGATGACTTTCCCCATTGTAGTACTGCCTCACCTGCCTCACTTACAGATTCCATTCCTAAGGGAGCAGTGGGGTAGCTCGTGGTTAAAGCATCTGCTCATCACGCTGAAAAACCCGGGTTTGCTTCCCCACATTGGTACAATTTGTGAAGCCCATTTCATGATATTGCTTGAATATTGCTAAAAGTGGTGTAAAACCATGCTCACTCACTCCGTTCATAAATTCACATGCCCTTGTGACAATGACGATTGACTTGCTGAATTTAGTTTAACGCATTATAAATGGACATGTTATTTTACCAAGTAAATCTGTTATGCATTTAACAGTTTTAATACTATAACATATTTGCTCAACTGAATTGGTGTTTTGGTTGTGATGCAACCTCATGTGCCTCTGCCAGTTATTTAAAGGTCTTTGTCAGAACATTTCTAGCATTCCTTCACAGATTGATCTATATATATTGTATACACATATATATGCCTGTAAACATGTACTGTTATTTATCAATATACTGATAGAGGTTATTGTCGATGTTCTGTTTCAGTATACTGCAGGTGTTATGATGCATGAATTGTCACTGCAGTTGGTTGTGGGCCCGTTATTACTATACCCGTCAGTGAAGATCCGGGTTAGAATTTATCTTTAGTTACTTCCATTGTATCAGGAATTCCAGGTAGGTTAGTGGTCGGCAATCAGCAACCAATGCTTGTCGTAAGAGGCGACTAACAGGATCGGGTGGTCAGGCTCGCTGACTTGGTTGACGCATGTCATTGCATCCCAACTGCGTACATCAACGCTCATGCTGTTGAACACTTATTTACAGACCGCCGCCATATAGCTGGAATATTGCTGAGTGCGGCGTAAAACTAAACGTACTCACTCACTTTTACTTTAGGGACTCTTCACAATTTATGGCTAGGGGGAATGGTGATGATTTTTATGGAGATGCATGTACAATGTGAATGACCCCCCCTAAAATTTATGTACGAAATAATTCCCCCCTGCATGTTGTGTACAAAATCAGTGACCCCCACCCCTACCCATAATTTCTAAGCATAATTTTAAACATATTTGATGTACACAAACACAATGACAACCACACACACACACACACCCACACACCACCAGTATGTGTGTACAAACTTGTTATATTTGTGTAAATCTTTTGCCTCATTGATATGAGAACCTGTCCTTGTTAGTCACATGGTGCATGTATTACCCAATCGAACATGTTTTCATTCAGTAATGTTTAGTTAATGTTTGTACAGTGGCATACTTTGTTTTGGACTGAGCTTTGTTCTGTGTTGTACAATTCAATTTGTTTGATGATCTTGTTTTCAAATACATCTGTCACAAAAGTGTGCAAGAATGGAACCTTTTTATATCTCGATGATCATATATTTTTATGAATTATTTTTTAAATGAACTATTTTTTATCCATGAAAATATATATGTTTGCTTTTGTGTTCTAAAACATCCATGACATTTCAAGGGTAGTGGTATATTGGTTAAAGTATGCATCTTTACACGGAAGGCCTGAGTTTGGTTGTCCACAAGAGTACATTGTGTGACACCTGTTTCTGGTCACCCTGTGATATTTCTGGAATAATATTGCTATACGATGCATAAAACCGTCCATGACATTGATCATGTGTTTGACATATCTCATTTTTCATCAACAATGGCAAGTTCTCTACTTACTTTCACACACCATTAACCACAAATCTTAATAGCATGAATCAGGCTGTGCAGGGGTCCTGTCTTCAGGGTGGAAGATCAAAGTTTGCCATTTGTTCATTTGTTTATCTTGCTTCCTTTAAAGATGCAGCTGAACATTAAGGGGTACACCTACAGAATACCCTAAACCTAAAGCTTAGCCTATCCTAACCCTAACCCTAAAGCTTACCCTAACCCTAACCCTAACCCTGACACCTACAGAATACCGGATACCTATCAGCCATATTGTTTAGTGTCACTTCAGCCTATCCCTAACCCTTACCCTAAACCTAATTCTTACCCTAAACTTAAACCTAAACCTTACCCTAAACCTAACCTTACCCTAACCCTAACCCTAAACCTTACCCTAACCCTAACCCTTAACCTAACCCTAAACCTAAACCTTACCCTAACCCTAAGTAAACTTGCATGCTTTCAAAGATGGCAGAGGTATCCGGTATTCTGTAGTCTTACCCATTAAACACATATGTAATTGTTTGAGTTTAAGATTTGAAAGAATACATTCATTTTAATCCCCTACACAAAGTGTTCTTTCTAAAAGAGTCATTGTGTGTGTATATATATTTATATCTGGTATATAGATCAGACTCACTTCTACTTCCTGTTTGATCTGCATTCTAGAAGTTGGTGAGTCAAAAATGAAAACATACAACTTTATGGATGACAACTTCTTGTTCATTGCATTAGCGACTAGATGTAGATTCTTACATCGTTATTTAGCTTAACAACAATGTCAGAATCTACATTAAAACATCGCTTAATGCAATAAACAAGAAGTTGTCATCCATAAAGTTGTATGTTTCATTTTTTACTTCTACTTTTACAGCAATGTAAGCTGTAGTGCTACAGGTTATCAGTATACAGACGTAATACGTTCTGCCCTTGTATCTTATATTACCTGTTGTTTACAATTGCTCTTTTAGAATTCATATTTCATATATATATTGCAAATATTTAGAACAAAAATGTTATGTTATGGTACTGAGCCTTCATCATTGTGTTATTGAATATGTTAAAGGCACAATGTCACACATTTTTGACAATATTTTGGCCTATGTTTTACATACTGGGGGCATACTTGACTTTAGCTTCCTATTGATGCAATAAAAGACTTATTACCCCTTACAATGTGCCTTAAATTGATAATTGAAACTTCAAGGCGAACAGCTTCCAAACAGGGAACACTTGCCATGTATGGAATGTAAACAATTGCTCCGTACATCGAAAACTTTTGCATGCGGTGTTGTGCGTGTTTGTCGAACTGGCCTCAATCACAAGTTGTGTTATAGGACATTCGTAAAGAGCGCTCCAAGGGACATAACTATGGGGTTCGCTTGAAATAATGTTCGGCCGGTAGAGGGACGAGTAGATTTAATGCAGCGTTGCATTAATTCATTCGAATGTTTTGATTTAAGTTTGTAATCTAAATGTGTAATTTTTCGGAATAAATTATAGGTAGCTTCCCTGAGGGCTGATAGTTAGAGAGAAATGCATTGTGCATTTTAGAGAAATGTGGTGTGACATTGTGCCTTTAAATTATTGTCACTAATCTCTCCACAGAACTCGCTAATCTTATTTTTCTTATCATTTTCAGTATTATGCCTAGCCTTTTGTATAATTTTGTTTATATTTAAGCTTATTTTTAGTTTTAAAATTATTGATAGTATTTTGTTATTAAGTTTGATTTACTTCAAATGATCTAATGTATATCTGTGTTACATTTGTTGGCAGTTTGCCAGTATCTCCTCCTTTGAGATCCTCCATTTTCCACAGAATGGAAAGGTTTGCCACAGATGGGAGACATATATTGTTCTATTAAATGATTTGATATGACCAATGTTTGTTTGTCATCTTGAAAGTGAGTGATATATAATTGTATATCACATGGTTAGCATTCCAGCCATACAGTTACTGTTATCTTAAGAAAGATAATGATTCTTTCTTTTGACTGGAGAACATTCTGGTTACTGCTTGTGGGATTAATTTGGATATGATATCACTCACACTTTGGTTTAGTTGATGGTGCCATTCTTACCTAGATGATGTAGGACATTGCCTATATCTGCCACTGGCCAAGATTTGATAATTTACAGTCTTTTCTGTAATATAGCTGGAATATAGCAGACTGAAAAACAACAAACTAATGACCACAAATAAATGACATATGTTTGTGTGTATACACCTTTTGGTTGAAAGCATCACATTTTGCTCTCCAGAGTAATATCCCTTAGTTTGTGCCAGGATCATCTGATAATTGTTTTAATCCTTGTACTGACATGATTATGATCCTTGGTGGTCATTGTAGCATACTAAAGGACATGAAAGAATGTATATACCTAGACCAGGAGGTTCAAGTTTAGAGGAATACTGAGTAGGTACAATGTTGTTCAGGCCCTGAAAATTGGAATTGATCTCCAGCAACCCGTTCTTGTCAGGCTCGTTGACTTGACACATGTCATCGTATCCCAGTTGTGTAGATCGGTGCTCATGCTGTTGATCACTAGATTGTCTGGTCCAGACATCATTAAATACAGACCGCCACAATATAGCTGGTATATTTCTGAGTGTGGTGTTGAGCAACAAACAAGCCAACCATTGTTGTTCATCCATCTAAGGTCTGGCTACTTCTGATGACATACACTTAGGGACCGTTCATAATTTATGGCTTGGGGGGTGATGATGATTTTTCTTTTATTATTATTATTTATTTAAAAAAAATTCGGGGGGATCACCCATTTTGTTCAGCGGGCAGCAATTTTGTACACACCTCCTTGGGGGTATTGTCAGCAATTTTGTACAGAAAGGTATGTTAAAATTTATGCTTAGAAATTATGGGAAGGGCAGGGGGGTCATTGATTTTGTACAGAAATTTTAGGCGGGTGGGGGTTGGTTATCATTCAAAGTGTACATGCTTCTCCATAATAATCTTGATCAACCCCAGCCCCCAACCAAAAATTATGAAGGGTCCCTTACTTGTAACTCCACAAGGGTCATGCATCCAACCAGTCATAACGCTGAAAAAAGGTGACACTAGGAATATGTTTTGGATCATGCAACCTGAAAAAGGATAACACAGAAATTCCAACACTGTGGCTGGGTAGCCTGGGCCACTGGTTTCCTCAAAATCATCGTTGGGTTTAGTGAGACAAACATTTCCAACAGAGGTAACTACGCATTCAGAATATATATTTTTTTGTCTTCAGTTTTTATGGAAAACGTTGTCTGGAACCTTTGTCTAATATATCTGAAGCTTGAAACGTGTGTCTCGTAAAAATCCGAGAAAGCTGTTCATTTCTGTTTGGCTAATGTTGACTTATTAAAGTTTGCCAAAAGTCGTTCATACATGACGAGAGATAGAATATCCACAGGTCTTTATTACCTGTAGAGATAGAATATCCACAGTAGTCTTTATTACCTGTCACGCCGAAGAGAATCCCCACTGGTTTTAATGAGATTGGTGTCATCTGGAATATTTAAAAGCGGCATAAAGTTAGAAACTCATTTTACCGGAGAATGCAGGTTTTAGAATAAAGATCAGGTATAATTTAAACTTATAGTTAGAAACTATTTTACCGGCATGCAGAGAATAAAGATCAGGTATAATGTGTTTACACGTGTACACATGCAACTGTATGGCGTGTCATGTGCAGCTAGCATTGTGAGACGTGATTCACGGATAAGGTCGGGTGAACACCTGTGACAAACAAAAGGGCTAGTGTTCGAGTGTTGTTTAGCGTTAAAGGATATAACAATGACTGGTTGACACCAAGTTGGTTACCCATGTCAGACTGCAGCATGGTGTTCAGGAAACGTACAAACCATTGCGGTCTTGGTCATAGACTAACACTTAACCTCTAGATATATATAATAGAAACCAACAATTCCTTTTAAATTGAAGAGGAGCCCGGTGAGAATGGAAATTCAGAACCTGAGGAAATCTAGACTTGCTTCATTTCGGGCTTAAGAATTGCAGAAAGGGCAAGGCGGTAGGGAAAATAATGTGGTTCAGGGATTCTGAGACAGACTAGGCTCGGTCAGCATGCAAGGACCCATGAAGAGTCGGTTTAGGATTGGTCTTCAACAACCCATGCTTGTCGTAAGAGGCGACCAACGGGATTGGATGGTCAGGCTCGCTAATTTGGTTGACACATGTCATCGTATCCCAATAGCGTAGGTTGATGCTCGTGCCGTTGATCGCTAGATTGTCTGGTCCAGACTCGATTATTTACAGACCGCCGCTATTTAGCTGTAATACTGAGTTATGAACCCTATAAAAAAATGGACTCCGTCCGTGCGTGCGTGCGTCCGTCCGTCCGTGCACATTTGTCTTTTCCAGAGCAGAACTCCAAAACCGTTCACTATTTCTTCACCAAACTTGGCACATACATGGATCTGGTGGTGAACTGGTGCCTTTTGGTAGTTTTGGAATTCTGAATAAAATATTTTTGGTGTTTCCATGGCAACAAGTTTGACTTAGACTGAAATTAGTGGTAGTGCTCTTTTCCGGAGCAGAACTCTAAAACCGTTCAATGTTTCTTCACCAAACTTGGCACATACATAAAAACATGATCGGCGGCAGTGAACGGGCTGGACAAATCGGTGAATAGCTAATTAAGTATCATAATTAATTCTGTTTCATTAATTTAACAAACGGCGGAGAAATTTTGTAAATGCCCCTGAAATATGGCGATAATCTTGAACGCTCCGTTGAAATCCATTTCGCCTCACATTCTGTCTATCCGCATTAGTTCAGGGACGCCAGCTCAGTCCAGTGGGTAGAGTGTTCCCTCGGAGAACGAAAAGTCGGTGGTCCGATCCCTCACGGTATCACAGCGAAACATGATGTTTGTATGTATTTCCAGATTTGCGTGGGGCTTTAAGTTGAGTGAGCTTAGTTTTACGTTGCTTTTAGCAATATTCCAGCAATATCACGGCGGGGGGCACCAGAAATGGGCTTCACACATTGTATCCATGTAGGGAATCGAACCCCGGTCATCAGCGTGCGAGCGAACGTTTTAACCACAAGGCTACACCACCGCTCTTTGGCATTAAGGGGAAAAACAGGACTTGTCGGCAAACACTTCCAAACGCACTTACGCACACAGGTATATAACTACATAGCTACAAGCTATATAACTGCAATAATCCTGCGACCTCACGATATGGCAGAAATACTGCCGATGTGACGTTTAATCTTAACTCAATTTTAACAATAAGCTTGAACAAGACGTTAAACCCACACTCTTGCCCATCTTCCCCATCTGACCCGTGAAGATCCGGGGCAGAATTGCTCTTCAGTAACCCATGCTTGTCGTAAGAGGCGACTAATGGGATCGGAAAGTGTCATGGTATCCCAATAGCGTAGATCGATGTTCATGCCGTTGGTCACCGGATTGTCTGGTCCAGACTCGATTATTTACAGATCGCCACAATATAGCTGGTATATTTCTGAGTGTGGTGTTGAGCAACAAACAAGCCAACCATTGTTGTTCATCCATCTAAGGTCGGGCCATATAGCTGGAATATTGCTGAGTGCGGCGTAAAACTAAAGTCACTCTCTCACCTTCCCCATCCGCAAGATGGCTCCCTGGGGCCCGTTTCAGAAAGCAATCGTAGCGCTACGACTGTCGTAATTGTACGTTAAAGTATGGGAGTAACGATCACCTTAGCGCCACGATCGCTTTGTGAAATGGGGCCCGGGTGGATGTTACATCTCAAGATAACTATTATGCATAATGTTTCTAAAGGTTGCATGACACAACATTCCTTTAAGCATATATCTGCTCTGGTCTTTATTCTAAAAGTTATACAGTAGGGATACAAAGGTTTGACAGATTACAGTTCCCTTATAGATAACTTTTTCTGCATGATGATACAGACACACATATGCATTATGCATGATGAACAACAGGGGGGCATGCGCCTCGCACTCAAAACATGTGCTGAATACAAAGACTCCTCAAACTGAGCTGTCGTGAAAGAAAGGGTTTTCAAAGAGTTTCCATTCCTTGCGCAGCGTAGGCCTAAAGCTCATCTTTTTGTTGTGTAAATTGTAGAGCGCTACTTGTGTTCATTAGTCATAGCTTGTTTACGTCGCTTTTTCAGGGGCGTGTATGCCTGTCACATTTAACAATAAGGCGAGGTTATTGCTGTGTCAATAGTTTTAAAAGCAGGAATGTAGGTATTTCGTATTTCAATAAAAGGGGACTAAGATCAAGAAAGGAAACCCTGTCCTGTGAAATATGGTATACACTTCAACTTCAACGGGCAATGAAAACACCCAGACAACTTCGACGAATCTATGGTCGTCGTAAGAGGCGTCTCAGTTCTCAGTTGATGGTACAATGTGGGAAGCCCATTTCTCGTGTCCCCCGCCGTGATATTGCTTGAATATTGCTAAAAGCGGCGTAAAACCCAACTCTCATTCACTCATTCAGTTGATGGTGTGTCATCGATCTATGGCGTGAAACTTAGCTCACCATATCTATCACTGGATCATCTAGTTGGGACTCGACCCGTGAAGATCCGGGTTAGAATGACCCATGCTTGTCGTAAGAGGCGACTAACGGGATGGGGTGGTCAGACTCGCTGACTTGGTTGAAACATGTCATCGTATCCAAAATGCGCAGATCGATGCCCATGCTGCTGATCACTTGATTGTCTGGTCCAGATTCGATTATTTACAGACCGCCGCCATATAGCTGGAATATTTCTGAGTGCGGCGTAAAACTAAACTCACTCATCCTAGTCGGGACTCGACTATGTACAGGCCGGATGATTCTCGATTAGCTTAAAACAAAAAAAATATTATCGAGCAATGCTTAAAAACAAAATCAGAATTATAACCGGGAAACCAGTGGTTGATAACACGAGCATCGATCAACATCAAGGTATGATGGTATAAACGTATGTTTGTTGTTGGTTTGTTGGTTGGTTAACGCCGCACTCAGCAATATTCCAGCTATATGGCGGCGGTCTGTAAACAATCAAGTCTAGAGAATACAGTGATCAACAGCATAATCATCAGTCTACGTAATCGGGATACAATGACATGTGGCAACTAAGATAGCGAGCGTGACCACCCGATCCCGTTAGCCACCTCTTACGACAATCACGGGTTGGTGAAGACCAATTCTAACCCGGATCTTCACGGGTCTCTGCCATGCGACATCGTGAGAACCATTCGTACCTTACTGCCTCGAACCTACTGTTCATCGAATAGCTTAAATGATATACCAGGCGTCATTAATAAACGGTCAAATAATATATAGCACATGTAAAGAAAGGTTTCTCAGAGATAATATTGTTTAATGTGTTGACAAACGTGACACATCGTGGCATACAGACAAAAAGTTCAAACAGCACTAGCAAACATCAGTTGCATAGACCAACTCCCCAAAACGAAAATGACAAACATGAAGCACTCGGTCATTCAATATCTTGTGTACCCTCCTCGCGCGTCCAAGATACTGTATACCTTCTTTTCATGCTGCTTATCAAGTTCATAAAGAGAGCTTGCGGAATTGCATTTCATTCCTCTACTAGAGCTCTGCGTAGTTCTGGGAGATCCACTGGTGCTGGGTGGCCACTGGCCAACCAACCACTCTACACTATGCTGCCTAAGGAATTCCGTGACAATCCTGGCCTAGCGTTGTCGTCTTGCAGTAAAGAGGGTTGACCATAAAAGCCATGCATAGCTTGCAGGAATGATACTGCTATATGAGCCGGAATCTCCTCCCGATAACGCTGCCCGGTAAGACTACCGTCGACCACGTGCAGCGGAGTACGTCCAGTATGAGTTAACCCTGCCCAAACCATGACCGACCCCCGCCAAATAGGTTATGCGTGGCCACAGTTTCCTCTGTGATTCACTCTCCATTGCGACGATAAATCCTCTGCCGACCATCATGAAAAGACAAATTGAATCTGCTTTCATCTGAGAGGAGCACACGAAACAATTGACGTTGATTTCAGCGGCCATGATGTCTACTCCATCTCAAACGCGCCAGCCTGTGACGTGGTGTTAGTGGTGGACGAAGTGCAGGTCGCCAAAAGCGGGGTTCGGCTGCTCTTAAACGTGGACGAACGGTGCTCCTGGATATCCTTACATTGTTAACATTGAAGTGTTCTGTCTGAAGATCTGCTGCATTAAGGAATCTGTTACGTAACGCAGTGTTAATCACGTGCCTATCATCTCGGACTCTTGTGACTCCGGGGCTACCTGGTCGACGTGCATATTCCACGGACTCATTGGCTTGAGTCTACCAATAGCACTCTGACTCACATTTAAGCGGACAGCAACCTGCTTCTGAGTTTGACCAGACTCCAAAAGGCCTGTAGCCTGACCCCTTTCAGCCAGTAGCGTCTCATTTTAAGCTGCGATTTCAAAGAGGTTCCTGAACAGTGAACAGTGAACGACAGTGAAAAAGCATCAATGCATGTGTATTGTCCTCCACTTTCCATGGATAGAGCGACTTGCACGTGCAAATCATTGACATTAAGTGGCAGGTGGATTTCCATATTCACAATTTGAATAAAAATTGTGCCATTTGTAACAGAATGTATCGGACTTTCAAAGAACGTAATAATGACATTCCAACGGTCTGGTATGTTTTCCCATACTGTTAAGAAAGTTTGTAAAACATTCAGTTGTATATATTTCAAACAAAAACGAAGATTTTCACAACTTTTAAGAAATAGCGTTACCAATAGCTTGACCCTTCATTAACGACGCCGAGTAAATATCAATACTGGTTGGAAACAGTCATGTGTTGCTAACTGAATTGTCACGAAAAGGTAAAAGAGCGCAGATGTATTTTCAGAAGTCACAATCTCTATACTATTGCATCGGGAGAGGAATAGTATCTGTAGCGATACACATTGTACTGCAATAGGGGAATAGTATCTGTAGCGATACACATTGTACTGCAATAGGGGAATAGCATGTCTACCGTCATACAATGTACCGCCAAATGGGAACAGTATCTTTATTTCTTTCTAGCACCATCTATAACGACACACCTGTAAAACGAGGTATACGAGTATCAACGTGTACTCATCTGGGACCCATATGAGGTGTGACCTTTTAAAGAGTTTTCTGTTGAGGTCATATCTCCTTTACATAACATATATTCAATATTTCCCTCCCGCTCTTTTTAGTTCTCAAGGACGCCCAGATACAACTGCGTATTTGGAGTAACAATTGCTAAATGTTTACAAGCAGTCTGTCAGTTTATCTGTTCATCGGCTTCGTATGTGACGTGATCATTTATTCACGGACCGTCTGTGTGATGCAGGTTAATGTCGCCATACATCATCTCAACATTAGTTTTGAGTTCCTTATATTTAATTATATTTTGTAAGGTAAATGATGAAGAACATTAAGGCAATTTTATTAAAGACAAATACGTTAGATGATTTGCTTGTGCCTTCATCACGCCGATGAGGAGATATGGTCTATGGTGCTTTCATAAATGTTGACAGTTGGTCATTAAATGTCTTATTAGTGCAGAGTAAACAAAATGCGACTGACATATGGATATGCTGAGTACCATGTTTATTCATATTTTCCACTCCCATTACCCACGCCAACATGACTGTTCGTCCACATTTACCCAGCATACTCCCCATGTATATTCCTGCTCGTAATCTCTTACTTCACTATTGGCCCATATTAATACCCGTGTTTACTTCCTTACTTCACTATTGGCCAATATTAATACCCGTGTTTACTCCCTTACTTCACTATTGGCCCATATTAATACCCGTGTTTACTTCCCTACTTCACTATTGACCCATATTAATACCAGTGTTTACTTCCCTTCTTCACTATTGACCCATATTAATACCAGTGTTTACTTCCTTACTTCACTATTGGCCCATATTAATACCCGTGTTTACTTCCCTACTTCACTATTGACCCATTTTAATACCAGTGTTTACTTCCTTACTTCACTATTGGCCCATATTAATAACCGTGTTTACTTTCCTACTTCACTATTGGCCCATATTAATACCCGTGTTTACTTCCCTACTTCACTATTCGCCCATATTTATGCCTGTGTTTACCTCCCTTCTTCACTATTGGCCCATATTAATTCCCGTGTTTACTTCCCTACTTTACTATGGGCCCTTATTAATACCCGTGCTTACTTCCTTACTTCACTATGGGCCCATATTAATACCCGTGTTTACTTCCTTACTTCACTATTGGCCCATATTTATGCCTGTGTTTAATTCCCTACTTCACTATTGACCCATATTAAAATACCCTAGTTTACTTCCCTACTTCACTATTGGCCCATATTTGCACCTGTGTTTACTTCCCTACTTCTCTATTGGCCCATATTTTTGCCTGTGTTTACTTCCCTACTTCACTATTGGCCCATATTAATACCTGTGTTTACTTTCCTACTTCACTATTGGCCCATTTTAATACCAGTGTTTACTTCCTTACTTCACTATTGGCCCATATTAATAACCGTGTTTACTTTCCTACTTCACTATTGGCCCATATTAATACCCATGTTTACTTCCTTACTTCACTATTCGCCCATATTAATGCCTGGGTTTACCTCCCTTCTTCACTATTGGCCCATATTAATTCCCGTGTTTACTTTCCTACTTTACTGTTGGCCCTTATTAATACCCGTGCTTACTTCCTTACTTCACTATTGGCCCATATTTGTGCCTGTGTTTACTTCCTTACTTCACCATTGGCCCATATTTATGCCTGTGTTTACTTCCCTACTTCACTATTGACCCATATTAAAATACCCGAGTTTACTTCCCTACTTCACTATTGGCCCATATTTGCATCTGTGTTTACTTCCCTACTTCTCTATTGGCCCTTATTTTTGCCTGTGTTTACTTCCCTACTTCACTATTGGCCCATAGTAATACCTGTGTTTACTTTCCTACTTCACTATTGGCCCATATTAATTCCCGTGTTTACTTCCCTACTTAACTATTGGCCCATATTTATGCCTGTGTTTACTTCCCTACTTCACTATTGGCCCATATTTGAACCTGTGTTTACTTTCCTACTTCACTATTGGCCCATATTAATTCCCGTGTTTACTTCCCTACTTCACTATGGGCCCATATTTATGCCTGTGTTTACTTACCTACTTTATTGGTCCATAGTAGTAATAACGGTGTTTTACCTTACTTCACTGCTGTTTGGCCAATATTGGCCCATATTTAATTCCTACTTCACTATTGGCCCATATTAATACCCGTGTTTAATTCCCTACTTCATTATTGACCCATATTAAAATCCGTGTTTACTTCCCTACTTCACTATTGACCCATATTAATACTGTGTTTACTTCCCTACTTCACTATTGGCCCATATTTATGCCTGTGTTTTACTTCCTGTACTTCACTATTGACCCATATTGAAATACCTGTGTTTACTTCCCTACTTTACTACTGGTCTATATTGATACCCGTGTTCCTATTGGCCCATATTAATACCTGTGTTTACTTCCCTACTTCACTATTGGCCCATATTAATACCCTTGTTTACTTCCCTGCTTCACTATTGGCCCATATTAATACCCGTGTTTACTTCCCTACTTCACTATTGGCCCATATTAATCTGCCTGTGTTTACTTCCTACTTCACTATGGGCCCATATTTGCACCTGTGTTTACTTCCCCTACTTCACTCATTGGCATATATTAATACCTGTGTTTACTTTCCCTACTTCACTATTGGCCCATATTAATACCTGTGTTTACTTCCCTACTTCACTATGGGCCCATATTTATGCCTGTGTTTACTTACCTACTTCACTATTGGTCCATAGTAATAACGGTGTTTACTTCCTTACTTCACTATTGGCCAATATTAATACCCCTGTTTACTTCCCTACTTCACTATTGGCCCATATTAATACCCGTGTTTAATTCCCTTCTTCATTATTGACCCATATTAAAATACCCGTGTTTACTTCCCTACTTCACTATTGACCCATATTAATACTCGTGTTTACTTCCCTACTTCACTATTGGCCCATATTTATGCCTGTGTTTACTTCCGTACTTCACTATTGACCCATATTGAAATACCCGTGTTTACTTCCCTACTTTACTACTGGCCCATATTGATACCCGTGTTCAATTCCCTACTTCACTACTGACCCATATTAAAATACCCGTGTTTACTTCCCTAATTTACTATTGGCCCATATTAATACCCGTGTTTACTTCCCTACTTCACTATTGGCCCATATGAATACCCTTGTTTACTTCCCTGCTTCACTATGGGCCCATATTAATACCCGTGTTTACTTCCCTACTTCACTATTGGCCCATATTTCTGCCTGTGTTTACTTCCCTACTTCACTATGGGCCCATATTTGCACCTGTGTTTACTTCCCTACTTCACTATTGGCATATATTAATACCCGTGTTTACTTCCCTACTTCACTATGGGCCCATATTAATACCTGTGTTTACTTCCCTGCTACACTATTGGCCAATATTAATACCTGTGTTTACTTCCCTACTTCACTATTGACCCATATAAAAATACCGGTGTTTACTTCCCAACTTCACTATTGGCTCATATTTGCACCTGTGTTTACTTTCCTGCTTCACTATTGGCCCATATTAATACCTGTGTTTACTTCCCTTCTTCACTATTGGCCCATATTGATGCCTGTGTATACTTCCCTACTTCACTATTGACCCGTGTATATATATATATATATATATATATATACAACTGTGCACAAAATACGCACCACCCTGTATTTTTACCAATTAATTTTGTCTGAAATGAAATTCTAAACTCTTTGCAAAAAATAACCTTTATAATTTGATAGAACAAGCACTTAACATATAAAAAACGAAAACATCATTGAAATTACCATGTACTTTAATTAGGACAATTGCCTATATTTAAAACAGGTGTTTTTCTGTCCTAAAGCAAGTTACCTTATTTTGAAAATTGAAAGTAATACTTGATTGTTGTGAGGCCTATAAGTTCGTTATTTATTCTGATTGGATGAAAATTTGTAAACTATGATTGAGGAACAGTTAAAGTCAAACTAAATAACAGGAAAATTTTAAAATGCAGTAAAAGTTGTTTACAAACAAAACAAACAGATTTTAGCTGTAATAATCAGTATCCGGAAAGGAGAAGTGTTTATTCATTACAATAAAATCAAAATCATAAAAAAATGTATTCCAAAATCTTATTAATGTGGCCTTTTTTTCAGTTTTTGTCAATTAGCAATCTGCATTGTTGGAAAAAAGTCTGAATCTCTGACATTCAGGTTCTTCCTGAATATGCATAATTAAAGCTTACTTGATGTGTAAATGTCATCTTGATATATAACAGAATTGTTATTTTTAGTCAAAACTGAATTGTGTAGTTTGAGCAGGAAAGGAATAATTAGTTTGGGTAAAAAATCAGTCCCGTCACATTTTTATCACGTATTTTTCTTTCATAAAGAATAAAAAAGGTTATGGTATTTGTAAAACTGTCAGTGGATAAAGCTTCTTTAACTACAGGTTGACTAAATTGATGGCTATACCCTAACTTTTCTGTAGCATCACATCTTATTTTCAAAATAGGCTTGTGCTTAATTAATGCACGGGTGTATACATACCTGTGTTTACTTCCCCACATCACTTCTGGCCCATGTGTATACCTGTGTTTAATTCCCTACTTCACTATTGACCCGTATATATATATATATATATATACCTGTGTTTACTTCCCCACATCACTTCTGGCCCATGTGTATACCTGTGTTTAATTCCCTACTTCACTATTGACCCGTATATATATATATATATACCTGTGTTTACTTCCCCACATCACTTCTGGCCCATGTGTATACCTGTGTTTACTTCCCTACATCACTATTGACCTGTATATATATATATAACTGTGTTTACTTCCCCACATCACTTCTGGCCCATGTGTATACCTGTGTTTAATTCCCCACTTCACTATTGACCTGTATATATATATACCTGTGCTTACTGCCCCACATGACTTCATGCCCATGTGTATACCTGTGTTTAATTCCCTACTTCAATATTGACCTGTATATATGTCAGGGTAGAGACTGCGATCTGGTAGAATCGGAGATTCTACCAGTAGAGATTGCGATCGGAGTCTCTACTGGTAGAGACTACGATTATATGGAATAACCTATGCAATCAAGTGCAAGCTTATGCAAGCAAGTATAATAAGTGGGGATAATGTTTTCCTATTATTTGCCAGTTATAATTGAACTTATTTATTGTTATCTTGTTAACTTTATTTGTTAAGTCTGTTTTGGAGTAAGATATTATTTATGAGCATTCACATATGTATGGTATTATTTAATTTGGAAAAAAAAATTGTTTTGGGGGATTAAATGACTAAATGTGAGTTATGTCTCTGAAAAATCAGGCGTGTCAAAAGGGCACCAAGAACATTTTTTAGCCGTGCCATTTCAATAATGACCGTGCCATGGCACACTAATATATGGGGTATTTCGAACCCTGATAACAGTTGATCTCTTGATGAAAGAAGTTGACCCCCAAAAACATGTCCATGACTCCCTCTCATGATGACTTCTAAATTTTTATGCCTAGGGCAAACACTGATTATGCAATTGATCTTGCTTGTAATCAGTTTTGAAATATATGTATATTGTAATATGATCTCTCAAGTCACATTTGGTTTTTTAGTCCTTAATATATCTGTAGAAGTGGAAACAGTCTAGTGTTATATCTGAATAAAATGCATAGTACTGTTCAGAAAAAGTGTCTTTGTTGTTTACCCACAGATCACGCGGAGTTTCTACCAGTTGAAGACGATTGCAGCCTCTACTAGTAGGATCGGAGTTTCTACCAGTTGAATTGGAAAATGTACTGGTAGAATCTCCGATTCAACCAGTAGAGACTACGATTGCAATCTCTACTAGTAGGATCGGAGATTCTACCAGATCGCAGTCTCTACCCTGACATATATATATACCACATGACTTCTGGCTGGTATGTGTATACCTGTGTTTAATTCCCCACTTCACTATTGACCTGTATATATATATACCTGTGTTTACTTCCCCACATGACTTCTGGCCCATGTGTATACCTGTGTTTAATTCCCTACTTCAATATTGACCTGTATATATATATACCTGTGTTTACTTCCCCACATGACTTCTGGCCCATGTGTATACCTGTGTTTAATTCCCTACTTCAATATTGACCTGTATATATATATACCTGTGTTTACTTCCCCACATGACTTCTGGCCCATGTGTATACCTGTGTTTCATTCCCTACTTCCCCACATGACTTCATGCCCATGTGTATACCTGTGTTTAATTCCCTACATCACTATTGACCCGTATATATATATATATATACCTGTGTTTACTTCCCCACATGACTTCTGGCCTATGTGTATACCTGTGTTTAATTCCCTACTTCACTATTGACCCGTATAAAAATATATATATATATATACCTGTGTTTACTTCCCCACATGACTTCTGGCCTATGTGTATACCTGTGTTTAATTCCCTACTTCACTATTGACCCGTATAAAAATATATATATATATATACCTGTGTTTACTTCCCCACATCACTTCTGGCCCATGTGTATACCTGTGTTTACTTCCCTACATCACTTCTGGCCCATGTGAATACCTGTGTTTACTTCCCTACTTCACAACAGGCGAATTGTTTTGGTCCTGAGCCCCATCCCTTCTTCACTTTTTGCCCGTATTATATGTATAACCGTGTTTACTTTTCTACTTGACTGTTGTCCATGCGCATTCACTTGTCCAGTTCCTTTCATAACTGTTGGCTCATGTGTATTCCTGTGTTCGATTCCCTCCTTCAACATCGGCCGATAATTATTTCCGCTCTTACTCCCGTTCCTAATGCTAGGGTTACACGGGATGGAAGTGAATGAGCAAACGTGACAGTCCGTGATTGCCGTGGATGCCGTGACAGATTTTTACGGCAGTCACGGTACTAATGAGAAACCTAGTAGGCCGGAGAAAAACGCAACAAAACTTGTAGACGGTCCGTAGTGGGACGGGAATGTGTATTCCCCGGCATCTCACGGTCCAGTTTTGTCACGTCCGGCCACGTTTGTTTGGCGTTTTGTCACGTTTTGTTCCGGTTCTCATGGCAAGCTAGGTTGTATGGTAGCCTATTCTTCCCGTTTGATCACGGCGCATCCAGGCGTGTGATGGTTTACAGGGCTGGCGAGATACGGCACGTTGCGTTCTCTGGCATTCCCTCTCTGCAGTTGATGCTGGCCTTCTTGCTGACGCAAGGCCTCGATGTATGCCCCCAGCAAACATACAAACACAAAATCTTCTTCATCTTCTTCATGCTGCTCAGGATACAATGGCTGCTATTGCTTGGGAGGCCTTAGTTTTATACCGTAGGCACAAACCTGGTCCAAAGCTGGCCGACGTCCCCGCTTCATCGGTAGAAAGTCTTGACAGAACGCGCAAAACGTATCAAAACCTTGATCAAAACGTGAGAAACGTGAGGGAAACCCATCAGAACGCGACAGGCCGGGATGAAACGTAATGGCATCCGCAGTACACTGCGGGCCGAACCGTAGCGCGCCTTTGAGCTTCCGGGATTCAGCAACCCGTTTACCCAACGGCCCATCACGGATAGCCCGTGAATGACCTTAGCAGGACCTAAAAAACTTGACTTTGGAGGGAAAAAATGGCCAAAATCCCACGGCGCACTACGTTTCGGAGAAACGAGGCTGCCGTGGCCACCGGGAGCATGGTGTAACCCTAGCATTACTGTTGATCCGTGGGTATTCCTATATCCAATCACCTGCATCGCTATTGGCAGATGTGTATTCCCGTGTTTAATTAATTGCTTTACCATTGGTCCTTTTTTTATTTCTATGGTGTATTTTTACTTTATATTTCATACTTCATAATGATCTAATGACCCGATGTTTAATTCCCTATTTCGCATTTGGTACTTATACGAGGGTCGGTCAAAAAGTAGTCGGCCTCACCTGGAAAATAATACAAATGCAACTGTTTTTATGTTTTATTTTTCTACATATTGTCTGTCAACCTCAAGCAAATTTATTGTCCTGGGCCCCACAAAGTTTCACAAAGCTCTCGTAAGCCTAAGATCTCGTAATTTTCCTCGTAGTATCGTAGCATTCGTACCTCCTATATCGTAACATAGGAGGTATGAATGCTTGAGGACTGCCAGTATCTGAGATGAGTCACACACACATATCCGGGAGTGTATTATACTGTTTATTGTCTGTTTGGTAGTTCTACCAGGACTGCCAGTATCTGAGATGAGTCACACACACATATCCGGGAGTGTATTATACTGTTTATTGTCTGTTTGGTAGTTCTACCAGGACTGCCAGTTTCTGAGGTGAATCACACACACAACAAAAATCAAACACATCCTGGACTGTATCAATGCTATACATTCATACAGTACATGTACATTACGTTCATAAAGTCAGCTGAGAGTAAATGAATCTGAGAATGATTGTTTCTGGGTATATACGAGACAGTTGGCCTGTTTTTAATAAGCAAGGATGCGAAAATTGCAAATATATATACACATTAGCGCATTACGTTTAATACACTGGGAAGTGCACTAAAAGCGTTTGGATGTTAATAACAAAAAATAAAAATGAAGTTAAAACAATATTAACGCTAGCTGAGCATATGTTGGCGAATGCAAGGAACACATGATCGTAGATAACAGATGCATGACAAAGGTACACTGTCGGTGTAGACGTCGGGCTGGTGGCCGTAACTAGTCGAACACTGCCTGGTCCCCATGGTGGTCCCCCTGGGGGCCCCGGGGTCATGGGGAGGGTTACACTGCACAAGGTTGAGGAGGAACGAGTCCGCCATTACACCTTCGCGGAACTCTTCCCACGTGATATTGTCGTCACCGTCCTTGTCCATGACCTTGAACATCGTCTCCACGACGCTAAGAGGCGTGGCGTACTCAGGTGGTAGAAGAATACGGCTGAAGTCGAGCATCTTGTACACTGACTGAAATGGTAAAAACAGCTTTAATAGAAAATGACAAGAGACTTAAAAATGCACAACCCATTGAAATGAAATGAAGACCAATCGTAAGCAGCTTGCTTGAGCGCATGCCAGTGTAGACACATTAACACAAAAAGGATGGAAGCCATCACAAAGCAAGTTGCCTGTTCAGACATTACACGACAGTCCGTTTGAGTCAGAAACGGACCGATGAATTGCAAATTTTATCATTGTACAAAATTGCCACATAAATATAAATAGTACACATGTTTATCATTTACTAATACCCAACAGCTTTGTTATATTTGAAAATTTTCCGCACCACCAAAAAGTTCTTTAAGAAACTATCATTAAAATTTTGACACAGTTCACTATTTGTTACGAGGGAGGAGTGCAGAGAAAGGGACAGCCAGGTGTGCGAGAAAGGATGGAGACGGCACAGCACAGGCTAATGAATCAATAACTTGGTGGGCACATGTGCACGTGCTTCTCTAACACCTGGCTGTCCCTTTCTCTGCACTCCTCCCTCGTAACCAATAGTGAACTGTGTCAAAATTTTAATGATAGTTTCTTTTTGGTGGAGTCCGGAAAATTTTCAAATATAAGAAAGCTGTTGGGTATTAGTAAATGATAAACATGTGTACTATTTATATTTATGTGGCAATTTTGTACAATGATAAAATTTGCAATTCATCGGTCCGTTTCTGACTCAAACGGACTGTCGTGTCTCTTATCAAGCATTAAACTGAATTTCGCAGGGCAGTTACGTTAGCGTTATTACCTCTCACATTTAAGCACAGTGAACTACGGTTATGACGAACTCAGAGAGATCACATATTTTAGTTCGTTATCGCCGTAGTTCATTACATACATTTCGACTAAAATATACAATAGGCAAGGACACCCCCAAAGGTTCGTTATATCAGTCAGTTCGTTATAAACGTCGTTTATTGTACCTGCCTCTTATATACTCATTGCTAGGGAATATAGGTGTGTTATATCTTTTACTCTTCCTCATCAGCGCCATGAATATGACAGTGTTATATAATCATTGCTAGGGAATATAGGTGTGTTATATCTTTTACTCTTCCTCATTAGCGCCATGGATATGACTGTCTTATATAATCATTGCTAGGGAATATAGGTGTGTTATATCTTTTACTCTTCCTCATCAGCGCCATGGACATGACAGTGTTATATAATCAATGCTAGGGAATATAGATGTGTTATATCTTTTACTCTTCCTCATTAGCGCCATGGATATGACTGTCTTATATAATCATTGCTAGGGAATATAGGTGTGTTATATCTTTTACTCTTCCTCATTAGCGCCATGGACATGACAGTGTTATATAATCATTGCTAGGGAATATAGATGTGTTATATCTTTTACTCTTCCTCATTAGCGCCATGGACATGACAGTGTTATATAATCATTGCTAGGGAATATAGATGTGTTATATCTTTTACTCTTCCTCATTAGCGCCATGGATATGACTGTCTTATATAATCAATGCTAGGGAATATAGGTGTGTTATATCTTTTACTCTTCCTCATTAGCGCCATGGATATGACTGTCTTATATAATCATTGCTAGGGAATATAGGTGTGTTATATCTTTTACTCTTCCTCATCAGCGCCATGAATATGACTGTCTTATATAATCATTGCTAGGGAATATAGGTGTGTTATATCTTTTACTCTTCCTCATTAGCGCCATGGACATGACAGTGTTATATAATCATTGCTAGGGAATATAGATGTGTTATATTTTTTACTCTTCCTCATTAGCGCCATGGACATGACAGTGTTATATAATCATTGCTAGGGAATATAGATGTGTTATATCTTTTACTCTTCCTCATTAGCGCCATGGACATGACAGTGTTATATAATCATTGCTAGGGAATATAGATGTGTTATATCTTTTACTCTTCCTCATTAGCGCCATGGATATGACTGTCTTATATAATCATTGCTAGGGAATATAGGTGTGTTATATCTTTTACTCTTCCTCATTAGCGCCATGGATATGACTGTCTTATATAATCATTGCTAGGGAATATAGGTGTGTTATATCTTTTACTCTTCCTCATTAGCGCCATGGACATGACAGTGTTATATAATCATTGCTAGGGAATATAGATGTGTTATATCTTTCACTCTTCCTCATTAGCGCCATGGATATGACAGTGTTTATATAATCATTGCTAGGGAATATAGGTGTGTTATATCTTTTACTCTTCCTCATCAGCGCCATGGACATGACAGTGTTATATAATCAATGCTAGGGAATATAGATGTGTTATATTTTTTACTCTTCCTCATTAGCGCCATGGACATGACAGTGTTATATAATCATTGCTAGGGAATATAGATGTGTGTTATATCTTTTTCTCTTCCTCATGAACGCCATGGGCATGACACTGTTATATAATCACTGCTAGGGAATATAGATGTGTTATATCTTTTACTCTTCCTCATTAGCGCCATGGATATGACTGTCTTGTATAATCATTGCTAGGGAATATAGGTGTGTTATATCTTTTACTCTTCCTCATTAGCGCCATGGATATGACTGTCTTATATAATCATTGCTAGGGAATATAGGTTTGTTATATCTTTTACTCTTCCTCATTAGCGCCATGGACATGACAGTGTTATATAATCATTGCTAGGGAATATAGGTGTGTTATATCTTTTACTCTTCCTCATCAGCGCCATGGATATGACAGTGTTATATAATCATTGCTAGGGAATATAGGTGTGTTATATCTTTTACTCTTCCTCATTAGCGCCATGGACATGACAGTGTTATATAATCATTGCTAGGGAATATAGATGTGTTATATCTTTTACTCTTCCTCATTAGCGCCATGGATATGACTGTCTTGTATAATCATTGCTAGGGAATATAGGTGTGTTATATCGTTTACTCTTCCTCATTAGCGCCATGGACATGACAGTGTTATATAATCAATGCTAGGGAATATAGGTGTGTTATATCTTTTACTCTTCCTCATTAGCGCCATGGATATGACAGTGTTATATAATCATTGCTAGGGAATATAGGTGTGTTATATCTTTTACTCTTCCTCATCAGCGCCATGGATATGACAGTGTTATATAATCATTGCTAGGGAATATAGGTGTGTTATATCTTTTACTCTTCCTCATTAGCGCCATGGACATGACAGTGTTATATAATCATTGCTAGGGAATATAGATGTGTTATATCTTTTACTCTTCCTCATTAGCGCCATGGATATGACTGTCTTATATGCTAGGGAATATAGGTGTGTTATATCGTTTACTCTTCCTCATTAGCGCCATGGACATGACAGTGTTATATAATCATTGCTAGGGAATATAGATGTGTTATATCTTTTACTCTTCCTCATCAGCGCCATGGATATGACAGTGTTATATAATCATTGCTAGGAATATAGGTGTGTTATATCTTTTAATAGCGCCATCATTGCTAGGTAGATGTGTTATATCTTTTACTCTTCCCTCATTAGCGCCATGGATATGACTGTGTTATATAATCATTGCTAGGGAATATAGATGTGTTATATCTTTTACTCTTCCTCATTAGCGCCATGGATATGACTGTCTTATATAATCATTGCTAGGGAATATAGGTGTGTTATATCTTTTACTCTTCCTCATTCAGCGCCATGGATATGACAGGTTATATAATCATTGCTAGGGAATATAGATGTGTTATATCTTTTACTCTTCCTCATTAGCGCCATGGATATGACAGTGTTATATAATCATTGCTAGGGAATATAGATGTGTTATATCTTTTACTCTTCCCTCATTAGCGCCATGGATATGACTGTCTTATATAATCATTGCTAGGGAATATAGGTGTGTTATATCTTTTACTCTTCCTCATTAGCGCCATGGATATGACTGTCTTATATAATCATTGCTAGGGAATATAGGTGTGTTATATCTTTTACTCTTCCTCATCAGCGCCATGGATATGACTGTCTTATATAATCATTGCTAGGGAATATAGGTGTGTTATATCTTTTACTCTTCCTCATTAGCGCCATGGACATGACAGTGTTATATAATCAATGCTAGGGAATATAGATGTGTTATATCTTTTACTCTTCCTCATTAGCGCCATGGACATGACAGTGTTATATAATCATTGCTAGGGAATATAGATGTGTTATATCTTTTACTCTTCCTCATTAGCGCCATGGATATGACTGTCTTATATAATCAATGCTAGGGAATATAGGTGTGTTATATCTTTTACTCTTCCTCATTAGCGCCATGGATATGACTGTCTAATATTATCATTGCTAGGGAATATAGGTGTGTTATATCTTTTACTCTTTCTCATCAGCGCCATGAATATGACAGTGTTATATAATCATTGCTAGGTAATATAGGTGTGTTATATCTTTTACTCTTCCTCATTAGCGCCATGGACATGACAGTGTTATATAATCAATGCTAGGGAATATAGATGTGTTATATCTTTTACTCTTCCTCATTAGCGCCATGGATATGACTGTCTTATATAATCATTGCTAGGGAATATAGGTGTGTTATATCTTTTACTCTTCCTCATCAGCGCCATGGACATGACAGTGTTATATAATCAATGCTAGGGAATATGGATGTGTTATATCTTTTACTCTTCCTCATTAGCGCCATGGACATGACAGTGTTATATAATCAATGCTAGGGAATATAGATGTGTTATATCTTTTACTCTTCCTCATTAGCGCCATGGACATGACAGTGTTATATAATCATTGCTAGGGAATATATGTGTGTTATATCTTTTACTCTTCCTCATTAGCGCCATGGATATGACTGTCTTATATAATCATTGCTAGGGAATATAGGTGTGTTATATCTTTTACTCTTCCTCATTAGCGCCATGGATATGACTGTCTTATATAATCATTGCTAGGGAATATAGGTGTGTTATATCTTTTACTCTTCCTCATCAGCGCCATGGATATGACAGTGTTATATAATCATTGCTAGGGAATATAGGTGTGTTATATCTTTTACTCTTCCTCATTAGCGCCATGGACATGACAGTGTTATATAATCAATGCTAGGGAATATAGGTGTGTTATATCTTTTACTCTTCCTCATCAGCGCCATGGATATGACTGTCTTATATGCTAGGGAATATAGGTGTGTTATATCTTTTACTCTTCCTCACCAGCGCCATGGATATGACTGTCTTATATGCTAGGGAATATAGGTGTGTTATATCTTTTACTCTTCCTCATCAGCGCCATGGATATGACTGGTTATATAATATTGCTAGGGAATATAGGTTTGTTATATCTTTTACTCTTCCTCATTAGCGCCATGGACATGACAGTGTTATATAATCAATGCTAGGGAATATAGATGTGTTATATCTTTTACTCATCCTCATTAGCGCCATGAAGATGACAGTGTTATATAATCAATGCTAGGGAATATAGGTGTGTTATATCTTTTACTCATCCTCATTAGCGCCATGGACATGACAGTGTTATATAATCAATGCTAGGGAATATAGGTGTGTTATATCTTTTACTCATCCTCATCAGCGCCATGGACATGACAGTGTTATATAATCAATGCTAGGGAATACAGCATTCTTCCCACAGAGGTTACTCCTGTCATATCTTCCTACATAACCTCTGTTCTAATACGACCCTTCTTGGTGTCAGCGTTCAAGGCTCGTGATTGGAGACAAGCCGATTTAGTTGTGCAATCAGCGACGTTGTTTCAAAAGTGATCATTCGCAAGGCGTCGGTAATTTCCGTATGCTTCGGGAAAACTAGAACCTTCTTCCCTGAGCGCGATGCGCAAACGTTTCTTCTAGACAGACTCAGTCATGTAATGGCGTATCAATGGCGTCTCCATCGCCCTCGTTGACAACGGACAAGCTAGCCATTAAACGTCTTGTGTGTAACATCAACACAATTCCCCGGCAGATGGGGATATTTGTGGCCCCGCATTTGCTTGTGTTAGTCAAATTGAATCTAAGTCGATGTAACACGTGTTCTGATTGGATAGAAAGAAGGGAGATAATTCGTGTTGCGATCTTTTGCCGCTAGGGATTTTACGAGGACCGGGAAATATGGCCGTATTAGAAACAGAGGTTATGTAGGAAGATATGACAGGAGTAACCTCTGTGGGAAGAGAATGGGGAATACAGGTGTGTTATATCTTTTACTCTTCCTCATTAGCGCCATGGACATGACAGTGTTATATAATCAATGCTAGGGAGTATAGATGTGTTATATCTTTTACTCTTCCTCATTAGCGCCATGGATATGACTGTCTTATATGCTAGGGAATATAAGTGTGTTATATTTTTTTCTCTTCCTTATTAACGCTTAGCAAGTTAAATGGTGAAAGAGAGAGTCTAGTTTAAAGCCGATTTGAACAATATTTCAGCTTTATCACAGCCCGCCAGGTGTATGTGGAAGATTTTGAGAGACGAATTAGGTGGATGTTTTCCAGTTTTGAGAAACCAACGAGTATTGTGTTGTCAAACCTAGGATAAGAGCAGGACGAATCCAGGATTCGAACCCAACTGGGTCCTGGTGCGATTCAACCCAGTTGAAGCATCGGGAAAAACCTGTACATGGATGAATTCAAAATCCTCTTGAACTAACCTTGACTATTTCCTCCATTTCCGATCTGGAGATCATCCCGTTCTGGCTGATGTCGTAAACCTCAAACGCCCAACGCAGGCTTTTGTGAAAGTCGTCACTTCCGCTCGCGTTGAGACCGATCAGGAACTCCCGGAAACTAATCTTGCCATTGCCATCAGTGTCGAAAGTCCGTACAATATGTCGAACATAATCCGAGCTGTCTCCGGGGAACACCTTGTTGTATACGGAAATAAACTCCTTTTCCGTTAAATATTCCTCCCCTTTTTCCACTCGAGCACTTTTCTTGAATTCTTCATACCAATCCTGGATTTCGCTGTCTGAGAAGCTCACTCGAGATTTAATGTCATCAATGTCAGAAGGCAAAAGTTTGTTTTTCATTACTTTTTGTCCCATATTGAATGACTGAAAGAGAACAGACCTAGAATCAGCAATGGTATGGATAGCCTAGTGGTTTACGTGTCCACTCGTTGACCTGAAGACCCGGGTTCGATTATCGACACGGATGTGTGAAACCAATTCTCCATAATTTGTTGATACAGATTTCGATGGGGGTAACAGGATGGCTGAAAATCAGTGATGACATCAGGTACTGTCTGTTGTTTACGCCGCACTCAGCAATATTCCAGCTATATGGTGGCGGTCTGTCAATAATCGAGTCTGGCCCACACAATCCGGTGATCAACAGCAACGGCATCAACCTGCAGTTGGGATACGATGACATGTGTCAACCAAGTCAGCGAGCCTGACCACCCGATCCCGTTAGTCGCCTCTTACGACAAGCATGGGTTACTGAAGGCCAATTCTAACCCGGATCTTCAAGGGTGGCATCAAGTACTGGTTAGCATTCTTGAACATATTGATGCTGACAAGTATTTGAGTTTTGTCAGTTACCCGGGCTAAAATACCTACAACCTACAGTATATTGAAGTATTGAATGATGAGAAAACGTCATCGACATGTGCCACACAGACCCTCACTTTCTGCACACGACACTCAACTTGCATTAGACCATAACGTCAAACAACCGGTGTCGTTAAACGTAATGCGAGTATTCAAGCCTCATTTTGGAATTATGCAGTGATTGGAAAAACACCCAATGACTACCTGGGCATCTGTTGTGTGTGTTCCCATCCTAACCTGACGGGAAACTACAGTGAGTTCGAGAGAGAGGGTTTCGGTCTGTCATTTTCACTACACGTGGCTTCAGTACAGTAAACTGACTGACTGAGTATGGTTTTACGCCGCTTTTAGCAATATTCAAGCAATATCACGGCGGGGAACGCCAGAAATGGGCTTCACACATTGTACCCAGGTACGGAATCGAACTCGAATCTTCGGCGTAACGAGCGAACGCTTTAACCACTAGGCTACCCCACAGCTCCCAGTACAGTAAAACAACACCAAATCACACAATAATTATTCAGTGATGACATTTCACTCTTGTGTTGTGATTATAGGTATTTTTATCCATTCTGGCAGCTTGAAAAATGTTTCTTATTTTCTCTAAAGAGAAAACACAACTGTCTGACCCTTGCACCGTTATCTGGAGACAAAAACTTCGGTTGTTTATGTTCACTAACGTCACCACTCCAGTGAGTTTTCCAGTGAGATATCAATAGTTCCCAGTTCCAATAAATCTATATTTGTACTGTACTATCTAGAACAGGAGATGATCGTTAAACGAAGGGGAAAAGTGAATCCACAATGCCTCTTTCAGAATATGGTCAAATGTAACATGTTACATTTGGGATTACACTTTGACAGTAAAGTACATATTAGGCGTGGGGTGGGACGTACCCTCGCCCCTACCTACATCACCGGAATGTGAAAAAACGTACTTGAATATGTATTTTACTGAGAAAGTGTAAACTAAAATATAACAACTGCTACTTTAGACCACTTTCTGAAAAAGATTGTGTGGGATCCGTGATAGTTTACACTTGTCAGAGGGGTACACGAAATACGTGGCCTAAACTAGCAGTTGTCAGACTTGTAGAAGTGGCGATGGCTGAGTGGGTTAGATCGCTGAGTTTGTGTGCCTTACACTGAGAGTGTGTGTTCGAATCCAGGATGGAACTCAACCCCCTATGTACTAGAATATGTACTCTCTTGAGAAACTGTAATCACAAATATTACATGTATAATAAATATGAAATGTTACAAGTGTCAGTACTTATGTCAATAATGTATCTCTTTAAACTTTAAATCATCGCGAGACCTACCACTACCTGTAGCAGTAACTGTCGTAGCTGAAGCGTTTAGCCTGGACATTCAACAAACATGGACGAAAAGGTTCGTGATAAATCTCTACATAGAGCAGTTGCGTGATAACACTTGAGGCGTGTAAAGTTACATAATAAAGATATTACTCCTGTTCTTAAGTCCCATGTATCATTTAAATAAAATAACCCAGCATTAGACTCTGGAGAATATCCATGAGTGAGACGGTGACAGTATATAGACAAGAGATTTAACAGTTAATGTCCTACCTGTTCGTCTGTCCGTTTTCGACTCGTGTGGTTCTAGACGTCGAAAGGCGACATACTATCATTAGTAACCAACAAAGGATCTTTTCAACTGTACGCTAGTTTTATGCTTTCCTTCTCAAGGAGACTTTCAATACATGCCAAAAACCGCTAAGCAGGAAGTTGCATGCACAGCTACTGATTACACGTTTTACAAGTTCTCCGAGAATGCATTCCACCCTGATGAGAACGTAGCCATACAAGGTATATTCTAGCCAGTGTCAGGTTTCAAACTGGGTCGGGCAGGCATGCGTAACCAACATAAGAGGCCCAGAAACGTGCTGTAGATTCGCCTACAATTGCATGGCGACCTGCTGCACGAATAGGCCAGGTCGACAGGAAAACAACAATCTCTTACCTAACCTCACCTTGAAGCATATACAATCATTTAATACTGAATAGATATGACCTATTTATGATGAGTTCGTTCTGGGTACTTAGGTTCCATACTGTATTTTGTGTAAAGGCAGTTAAACGTATTTTATATACATATATTTGTCTGGTCTGTCATACATTGCGTGGTACGTTTGTACGCCACTTTTAGAAATATATTAAAGCAATATCACGGCGGGGGGCACCAGAAATGGGCTTCACACATTGTACCCATGTGGGGAATCGAACTCGGGTCTGCGGCCAATATCTAAGCCAATGCAAACCTAAACTACCACACTTTCAGAAAGAGGGAAGTCTGTGGGGTCCTTTTCATTATATTCTATTATTATAATTTATGATTTAACCGGCGTTTTTTCTGTAACATTTGTTCATTTCAGAGACTAGATGTTAGTCTAGTATTTGTCATCAACTGTGATGAACATCTCGGTTAAATATTTGTAGAATACGTTTCTTTGTCTTTCAACATTATTCCGAATATATGACGGTGATCTGTAATAAACAACTCTGGACTAGACAATCGAGTGATTGACGTCATGATTGTGGTTTTACGCCTAATTTAGCAATATTCCAGCAATATCACGGAATATCATATAGCAATATCATGACACCAAATAAACAAAGAAAGTGACCGAGCCTGTTCCATCTTAAGAGGGGGTGATATAGAGCATACATTAGCAACTAAAGTACGTCCCACAACCAGTGTCAACACCCCAGGTTAGACCCGTGAGGTTCCCGGGTTAGAACTGATCTTCAGTAACCCATGCTTGTCGTAACTAACTGGATAGGGTGGTCAGGTTGGCTGATTTGGTTGACACATGTCTTTGCATACAAGTTGTGTAAATCGATGCTCGTGATGTTGATCACTGGATTTTCTGATCCAGACTCGATTATTTCCAGACCGCCGCCATACATCTTGCATATTGCTGGGTGCGACGTTAAACAACAAACCAACCAACCAAATACACCAGGGCCTAGATTTTCGAAGCTCCCTTAGCGCTAAGATAGTCGTAAGTCTATGTTAATGTATGGCACTTACGACTATCTTAGCGCTAAGAGAGCTTCGACAATCTAGGCCCTGGTCATTTTCTATGCAGTACTGACGCTGATTTATCGTATATCTTCAGCGCTAGTTTGTTACAAGTTACAAGCTGCTGTGATCCATGAGTACGAAAAAAAGGTGTTGATGGCTTGAACCAGGGATTGGTTGTAAATATTTGTACAATCAGGTGAAAGGCGTCATTGTAAAGATTGTGTGGCGTGTTTCAATTAATGTAAGCCCTACAACAATGTTGTCCTTACAAGGAAGTTATATCTGGATCTAATAGAAATTCAACGTGCACGCTGATCCGTCGCAAAACATGGTTGATACCCTTACTATCTTCCAATTGTTCACCTATACATGTAAACTGTTTCTGATTTAGTATGGGCGAGCTGTGAGAGTTTTTAAATAATAATAATCCTAAAGAAATCATCCATTTTGAAAGGCGGTGGATGTTCTGTCCTTTCCTGAAAAGTTTTCTACAACAGGATAGGCTCATAAACCATTGAAGTCAGCCACGGTGACACTAATAACAATTGTTCTGATCACGCTGTCGTCGACAGCAAACACCCGATACATACCTATTGCATGTCTGTATGCCATCTCCATATCTACTCCTGACAAAAGGATCTAGTGTGACCGCGCTGAACTTCACGAGCATGCCTTTGAATAAGTGAGGTTTTTTTTAAACTTCGGATAGCAACATTAGCCAAAAACACACTCAGAAAACTATTGTCGTGGGTTCACGTATCCGATCCGATTATACTCAAGATAGACATACACAATTATGATAACTAAAGTCACGTTAACTGTTGATTTTATCATGTCATCTGACGTAGTGTCTCCGAATACTTCCATTGTATCAGGAATTCCAGGTGGGTTAGCGGTCGGCAATCAATAACCCATGCTTGTCGTAAGAGATCCCGACTAACGGGGTCGGGTGGTCAAGCTTGCTGACTTGGATGACACATGTCATCGCATCCCAACTGCGTAGATAGATGCTCATGCTGTTGATCACTGGATTGTTTTGTCCAGACTCAGTTATTTACAGACCCCACCGTGGAATATTGCTGAGTGCGGCGTTAAACAACAAACAAACAATTACATGGTCCTTGATTTAACATGTCATTTCTTAAAATAAATATTACCCTTTAGAAAGGATAAACTTAACTATTGTACAACAAAATAAAACTCTCTTTAAATATTCACTTCAATGGAATTACTGTGTGAGCTGTTTTTACGTCCCAAGGGTAACCGTCACGAAGAATCTAGAAGTCACACCACGATCAGCTCATCGGGAACGTACCCGTGAAGATCCGGGTGAGAATTGATCTTCTGTAACCCATGCTTGTCGTAAGAGGCGAATAACGGGATCGGGTAGTCAGGCTCGCTGACTTGGTTGACACATGTCAACGGTTTCCAATTGCGTAGATTGATGCTCATGCTGTTGACAAATGGATTGTCTGGTCCAAACTCGATTATTTACAGACCGCCGCCATAAAGCTGGAATATTGCTGAGTGCGGGGTAAAACTAAACTCACTCACTCACTCACTCATCGGGAACGGGTAAGGGGCGCAACCCTGCATAGCGAACTGCAGCGGCTTCGACAACAGACAGACAACATGCAACGCCATCTGTGTTCAGCACATGCGTTTTACAGTTTAATATATAAACACATGCATACACGCACGCACACGTAAACGCAATGTTTCTTCAGCAACCCATGCTTGTCGTAAGAGTGGTCGGCGTCTGACGTCATCGGTGCGCAGTCTCGCTGACTACAGCGGCTTGTAACGCTTGAAAGTGACATCCAGGTACATATTTACACTGACGGGATTTTAGCATTATATATACGAAGAACTTTCATTGTGGCCCCGTCAGTGACAATATATACTTAGAAGTCACTTTCAAGCGTTACAAGCCTCTGTGGTCAGCGAGACTGCGCACCGTTGACGTCAGACGCCGACCACTCTTACGACAAGCATGGGTTGCTGAAGAAACATTGCGTTTTCTTTACAAGCCTCTCTGTCGCTTTGACATCTGGCATCAAAACTGCGTAGTTCGATGCTCACGATTCCAGCTACTGGATCGTCTGGTCCAGACGCGATTGTTTACAGACTGCCGCCATACAATTGGAATATTACCCAGTGCGGCGTTAAAAAAACCAAAACATGATAGGTGAGGACAGGTTGTTACTTGAACAACGCCATTACTGAGGTCAAGGCCAGTATACCTGTCACAGTGACATATAGATGTATGTTGCCCAACCAAACACATCGCTGTACAGGTGGTTTACGGTCACCGGAGTTTAATAACTGCTTTGTTAAAGCCCTACCTTGAGAAAACCAAACAAGACAGTCATACGATACGTAGTTATGTACGCAGAGTGTCACAGGTCAAATAGTCCACCTGCATTCATACGGTTACTTAACGCAATTTGTCCTCGGGTATGTTGACTTAACAATTCCAAAACAACGCATCCAACCCAAAAATACAAAAAATATAACTTTGAAAATAATATTAACAAATTCAAATTTCAAATTGGGCAAATTTTAGTTACTACTACTAACCCGAAGATATACGCTATACAGTAAACTACACTTACGAATGCCGTCATTGTCAGTTTGTTATAGACCTAATTTACTGTCATGAGCTATAAATGTCATTGAAATGTCACATTAACTAAATAGCCACTGTTATTCAGGTGTACATGGCTATTATCTATGCATTGTGTGTGGGTGCATGTTAGTATGCCGTCAAGCATGGTTCATGGTATCTTCTTGAAATGGTATCTATGCAGTTGCGTGGGAAGTGGTATCTTAGCGCTCAAGAATGTAAATCCATACACAGGTGCAGGTCTTTACATGATGCTTAAGGTGTTCTTTGTAAAAAATAGTTTGTGGGATTTAGAAGTATCCTGTCTTGTACTTTTTCGCATGTTAGAATGACAATGGCAATATGAAATACATTACCATGTTGGTACATGTACATGGTAAATCCCTGATTATCCAGTATATTGGATCTACACTGTGTTACATGTGCACTAAATAATATAACTGGTATGTGATACACTGAATGTATCCCTTCAGGTCGATGTAACCATGTATTCCCTCGTCTGACCTCATACATTGGTCTCTGTGTAATCCATTCTCCCTCAGAACGGGCACCGTTTCCATAACGGATTCTTACAAAATATAACATATGAAAACCATGACCATACCGTATCAATGCTTGTGTTGTAACCATGTGATATACGTGGCAGGACTCTATACCTGCATGTTATACAAAACAGGCGACAGAATGATATCGTGTCGGATCCTTTCAGTGTTTTTGCATGACTGAGTTCTGAAATCCAATATGGTCCTTGCAGTGGTACAGCATTTCTACTTCATTTCTTAATAGTAAACAATACCGGGGAAGAGCCTGTTAGGTGACTTCCAAAACACCCCCACTGCCCAACTCAGAATTGTACGGCAGAGAAAACAACATTTTGCGAGTTATAAGATGCGAATAATATCACGGTTTATGATGTGGTGTTATAATTGTCGGAGAGAACAGTCTGGAATATGTTGCATCATTATTACAAAATTAGTCTATTTTAATTTTAATGTTGTTTTTATTATTTGTTTCAAAATCAATCGCATATATGTTGGTGTCGGTGGTGTACTGTCATGCACATACTTAGTTATTATTGATCTAATTAATCAATCAATCAAGCTGACGCTTGGCTCGGACCAGACCAGTTTTTTCCAGTCACATCATGTTGTACTCGGATTATCAGAATAGACTTTATGATCTATTCAAATCTAACAATTACTTCTTTACACATATTAGTCATAAGCAATGTCTCCACACCGGCTCGCGTTACTTGTACATGTTATTACTTGAAATGGACACCATCCCGGGGACTGTAGCTCACATTACAAAGGAACACTGACACGCAGACACTGGATATGAAGCCCTGTTGTTCTGCAATAACTTTGATAGTTAATCCCTGCCTACCAACTGTGGCCTTGGATTGTGCCCCATGCTGGAGTTACCTTTGAACAATCTACAACGTACAATACAATTGTCAACATACAGAGGTCTGCCATGTTATTTCTGGCGCTGGTGCGCGTGCGCACGTGCTCCGTTCTACAAAGCGATTTTAGAGCTGCTATTATACTAACATCCAGTCTCTACTGTCATGCAATCAAACACTGTCTGTATTATGGGCCTATTTCCTCTTTACTGAATACACTGTCTGTCTGTTTGACATCTAGTCTCTGAAATGAACATATTTTACAGAAAAAACCCACAATCTTCAAAAACTTTATAGGCTAATGATCTCAGAGAACGCCTTCATATTCAGAAACTGCGGCAATCTATACCTGAATGGTCTGTATTGGGTATTGTTCCAGGGTCTCTATGACAGACTGTGCTACCACAGTCAAAAGCAAATGCTAACGTAATGTATGGGAGTTACGAATCTTAGCACAGCCTCCACAACTATATTTTATGTGTAGCGTTCAGCTAGAGTTGGTAAATAAAAAGCTAAAATAGGTTTGTGTAGCTTAATGTTTTATAATTTTCTTTGTTACAGAGTGAGTGAGTAAGTTTAGTTTTATGCCGCACTCAGCAATATTCCAGCTATGTGGCGGCGGTCTGTAAATAATCGAATCTGGACCAGACAATTCAGTTATCAACAGCATGAGCATCGATCTGCGTAACTGGGAACCGATGACATGTGTCAACCAAGCCAGCGGGCCTGACTACCTGATCCCGTTAGTCGCCTCTTACGACAAGCATGGGTTACTGAAGGGTCATTCTAACCCGGACCTTCACGGGTCCCTTTGGTACAGAAGAGGCGTAAGTACTTATTACTAATTAAGGTAAAACTACGGGATATTTAGTATTCTACAATAACATATATGTGTACTTACAAATGAGACTGAGAATGTTTTTCTCTCTTATAAAACGATAAATGTGGCCAGTAACTACAATCAATTATGTGCATATGGATGTATTATAACTGTAATATTGCATCACTTTCGAAGTTGAATCTTTCCAGTTATTTATCTATAAAAGCCGAAGTGAATAAAAATAATATGAACTTTCTAAATCAATTTTCTTGTTGTGGTTGTTGAATCTGTAAATCAGAAAATGAGTTTCCAAATATTGGAAAGAAGAATAAGTGAAAAGTATTGTCACAGATACAAATCTAACTTAAGACAGTCATATCAAGAAGTAAAGAACTTAATGTCGCTTTCTAAACCACATTGCCTACGTAGATCATGATTAAGATTTAGTCTCTGAAATGAACATATACTAAGCAGCAAAAGAAACGTCAGTTTGGAATTTTCCTTCGCAGAAACGGATAACTGTAAACTCATTTAATGTTTTGATTGTATATTTTTGGCAACATCTCCAACTTTACCTGAGCAAAGACATTCCTTCCCAAACTCAGAATTAAACCCAGGAAATGGTCTCAAAAACGCAACCTGATCTCGGACATGGTACGGTGTTCTCCATTTTCTTCATGCAACTCATGCTGCACGTGCTGTTCACAAGGACCAGTCCTACAAAATGCACCCCCAAACCTGGTTGAAACATTCACATTACAACGTCAGCAGGATGCCGCGACTCAGGACAGCTCAAAGGAACCAGGCGCTATAGGAAGATTTGAAGCTGGCCACACTGCACAAGCCGTTGCCAATCACTTCCAGGGCAACGTTCGGACCATCTCCAGGCTGCAGCAACGTTTCCGGGCCACCAACACCACAAATGATCGCCCCCGTGCTGGCAGACCAAGAGTGACCACAAGACGACAAGACCGCCATGTTGTGCGACAGCATGTACAGAATCCTTTCATGCAGGCATCCGAAAGAGCACGCCAGACAGTGGGAACACACGGAAGACCAATCAGTACTGATACAGTACGCCGACGTCTTAACAGCGGGAACCTCCATTACCGTAGACCTTACCGTGGACCTATCCTCACCCCTCGTCATCGGCATGAACGTCTACAGTTTGCCCTACAACACCAAAACAGGCGATACAGGCAATGGAGAACTGTTCTGTTCACAGATGAGAGTCGGTACTGCGTATCAACTGCAGATGGCAGAACAAGAATATGGCGACGACGTGGCCAGCGTTACGCAGACCAATGTGTTATGGAAAGAGACTCATGGGGAGGTGCAAGCATCATGGTATGGGGTGGAATAGGCCTGAACCAGAGAGTGGGTCCTGTGGTGTTTCAGAACCTTGGTCCAGGGAGAGGAGGCGGCATCACAACGGTGCACTACATCGACCAAGCTCTCAGACCCCACGTCATACCACATTTCGCACGTCACAGGAACAACATTTTCCAGCATGATAACGCCCGGGCCCATACTGCCAGAGCTACACGGGACTTCCTACAGCAGAACGGTGTCAACATTATGCAGTGGCCAGCCCTTAGTCCTGATTTAAACCCAATTGAACATCTTTGGGATGAAATTCAGAGGAGACTGAATAATGTCTTACCAAGGCCGAACACAGCCGATTTATTGCGCCAGGCCTTTCTCAGAGTGTGGTTCCAGGTGCCAATGGCCTTCATCAATCGATTGGTGCACTCCATGCATAGACGCTGTGCTGCAGTTATTGCCGCTCATGGTGGTCACACTAGATACTGAAGTCAAGGGTCTGAATGGACTGCAAACGTTCGCGTAATGTCTTGAAATTGTGCTGAGTTATTCATTGTGTCAAGATATTGTACACAAAAAATGTTTTTGATCCGCTTATTATGTCCATTTCTGTAATGATTTGATAACAGTGCCTATCTAAATTCGAATTCGTACTGACCTTTTTTTCGCTGCTGAGTATATTTTACATACCAAAATGTTCTCAAATTATATAAAATAAATTTAAAGAAGTCAAGAGACCTTCTATTTTTCAGAGACTGAATCTGAGACTCCAGTTTCTAAACGTGCCAATTATTATGGACAACAAGGGCTGTAAATATTTGTTTTCAGAGTATGTATGAGAGAGTAACGAAGTCCAAGAGGGTATCGATATGGACGTCCCACTACCAGCACAAGCTAACAACATGCACTTTATTAAAAGTAAACGAATCACATCACTGTACTTGTATAATACGATTTAAATGATGACATAACTCATTTGGTGATATTTATTGACGAAACTTATAAAGCTGTACATACTCTTAACATCCGAAATGCCACAACGTTTACCGTTCTTGCTCACGTGTTTGACACGTACCTACTTTGGTTATCTGAATGGTCTGGCAACCTTCATGAATCCACGATCCGCAGGAATGAAACATCTACTTTGAGTGTCCGGTTTCATTGTCATTAACAAACAGTTTCTGCCACTTTAACACTCTGACAAATATCGGTGATGGTTGTGTGTCATCGCAGAGGATTGATTGCAGATTTTGGTCTTCATAAACTTCAACCCTCATGTCAGGAGTAATACATCACGGTTGTTAACACGACACTTCTTGTTTCACCAATATATTTTTGTACTCTTCAACAAACACCTCTTTACCACTGAATGTACGAGCAAACCATATCTTAAGGAAATTAATAAAAACTAAAGGAATCTACATTCTCTGAAAATAGGTGTGGCTGTACAAACCAGAGAGCACGCAGTGTCCGGTATCTTCCAACACACACGTGTCTTCACATGGGTAGGGGCAGTTATCTCCCCTAATCTGTCTCTTGGCGTACAGAGACCACCACATCCTGGCCAAGCGCGTCGATGACGGTAACAAAGGGAAACTCTCCTTCATCGAATCTCATCTTGATGTCTTTTCCTAAGTCCCCATCCGGTAGTTTAAGGTCGTCTCTGACATTACCTTTGTTGTCAGCGATGGATATGAACCCCCCGTCCAGGATATCCACCAGCTGAAACTCCTGACCCGGCAGAGTTTTCATAATATGTTTTAACGGGAGGGTGTCTTCGTAGCTGGTATGAGTGATAACGTCAGAACCAACTAGACGCACCTTGCCTTTCTCGGTCTTGGGAGCTGAACATTCCATAATCTTGCAGGGACGACCTTTCAGGACAACGTGATCGTTCACCTTCACGGAAGAACACTGCTTCATATCCGAAGAACCAAAATCCGCCATACTTTTTTTTTTCTAAACGCTGATGATTCACCCTGCAAAACAAGCCGGCGTCTGGGAGAGAGAATGGCTGTACAAGATCTGCGTCTCGGGTTATACGAGGCAATATGATAACTCGCTGTGACGTTTATATCGTCTTGTCGACAGTGCGTGACAAAGACTAACAGATTCTATCTGTCTGTGGTCAATATCTGACAATTAACCCGCGGGATTTACCCAGTCGTGCAGTCTTAACGGCAGGCTTTTCGCCTTGGCATGATAGCAGGAACAATGACAAAGGTGCAAAACACGTTTCAATGGGTATAATGCCTATTCGCCAGTCAAGTCCGATATAAACATGTCCACACGCTAATATAATTTAGCACTCAACCAATAATATATTATTATGTTTATATTATAATGCATGGTCATAAGAACACAATAATCAGGGCGGACCCAGAGGGGTGCGGGATCCCCACCCGAAAAATATTCCCTGAGGTGACATTTTCCCTTAACCTTTAGAGGTCATGATATATGTATACATACAAGCCCAAAAACCACAATATATGAATAGTTCGACAGATTCTTCAATTCTGACATTTTTCTTGTGCAGATTAAACTTTTATATTTGTACATATTTGGCCATTTAAAATAGAATTCATTTCTATAAAGACGACGTTCTGTTTCAAAGGCTGTACATCTAAATAAATAGTGTATTTCATCTGCAATGGCTGGAGAATCGCACAGAGGACAGGTTCTGTCCTCACGGGATAGGCCACGCCATCTGCCTGTTTCTACTGGAAGATCGTGGTTACTTAAATTGTTCCTAATTTCAAAAGCGGGAGATATAATGATTTTTGAGAAGTAAAAATTGTTCGAAAGACGGGATTTCTTTAATTAGTTTATAATTAATTCCTTTAGAACTATTACTAACGGAACTTCGCCAAAATTGAATGGAATGATCTCTTAAGGTGATTTCTACTTGTGATGAAACCCAGTTGGGAGAATAATTCTATGGATTTCTGAACACATCACTCAGTCGGCATCTATTCAATATATTCTCTACATTTTTAAGCAAAACATTTTCTTTACCTTTTTTTGATTTTATCATACATCAAATAATCGAGGATTGTTTTCGATATCTTACTTTTATTACTGTTCAATGTGTTATGCCAAAACATGATAGTTCTCTTCGCTATTATAATGTTCATTGGTTATCTCCCTAGCTCGCCATATATAAAGACTGACTGACTGACTGAGTTTGGTTTTACGCCGCTTTAAGCAATATTCCAGCAACATCACGGCGGGGGACACCAGAAATGGGCTTCACACATTGTGCCCATGTGGGGATTCGAACCCTGACCTTCGGCGTGACGAGCCAACGCTTTAACCACTAGGCTACCCCACCGCCCCCCCATATATAAAGAAGTTTGCTGTAGAGTACGATGACATGTCTCCATGAAGTTCCAATTGTTTCCATAGAGACCAAAATAGTTATTATGATATAAAAATATCTATCCAAGTATGACTTTTCAAGAGCTAGGGCTTGTAAACGTATAAATATGTAAATATTAACCAATGTGGTAGAATCCTAGCGTTTTCATATTTTACCTAACCCATGAAGATCCGGGTTAGAATTGGTCTTTGGTAACCCATGCTTGTCGTAAGAAGCGACTAACGGGATCGGGTGGTCACAGGCTCGCTGACTTGGTTGACACATTGTCATCGTATCCAAATTGCGTAGATCGGTGCCCACGCCGTTGGTCTCTGGATTTTCTGGTGCAGACTCGATTATTTACACACCGCCGCCATATAGCTGTAATATTGCTGATTGCGGCGTAAAACTAAACTCACTCAATCTTATTTTACCTGTACATACCAGAGAGACAGACAGGGCATATTTTTCATCACCAGAGAACTGGTCTGTATACCCACGGAGATCCGTACTTTGCATATTTTGTCAGACTCGTACCCAGATGTGTCCTTACCTATTAAATTGGATGTCTCGTATTTTCACTCAACATATTTCTTTTGCATACTGATCTTTCTTTGAGTTACCTTCCGCAATTAGTTGATATTCCTTGATTTGAAACTTTTCAAAGCTGCCTTAAATTCAGCTCACTCCCTTGCTCATAAATAGCGTCAGCACATACGGCGAGCGTCAAAATATATTAGCGGTATATATCTAACAGTAACAGTGTTGAGAGTGGCCTCCCTTGGAACTTGACTCGAAACGTGGAAAGTGTAATATTTTAATAGGATTGTTTCCTAATTTGCTTATAATGGCTGGTGCAACAAGACATCTTTATAAGTTTATTGGTAATTAGAGATTAAACAGATACAATTCTCACTGAAGTAGTGACATGCAGTACACGTGTAGCATAATAAAGCACACAACACTGTGTACACATGTTCATGAGGTTACTCAGTACATGAAAAATCCCCGACAAGGTTTGTGCCAGCCGACCTGAAAATGACAAACCAAGCTCCCTACTCAGCTGCTACGTGACCGAATGGGTGTCTTTAAACACTATTTTATGACATGGTATGAATGTATCAATTAGGCAGTATGCACGGTAACATATCAGTTTGGGGAAACCTACCGATCGGCCTATAATAGGCCAAACGGGATATTATAGGCTGTTCTGCCTATTCAGCCTATAATTATGATATTTATCAAATAAATTTGAAGTAGTGCATTTCCGCATGAAGATATTTACATCATTCAAGTTTTGATGTCCTAAGGTTTTTATTCAAACCCTTTTTGAGAATTTTCATCACATAATAAAGGAGTTTGGAAATTGATAATTAAAGATAAGTCTATAATACTGAAAATTAATGACATAGATATTCAGTTTCAGTTTTCAAAAGGAGAATGTATGCAAAATTGTGTTCTTAATGAAACATCTTTTCCTGAACATGCTATAAATTTCCATTTTGACCAGAAACTTATTTTTTTCAAGCTGAGGAGGTCCATTAACAATTCATCTCTATTATCATATAAAACCATTTTGTGCGGAAATTGATAGCTTGTGAAATAATTAGAAAAATGTTCAAATATAGCCCGATCGGCCTATAGCAAAATAGGCAGAACAGCCTATAATATCCTGTTTGGCCTATTATGGGCTGATCGGTAGGTTGCCCCAACCTGATTATAGGTATTGTCTGATACACTGCTTTTGGACGTCAGTGCTTACTCTCAGTAATATGATAGGGGTTGTCAAACATACATTATAAATACTTAGATGATGGCATATGTGCTGGAGAGCATAAATAAGTTACTCACATGTTTTAACCCCTCAACACGAAGATATTTATTGAACAATTGGACCCCTATCAGTATTTTGGGAATACAAATCTAGACTAAACATTTGTGAATGTCACAACTGCTCTAAAGGTGCTAAAGTACTGTCGGAAATGCTAGAAAAATGCTTTTTAGCCTTAATACTTTGATAAAGGTGATAAATGTACTATGTTGTCAATATATCAACTCGCCTATAGTGTACCTAATTTTTATTTCAATCGATTTAACATTCCCATGCATTTAAAGGGCAGTTTACGGGAGAGAATATGGTACCAAAACAACAACTTAAGATTTTTTCAGAGTTCAGCAACAGAAATCTGAAATAGTCTTTACATTTACCGGTATGCTAATAATACAGGTGGTATAAAAATATGAATCAACGTTTTTCTTTAACAAATAAATGTTGAATATTTGTGTTACTTTACTTAATTATCGTTTCTTTATTGAAGAAATATTAATATAAATGTTAAGTCTTGATAAATAAGTTTCCCGTCATGCATGCACATCTTTATCACAGCGTCCATTATGGCCAACTATTTGCAGTCAATTGTTGCAAAGGTTTATAAGTTTATTGTGCTTGAAAAAGACAGAGGTAAACCTTTCATTAGTTTAGAAAGGGTTTATTACAGAACTTGTAGAGCTGTTGGTATGTCTTACCAACAAGTTTACAATATTGTAAACAAATCAGACAAGACAGGGACGGTCTCAAAAGCAAAACCGGGACATAAAACCATCCTTGACAACTTTGACAAGGGAGTACTTAGACGGGCGGTCTACAAACTTTATGAGGAGAAGAATATATATATTCTAAAGAAGCTACACCAGTGACTTCGTTAAATCTTTGGCCAATGTTCACAACTAGAATAAATTGACTGAATTACATCCATATTTTTGCAATGAAATATACTGTTGACATGCAAAACATTTATTAAAACGTTGCACATTTCTACAATCAATTGATAAGATAACACAAGTGATAGGAATCTCTCCAATGTACAGTAATTCGTATGTTTATTTCAAAACAAACACACATACACACATACACAAATGATCCCTTACATAACCAATACGTATACTATACGTACACATATTCAACATTTTGAAGAAAACATCTATTGAGATGACCCCTTCCCCGAGCGTGTGCTCAGGTGTCAATTTCACCTGTCGATACCGTGCATGCTGATGACGTAACACAGGCAGTTAATGTTTGTATCAAATAACGTCCCACTACCCGTTATTTTTCTAAGTTTTTGGTATTTTCATCAGTAAAAACACATTTTAGGGCATGTCTCAAAATTTATTCCCTCGGTCTTCATTAGGTAGATGTTTCTTAAAGTGATATTTGTTATTTATGTAACTGTAATACCTCTGAATTTTAAATATAAGTCAAAAAGCATTTTTCTAGCATTTCCGACAGTACTTTAGTGTGTTTGGTTGCCACAGCATATTGAACCTAATAAGATAACCTCTCTGTCACATCACGATATTGCTAGTGTGGCTTTATACAATAACAAATGGATTGTTTACAAAATATTGTACTATTTTCGTTTTATATTTATATGTCTATGTCCGAAACTCTTTGGTATTGAATTCATGTGCAGCTGTTCATTTATTTTTGTTTTCATTCTGGACATCTAGATATTGGAGCCAACTTGACAGGTAATTCTTAGTTTAGACCATAATTATTTAACATATATATTTATATTCTTAAAACTGGTTCTTGGATTCATGTGAAACCTTCAATAATTTCTTATTATTTATGTTCTTGCCATCTATTAACTGTTTTCATACACCAATAAGTTTGTAAATTAAGTGAAATTCTCTCAGCCTCTTCTCTTGTTTCAAGAATAACTTGTATTCACAATGTATATTATTTAGATCCAGTATTCAGAGGAGTTTACCATGGGTCCAAGAAGCATGAAGGTAAGTAATTTAAAGGACTCTAACATATAACACTGTAATCTCTAAAGCAGCTGATACGATTTGCTCTAAAGAATTATCATCGTTTCAAATTTGTCTTTGAAAGCCTATCCAGTAGCAGATTCATTAACTTATTAAAAGGTGTAAAAGCCACTCACATCCTCACACTGCTTGGTTGCAATTAAAAATTGCTATCTCATTTGGTGCAGATGACTTCAAGGATGTACTGCAGAGGGCCTTCGATGGTGGCTTGCAGAAGGTAACCTTTGTGATGTGATACATATTATCTCCAAAAATATACAAGGGTGTTTTAATATCTCAGTATGCTTGCAGCTACATTTCACTTAATTGTGCAAAAGAATACAACATGAGAGAAAGAAGGGGCTGAGTTTTATGGAGTACAATCCTATTAGATTTTCCTGAATTTCTCTTTTGAATTGATTTCTCTTTTGAGTTGCACGTGAAGAGTAAATGCATCAGACGGCTTGATTCAGTGATGAAGTACACTGTGGACCATCACTAATACTTTATAAGTTTGTATACATTACCTGTGAATATATATCAGTCTATGAAATAAGCCAAAAACCCAGCCAGACATCAGGGCTGGTATCTTCAAAATGTTACCAGTCCAAAATGGATTTAACCAGACCAGACACCAAGATATGGCTCTTGATATAACATCTAAGTTTTTACCAGCCCATCGGGCTGGCTAGCTGTAAAGCTAGACTCTCCGTCTGAAATCTAACCAGTCTTGGTTGGTCGAACGGGCCTTATTTCATTCAGTTTTGACCAATGAAGGACATAGCTTGGTTCAAGGTGATGGTCACTGGCCAATGCTAAGCCACTCATCATTCTAATTACCATTACATCTCACAAACAGAAATATTTCAACATGTGCCAAATACTTATAACAGGCAGTTGTGGGGTTCTCAAAAAGGAATGCATGGATTAGGGCTCATTTGTCCTCCATGAGTAATGAATGGGCTCATTTCAGCAGCTGACTTATAAGTCACAAATGTCAGCACTACATAAAGTTGTATTTAGGTAGGGTTGATGGAGGAACATAGTGTTTACAACCTCTGCTATGTATTGATGAGTGTATCTTGTACTGGTCCAGACTTACTTACACCCCCGTAGCCACAATGTTACTGACTGCAGAGTGAATCAACGTTCTTGCTCTCATTTCCAGATCATGATCACAGGTGGCTCTCTGAAGGATGCAGCTGAAGCCCTAGAGCTGGCCAAGACAAATGGTGTGTGTATTTGGATAATGTGGTAGACCCATGGACTTTAACGGGCCATGTCCTGTAGGTTGAGACAGTTGCAGGCCATGCCCTGTAGGTTGAGACAGTTACAGACCATGTCCTGTAGGTTGAGACAGTTACAGGCCATGTCCTGTAGGTTGAGACAGTTACAGGCCATGTGCTGTAGGTTGAGACAGTTACAGGCCATGCCCTGTAGATTGAGACAGTTACAGACCATGTCCTGTAGGTTGAGACAGTTACAGGCCATGTGTTACAGGCCATGTCCTGTAGGTTGAGACAGTTACAGGCCATGCCCTGTAGGTTGAGACAGTTACAGACCATGTCCTGTAGGTTGAGACAGTTACAGGCCATGTCCTGTAGGTTGAGACAGTTACAGGCCATGTCCTGTAGGTTGTTACAGGCCATGTCCTGAGACAGTTACAGGCCATGCCCTGTAGGTTGAGACAGTTACAGACCATGTCCTGTAGGTTGAGACAGTTACAGGCCATGTCCTGGAGGTTGAGACAGCCATAGGCCATGCCCTGTAGGTTGAGACAGTTACAGACCATGTCCTGTTACAGGCCATATCCAGTTGAGACAGTTACAGGCCATGTCCTGGAGGTTGAGACAGTTACAGGCCATGTCCTGTAGGTTGAGACTACAGGCCATGTCCTGTAGGTTGAGCCACAGTTACAGGCCATGTCCTGTAGGTTGAGCCATGTCCTGTAGGTTGTTACAGGCCATGTCCTGTAACTGCCTCTGTCGGTTGAGACAGTTACAGGCCATGTCCTGTAGGTTGAGACAGTTACAGGCCATGTCCTGTAGGTTGAGACAGTTACAGGCCATGTCCTGTAGGTTGAGACAGTTACAGGCCATGTCCTGTAGGTTGAGACAGTTACAGGCCATGTCCTGTAGGTTGAGACAGTTACAGGCCATGTCCTGTAGGTTGAGACAGTTACAGGCCATGTCCTGTAGGTTGAGACAGTTACAGACCATGTCCTGTAGGTTGAGACAGTTACAGGCCATGTCCTGGAGGTTGAGACAGTTACAGGCCATGTCCTGTAGGTTGAGACAGTTACAGGCCATGTCCTGTAGGTTGAGACAGTTACAGGCCATGTCCTGTAGGTTGAGACAGTTACAGGCCATGTCCTGTAGGTTGAGACATTTACAGGCCATGTCCTGTAGGTTGAGACAGTTACAGGCCATGTCCTGTAGGTTGAGACAGTTACAGGCCATGTCCTTGAGAGACAGAGACAGTTAGGTTGAGACAGTTACAGGCCATGACCTGTAGGTTGAGACAGTTACAGGCCATCACCTGTAGGTTGAGACAGTTACAGGCCATGTCCTGTAGGTTGAGACAGTTACAGGCCATGTCCTGTAGGTTGAGACAGTTACAGGCCATGTCCTGTAGGTTGAGACAGTTACAGGCCATGTGCTGTAAACACTTCTTCCATTTGTATACTGGCTTTGATCCCAAAATAGAGATAATCATGGACTCACAGTCGTGCATGAATTAGCTGTCTGTTTCTTGATTGGTGTGGAGGTGTTGGCTGCACTCTACTAGGTGTTAGTGTAAGATGCTGGTGTTAGTGTAAGATGCTGGTGTTTGTATTGCAGATAACCTGTACAGCACAGTGGGGTGTCATCCAACTAGGTGTAAGGAGTTTGAGAAGAGTGGTGACCCCGACAAGTACCTTGCTGACCTCATGGAGATGATCTCACAGAACAGGAACAAGGTGGTGGCAGTTGGGGAGTGTGGACTAGGTAGGAGACTTATCTAGTGACTATATAACCAACAACTACATCTACAAGGAGATTCATAGTCCTAAGATGACTGAGTCCTATCATGAGTACATTCATACTTGCCCATATGAAATTCATTGTGTGTAATGTAAACATTTCCTTAGAGCACTGGTAGTGGTTTCCAGTTATCATTATTTCTGGATTTGTTGAATGGACATGATTACACTTCTTTTATCAGAATAAGATAATTACAATTCTGAGATATATCTTTGTAGTGAGATAGTTTTCACCTTTTTAAATAAGTGAGAAAAATATCCTGTTCCATAGAAATACCTTAAAACAAAGTTGTGTTTCAGTAATACATATCCATTATAGCTCTGTTTCTCTTTAACAGATTCCCAAGAGTGAGCCATGCTTTCCTGATATGGATTCATGAAGTAACATAATTATGCTTGTCTTGTTTTCAGATTTTGACAGATTACAGTTTTGCCCCAGAGAGACACAGCTCAAGTGAGTAGATGTTATTACTGATATGTACCAGTAACTAAATATGAAAATAATTTCTGAATGTTGTAAACAAAAAGACTATCATGTTCTGAGGGTACAAGCATTTAGAATCTGACCACTATTTTCAGGTATTTTGAGAAGCAGTTTGACATCACTGAAGCAATCCATTTGCCAATGTTTCTGCACTGTCGCAACTCAAGCACAGAATTCCTAGACATCATCAGCAGAAATAGGGACAGGTTCAAAGGGGGAGTGGTAAGGTTGCTCGTCTTGCTGGTACTGGCTCAATGGCCAACATGTCTTACATTAGTTCTGAATTGTGTAGAAATTGTATAAAAGTTTTCAACAAGATTTGAAAAGTTCAGCTGATAATTTATCAAACTTCTTCAGCCATGAAAATCTGTTAATGACACATGAACAACTGTATTAAGTACTTATACTTCTCGGGTCACTACCTTTCTCTGTCAGAGGGACCCGTGAAGGTCTGGGTTAGAATGAACCTTCAGTAACCCATGCTTGTCGTAAGAAGCGACTAACGGGATCGGGTGGTCAGGCTCGCTGACTTGGTTGACACATGTCATCGGTTCCCAATTGCACAGATCGATGCTCATGCTGTTGATCGCTGGATTGTCTGGTCCAGACTCAATTATTTAGAGACTGCCGCCATATAGCAGGAATATTGCTGAGTGAAACTAAACTCACACACTCACTATCAGAGAGATTTATTGTGTTTGACATGTACACGTCTGTCTGTTAGTGTCTTTTCCTGCTTACAGTCAGAAGATATGGCAAAAAATTATTTAGTTGAAACAAGTCATAATTTCTTCTTCTTTGTTGAAACTCACAAGCTTGGTTTGGTACTGACAACCTTGTGTCATAACCAATGGTTTGAACCTGAGATGAGCTGATCCTGGCACAGCAGGGGGAAGTAACCCCTTGTCACAAGGGTTATGCAAAGTAGGACTCACTTGATGTCTGATGTCATCAATGATGTTACTATAAATAGCAATGTGACCGTCTGCTTTTTGGATGACAGACATCTTTCCTACCATTGCAGGTGCACTCCTTCACAGGGACGAAGGAGGAGGTGGCTGCAATGCTGGACCAGGGCCTGTATATAGGAATCAATGGCTGGTGAGGCTTTGCTAGACTAACTGGTAGTCCCAGTAGTTACTTTGTATCCCAGCACCAGAAGTGAACTAGTTTTCTTGTGGAAGATAACAGACTGGATCCTAAGGGAAGACTAGACTTTCTGCATTTAGATATTTTGCTTTGCAAAACCGTTTGGGCAGAAAGGAAAATAATGTGATTGAGGGGACTGTGAGACAGATTATAGGCTATCATCCTTTTGCCATTGAATTCGCCTGAGTTTGTTTGTATATTAAAATTAGATACATGCTATTCATATCTTTTGCCAAAACTAAAAAATCAGTTTTTGAGCATGTTGACAGACATTCAATCATCTGCTTTTATCTACTTGTACTGCAATGATGAAACTAGCATGCACATTAAGGTAAAAAGAAAAGAAAAGAATTTCGAGACATCATTTTTGGCCATGTATGTTACATTTACTGTGGATGAGACCTTAACATATGACAGATGTTTAGTTCTTGCCTAACACACAACTTTTCATCTCAGCTCTTTGAAAACACAAGAAAACATTGAAGCAATGTGTACCGTCCCAACAGAGCGCCTGATGATAGAAACAGGTAAATCATGGATAGAAGCAGTAAATACAGGGATGAGAATGAAGTTTTAAGAAAAACTCTGAAAACTAGCGGAAGCTCCTGATATTTACTCATTTTAGACCTTTAAAACTGGCTCAGAAATGACAATATGAACACAGCAACCATTAAAAAACTTTAAATCTGCTGAAGCACATTCATACAATTGTCAACAGATTTAAATGATTCACAAAAATGACCCTTGGCCTTATGAAATTCCCGGAATTCCACGGATCCGCAGAAAATTCTCATCCCTGTAAATATATGTGCAGTAGCAGCTGAACTCATTAACCTGCAGAAAAATAACCTAGTGCAACCTTAGGTAGAAACCTTGTTGCATCAGATAAAAACAGGTTGCACCTGCTGCTCAATAGAAAATCTTGTATAAAATATGATGCTTGAGTTTTGGTAATGATAGTTTAGAACATTATAACAAAAGAAATCTGGGACTGATAAGATTAGTTACCTTACTTTTTCTTAAAATTTCATGAACAGTAAGTCCTTCAGTCACTGCTCATACAGTCATCAGAGTCACTCTTCCAAGTCAGTTTCTCATCATCCTGTTTTCCAGCTGAAGTCTCAAAAATTGACTTGCATCTGGCGCAAGTTAGACTAATAACTAGGTGGCATTTTGTAATATTGGGTTGCACCAGTGCAAGTAACAAAGCACTAAATAGAGCCCTGTAACCAGAAAGATTTCAACCTAGATAAGTGTAACTATTTCAATTTTTTGTAACAAAAAGTGAGAAATGTGTTCATATTTGTTTTTAACATGGTCTTGTTGTAGAGATATTTATTTTGACACAAATGTCAAATTATATGTCTGTTCTATTTTCAGTTTTATTGTAAAGTAACGTAACGTAGATATTTGTCCTTGTTGTAATGTGAACTAGAATGTTTCGTTGATTTGGGACCTGTGAAAATCCGGGTTAGAATGTTGATCTTCAGTAACCCATGCTTGTCGTAAGAGGCGACTAACGGGATGGGGTGGTCAGACTCGCTGACTTGGTTGACACCTGTCATCGGTTCCCAAATGCGCAGATCGATGCTCATGCTGTTGATGACTGGATTGTCTGGTCCAGACTCGTTTATTTACAGGCCGCCGCCATATGGCTGGAATATTGTTGAGTGCGGCGTAAAACAAAACTCTCTCACTCACTCGTTGATTTAGTGTACATCTGTTGCAAACTTCTAGCAATAATACTTAGGTATAAATGCTAATTCGTTAAATCTGTTAGTTTTTCGTTTCCTTGTACCACAGTGGTTAAATAGATTAGTTGCTCATTAACTCAAAGGTCTGGTTCAGATTCTCAAAGTACAAAGTGTGAAGGTACTGCCTGCTTTGAGTACATGCTTTGAATTTGCTGAACTATTACTAAAATCAGAATAAAAACACAATCACTCCCCTTTTCAAGTATGTTGTATTCATTCCCTTAAATGGATGGACAATAGTACTTAACCAAATACCTCTTCAGATGCCCCTTGGTGTGATGTGAGGCCGACACATGCAGGTTTCAAGAATACGTTAAGACGTCCTTCCCCTCAAGAAGAAAGAGAGGTGGGAGAAGGGATCCTGTATCAAGGGCAGGAATGAACCAGCATGTATAATGTAAGTCACCAAGTCTTTGGATAGTATGTTAACAAGAAGACAAAGTCATCAATATCCCCCACAATGGCAAAATACTCTTTATGAATATGTCTACGAGTTATGATTATGTCAAATGTTTTGGAGTGTATATAGCAAAGTGGAAGGAGAGTGTTGAAAGTTTTTTTAAGATCTGCTCCAGAAAGTACCACTACCACCAAATTCAGTTGAAGCCTAACTTGTTGCCATGGAAATGCAACAAGATGACATCCTCATAGCCACAGCCTAAGTAACGTTTCCACGGAAACCACAAAAAACAAATTTGTATCTGGGTCTAACCATCAAATGGCACATCTATGGATCATGCTTGATATGTGTACCACGTTTGGTTAAGATATCACAAATAGTTTAGTAGGTATGCTTCGAACAAAGTGTGACGGGCACACGGACGGAACTCGTTTCTATATCCCCAGCAACTACGTTGTTGCGGGGGATAAAAAAAGACATGCATAGATAGTTCATATACCTGTGATCCGAGTTATAACTGGTCTTCAATAGCCCATGCTTATCATGGGATCTTGTGGTCAGGCTCATTCACTAGGTTGATGCTAGTCATATTTTCCCAGATGCTGTACTGTCTGTATTGTCACTGTATTGTCTGGTTGAGAAACAATTATGTACAGACTGCGTCATGTAGCTGGAGTATTTCTGAATGTGATGTTAAAACCACAAACAAAACAGAGCTCATTTTGACTTAGTTCATTCCCACAACATGATCTGATTGCTCAACCCTGTCTTGCTGTTGATTCTACTATATGTGCACATTTCTAGTTAACAATAAGGCCAGTTGGTATGTTTTGGTACATTGAGCTGGTTGTGCCTTCCCTATTTGTATCTTGACCATTTGGATGACGCTTCAGTCGATTTACTTCAGACCCAGTTGGGGTGGTGAGGTAGCCTAGTGGTTAAAGCATTCACACATCAGGCAAAAACCTGCAAGGCATTCAACCAGCTCAGTTAAGAAAGATGCATTCTTATTGGTCTACCTGAGGAATATAATCTGTGTTTGGCCACGATCCTGCTGTTTACAGATTTTCTTTATATTCAGAAGCATCTCTTTACCCAAAGTAATGATTCAAATTTTTTACGCTGATAAATAACATGTTGTGGTTCTTACATTATTTGCAGCAAAATATTTCAGGTTGAAAAGTTGACATACATCAATTTCGTCAGTAAACATGAAAAATCTGCCATCTCCATACTCTACAAGTAGAGAGAGTTTATGTTTTTTATGCTTTATTCAGAAACAGCATTGTCAGCCTAAGAATATTTCAGAGGTTGGAAAATAGTGATGTATGAAGTATCGTTTTAAGTACACACTCTAAATATCTGTATTATGAAGTAATCATACATTCTTATTGACTCCTAGACAAGTGCTGGAAGTGATGGCAGGAGCAAGAAATGAGGACATCGGGCAGCTAGCAGAGACCATGTATGAAAACACCCAGAAACTGTTCTTCCCCGATCACAGCTGATCACAGCAGGACTGTTGCAGCCAATCTGTGATATTAACAGGATACTCCCAGCTACACAGACCAGCCCTGTGTGTAGTGACATTTCAGGACTAAGGAATATTTATTGAAAGCTTTAGGAGTGAACTGGGTTTTTTGCCTGAATTGTTGACAAGTCTTTGAGGTTGACTGAAAGGTGTTTCAGTCTTTTTGTCATCCAAGTGGGTAACAAGATGACATATTCCGGTAAAGTTGCTTTGCTGAATTTATGTTGTCGATGTCAACAGTAACTACAAAAGTTGATTTTTCCCCAACAAAAAGTGAAGAAATAGACTGTAATATGGAAAATGTCTTTTATTTTCAACATTTATACAAACACAAAATAAAATATAATTGCATCAAACAACATGTTATGTTATTTTGTATTACAAATTGTTATTTGAACTTAACACATACCTGCCACTTCTCATACTGATAAATGTTTCATTGTAAATGTCTTTGGCACCAATCCGAAAAATAATATTCCACTGGAACAGAGTCTAGAACATGCATGTCATATTACGTTAATTTAAACAGTTCTCACTGTTACACTTTATAATCTAAAGTATGTTATTATACACATACAAATGATGTACTGAATCATGGAATGAATTACAAATGATGAAGTTAAAAGGAAACGTTTCTACATGACAAGGTTTCTCTTTAATGACACAGACAGCCAAATATTTACGTCTACTAAATGAAATAGAAATGTAATTCAATGATTAGTTATGAGACAATTCAGGGGTCCAAATTACTAGAATGTCAGCTCAAGCTTCATGGTATGATCATCTGATACATACTTGTAATACAAATACAAAAAAACCTGCATATTCATGACTAGATACTGCTCAAAGGCTTAGTGCCTAAATAACTTTGTAATTTTGGAAGCACATTATGTTCTTTAATATGCTGCAATCTACATAATTAGCACCATGGTCCCCGACCACAGGGGGTCTTAATTGATCTTGTCGAGGATGGGGTGCTCGTCAACATACAGCAATAATTACAAAGTAATTTTCATACCGGTAATATGTTTGCACTATTTTCCTCAATAGTGGAATATCTTATGTCACATTAAGGGAAGGGTGAACATATTGCTTCTTACATGATTTAATGTCAGGAAATCATACATTACAATTTAGGCATACAGTCAGATTATAGCACTCTGATGTTTTTATCACTGACTACATGTTAACTATTCAATTCAATTCAATTAGAGAACACAAAATGCATCATCATACTTAGATAAAATTTATTTTATTTGTTGTTTAATGCAGCACTCGGCAACATTATGTATGTGCTGAAAATATTTACCTGTCCAAGATGAAAGTCTTATTACAGTTGTCAGGGAAACCATGACTAAAATTTTGTGACCATAGCAAAAAATATATTTACGAAAAGAGATGCTTCTTTCAACGATTACTTTAACTTACCAGGAACAATAAAACAAACTCTCATAACAAATCAGTGATGATTCTACATAAATTATTTTGGACTTCCAAAAGATAAATTAATAACAAAAAAATCTATTTTTCAGGAAATAACATGATCATGTTTCTAAACAGATCATCTTGACATGTTTGAGACAAGTTTCTAATATCAGAAAGATCACTATCACCTGAAACGTGATGGGTAATGAATATCAACTTTCATCAATAGGAATATGAACTTAAAACACATGAGGAACAAGAAACATACACTGAGAAAAGAACATGAACAATTAAATGTAATAAATACATTCTTTTGATGAAGAAATGTTCTCACATTTCTGCTTTTCCAAGCTAATGCTGAAAGATGGAGCTTGCGAACCCAACCACCAGCAACAAGACAAGAGCTGCATCTTCCTCCTCCAATGCTGAGAGTTAATTGGCTGTTACTTGTGTGAAAACATTGCCACACCAGCCCACAAATGAAACTGTATAGTTCTGCACAACAGAAAGGCTCCAAGATGTTGTTTGTTGAATATTTTCAGGAGTAAACTTTCCCCTGCAAGAGACATAAAGCAACAAATGAAAACAAACAGGATACATTGTGACTTGTATAGGTGCTTTACATAACTTTACCTACATGTTTCCAAACGTTATCAAGTTTTAAAGTACAAAGACCTGAGGAATATGCTTCACCAGTTGAATAAATCCAGGAAATCAAACCTTGGCTTTCTGAGTAAGTGAGTGCATTGGGTTTAACCCATCTTTTAACATTATTCCAGTTATATCTGTGTGTGTCAAGTTAATGTGGGAAGAAAGCCATCAGTGATGCAAATCTCAGATGTTCACCACTTTCATGAAACCCCCCATGCACGCTTATAGTGCTGACCAACCTAGAAGCTTGATCAGGCTGGCCAGCATTCTAATATACCATCATAGGTAACCGCCTCCGTGGTGTAGTGGTTACAGCATCCGCCCGGAGAGCGGAAGGTCGCTGGTTCGATCCCCGGTCGCGCCATACCAAAACACATTAAAATATGGAACTTGTTGGTCCCTGCCTGGCACTCGGCATTAATGGGTACAACAAGGACTGGTCGGCTCGGAGTCGGTATAATGTGTCTGAGTGGGGTATTCATGCCTAACTGAGGCATGGTATCTCAGTGAACTAGCACTAAAAAACCAGCTTAAGTCTGGGCTAGTACAAGCAGCCACACATACACACGCATGCACATCATCATATGAAGCGAAATATTCTCAAGTACGACGTTAAACCCCATTTCACCTCACCTCACACCATCAGAGGTTTAAGGAGAACCTGATCAATGGTAACTGTTGTGCTTATACAACTGATGACCATGTCCCTTAGTGACTAATGAATATGTAAACTCTTCGGCTACTCAAAAGCCTTAAGATAAAACACACATTCCAGGTGCTACTTAATGCAGTCATGTTACATCCATGTTTCTTATAGGCAAGTATGGATCACTTACACCAGAACGTTCTGTAACAACCAGGAATACGCAATGCCAGCTATGTGTAAGATGTATTTCCATAACCATAATGAGTTGGTTTTCACAAATCCCCAACACAGCCAAAAGTATCCTCCAAGCTGTGACCAGAAGTCGGGGTTCAGTGAGTGCAGCTGGAAGTAAATAGGATTGTAATGTACATTTGTTATTGTTATTGATCCTGAAGCAAACATCAAGGAAAATGTCTCTGCATAATATAGCATGGCCTGGCAAACCTTTGGTTTGTTCTTTCAACATCAGTCAATACCACAAGGATATGATTACACATTATCACATAGATTATAGCCTCATTGAAGAAAGTTTACTGTAGCATTTAGCTGATCAGAACTCCCGTTCTTTAACACAGGCTTACAGTCATCACTGGTTATAGCAATAGGATCACTTTCTGCAACCATTCTGGCCATCATCAGACTCAGCACTTAAGTTGTCTCATGAAAACATGCCATGCTTACAGAAGTTCAGAGCAAGAATACTGTCTGAACTTCTGAGGGTCAAAAACTAACACTATATCTTGGAACAAACTGATCCCCAAGATCTTTATCCCCACTAATATTTGTCTATCAACATGATGAAGTGGTTCTTGGCGCTGCAATACCTAGTCACATTTTGTGTTTTGCTGTTATCAGTGTTGTTTCCAGTGACAATCATATGTCCTGTTTGTACTACATATATCTAGCTGTCTGATTTCTATGTTAACATTGCTTTATATAACATTTGCATTCATTTCGAAAATGAATTCCCTTGCGTGTAATAAAATACTGTTTTATCTATCCACATCTATCAACAGCTCAATTTCCACAATGAAAGTGAACGATTCCAGAGCTGCCAACCCCTGATTGCCAGTGTGCGAAATAGTTTCCAAATTTGGCTAGCCAGTCAGGCTAGCTATGACTAAACGTTACTAGCCCACAAAATAATTCATTAGCCCAAAATTTGAATGTAGAAACTAAGCAAAAGATTACAAAAAGGTAAATTACCATCAAAAACAAATAAGAAAACACATATCTGAATACATGAAAATTCACTAGCCAGTCGGGAGACTGTGGAGATTTACTGGCCCGACTGGATTTTTACTAGCTACGGGCTAGTGGGCCAGTGGCTATTTCCCACTGCTGACTGCCCAATGAGTGAGAATGACCCAAGCCCAGGTCCAGGGACCATAGGCCCTGATCAGGTCCAGGGTGAAACCCTACCAAAAAAAATATGTTTACCAAAACTTAGGAACAACTCTAAGAAGGTTAAGAGATGACATAGCTTTGCGCTTTTGTGAATCAGTATCATTTTCGCGATCATTTTATTCAAAATGTTTGAATTTAAATATCCACGGGAGAAAATGGGAGCATGGCGTGAGAGCATGAGTTTAGTTGGAAATGCGTGAGAGTTGACAGGTATGTGATTCAACACTCAGCATGACAAAGTATTGCAGACCAAAGTGTGGTGCACAGTCAATAATGCACTGTGCATATGTTACACCACCTACCCATTCAACAGCTTGAACTGTTTTCGCCACCGCATACTGCCTGTAGGGTCTGCTGGAGTCGACCGCCCAGAGAACAAACTCAGACGACTTCCTCCAAGCTTGTGTCACATACGGGCCCACTTTCTCACATACAGTGGCATACATCAGTGGTACGTTCTCCCTCAGCCAGCTGTGAATATGACCAGCGGTCATTATTGTGACGGGAGGAGGGAAATGTTCTTTCATATTAAATCTTAATTGATCATTCCATGCAAACTTTGTGAAGATCTATACTTGTCCAATGAGTTCATTAACAGAGTCTGGTGGTCAGAGATGCTCGATACAAGTCATCCTTACCAAATACTTCCATCGTTTCTGAAGATAATCACTGGACTATTTTATCTAGACAGTCAACTAGCAGGGATATTGCTGAGTGCAGTGTAAAATATCAAACCTACCAAGGCAGGTGAAAACCTCCTACAATAACATGCATACTGCTGTCAAACGCACCAGAATATGGTGTTTTATCATGCAATGAAGACACTGTACTTACCCAATCACTTTGGAGAAGAACATCTGTATCTTCCTCCAGGCCTGCTCCAGGACAGCCAAGATACCATACTTGTTCAGGAACATTACCGTTCGAGAGCCTTCAGAAATACATAGATCTGGTTCACATGATGTGCTTAATACATCCTTCAGCTGCATGGAAACTTTTTCATGGGATATCTTCTTATTACTGATGCTGTCATATCTTGTCATTTAAGGGCCAAGCAAACAAGACCAACATCCACAATAAAAGCATGTAATCCAAACCTATTTTGATTTGATACAAAAACTACCAAAATGACTGACTCAGTAAGGCTTTACTCAACTTTTAGCAATATTCCAGCAATATCATGGCAGGGGATACCAGAAACGGGCTTCACTCATTGTACCCATGTGCAGAATCGAACCAGGGTCTTCAGCGTGACGAGTGGACCTTTAACCAGCAGGCTACCCTACGCCCCCAAAACTGCCAAGATGAATCACAACTTACGTTCGATACTGGGGCTGGTGTATATGTCATATCCCACGATGCCTCCAATGACAAGGACAATGGAGAATATCAGAGAGAACCAGGGAAATGGACTCTGACTTAACTTCAGTAGCAGCTCCTGCAAATCAGAAAAAGCAACAACATTATTCTTGTTCCTATATAACCATGATACGTTTGAATTACTTTAAACTATGTTTCTCAAGCACAGCTTTGAAGTAGTTTCTGACAACTGACCCTGCAGACTACAGCACAATGTTCATGGCCGTCTGGGATGCTGCGGCTCTGGGATGCGATCTCATCATTTGTCACAGAGAAGGACCTCAGCGTCTCTCTCAACATTTTCTTGTCCACCTTCTTGCATAATGTGTCCCAGTTGCTGTTGATGTGCTCCAGTAGGACTCTGAAACCCCCGAGGGAAAAGATCGTAGTTAGGGCGTGTTTATCTTCTTATTCACTTAGTTACCTGATATTTCATGACATGTAGTTCTTAATTTACAAAATACCATTACCAATCAATATACAACACTTTTCACAACACAATGTCTCATACAAACATTTTGTACTGCTAGAAAATATGAACATGTTGAGTCTTCTCGGATTATATAAAACAAGTGTTTGCCACTGATATGGCAATGTCCCCCACTGCTAAAGAATGGAATATCTATATTTACTACTTTTTATTTTTTGGTCACATACAAGATGCCTGAAATGACTGGTGTCTGCCTAATCTCCCAATGTAGGCTGTCAACATAATTGAAAACATTGGGTGCAATGTTTTATGAGATATCACGTTTAAATAAGTTTGAAAAGCGGTCAAAGTGTCGTGGTGACCTTGAAGATAAGGCCAAGGTCACCCAAAAAACTGGTGTGTGCGTAATCCTCCAATGTAGGCTGTCACCAAATTTGAAGACATTGGGTACAACAGTCCATGAGATATCGCGTTAACAAGAGTTAAAAGTGTGCAAAGTGTCATAGTGACCTTGAAAATAAGGTCAAGGTCACCCAAATAAACTGGTGTCTGCGTAATCCCCCAATGTAGGCTGTCACCAAATTTGAAGACATTGGGTACAACAGTTCATGAGATATCGCGTTAAAAAGAGTTTGAAAAGTGTTCAAAGTGTTGTGGTGACCTTGAAAATAAGGTCAAGGTGACCAAAATCTACTGGTGTCTGGGTAATCCCCTAATGTAGGCTGTCACCAAATTTGAAGACATTGGGTACAACAGTTCATGAGATATCGCGTTAACAAGAATCGGGACGATACGTTTACGGAAGCCGCTGAATACAGTCCCCCGTTCCGCGTTGTGGCAGGGGACAACAACCATATGAAACAAATTCATGTAAGGGACCTACCCTGACTGTGGCAGATGTTTTGTGTACATCTGACACCATGTTGAAAAGGACAGCTTATCTGTCAGCAGACATGTCACCAAGTTAGACAGCAGCTGGAGAGTGAAAAACAATATTTGAAGATTTCTTTCATTTCAATATATAACATGACTATGTTTTTCAAAGACATTGCTCACAATCTGTTTCCCCCTTAACTTAAGTTTCACAATTTAAAAGTGAGTGAGTGAGTGAGATTTTCACCACTTTTAGCAATATTAAAGCAATATCACAGCAGGGACGCCTAGTCAGAATTCATACTCTATGAGCCACAGTGTTGAAAACAAGTACACAGTGCTTGGGATCTATTCCACCCACAAATCACAAAATGCTCTGACATGGACTCTGTTACATGTCCAAGGTTAAATCTGCGAACATGATGATGTCATGGTGATGTCGATAGGCTTACCTCATGTTTCAACTGTGGGACACATGACGGAGACGCCCTTGAGAGAAATGAGGGGAAGAAGTTCCTCAAAGACTTGGCTGGGTTTTCTCCAAATGCTATGGTCTACAACAGTAACACAAGTTGTAGGCAGGTCATGGTACAGCATTTAAACCACCCACAGGAAGTGTGATGGAGACAGTTCAGTGTGAGCTCTGATTAATACACTGTCAAACCAGTAGACTGACTGACTGAGTTTGGTTTTACACCGCTTTTAGCAATATTCCAGCAACATCACGGCGGGGGACACCAGAAATGGGCTTCACACATTGTACCCATGTGGGGATTCGAACCCAGGTCTTCAGCGTGACGAGCCAACGCTTTAACCACTAGGCTACCCCACCGCCCCTCAAACCAGAAGAAATACTGGAATGAGATATGACTATCAAAAGAATTTAATGAGTGATGGAGAGTTCATTAATGAGGATTAACATCAGTTTTCAGCGATACAATATATAACTTCCCTTCATATATGACAAGGTCCTACTGAACAGGCAGAAGTTGTCAGAACATCAGTGTTATTTCTCAGATTTAGTAAATACTCTACATATCAAAAGAATGAAAACTTCCTTTGCTTAAACATTCATCAGTGGCCTTGAGTTCGGTTAGAGTTAATAGTACGCCAAAATAATGTTACAAAAGGCATAGGAAGGTGTCCCTTAAACCGTATCCCCCTCACCTTCACTTTAGGGTATTGTGCCTGCAGCCTCTTCCTCAGATCTCCTTGTATGTTGGTGCCAGGGTTGAACAATATGTCAAGGACCTGGAAGTAGTCTCTCAGGGTCATGGAGCCAAATGCTGGGCGCACTTCTTTATGCCAGCTGGTAAGAAGGAAATTAGCTCATGACAAGTAGTACTCATAATGACAGAATGATTGTGTTATTACTATCTGCTTTTTACCATTTCTCAACGCTTTTTGGTAAGTTGATGCCATGAGGTGAGGTGAGGTGACATTGGGTTTAACGTTGTGCTTGAGAATATTTCGCTCATATGACGACGTGCATGCTTGTGTATGTGTATGTGCGGCTGCTTGTACTAGCCCAGACAGAAGCTGGTTTTATAGTGCTAGCCCACTGACATACCATGCCGCAGTGAAGCATGAATACCCCACTCAGACACATTATACTGACTCCGAGCCGACCAGTCCTTGTTGTACCCATTAATGCCGAGCGCCAGACAGGGACCAACAAGTACCATATTTTAACGTCTTTTGGTATGACGCGGTCGGGGATCGAACCTGCGACCTTCCGCTCTCCGGGCGGACGCTCTAACCACTACACCACGGAGGCAGTCGTTGATGCCATGAAATATCCGTGTTTCACTGTGGAAACAATATGATATGATGTTCATGACATCATGCTCATGCCTCCAGTGCAGATTATCTGTAGGTTATCTGATATGTGTTTCTCACTTTTCTTCTCTAAAATGTCCGCTGTTGCTCATGAGTGCTTGATTGAAGTCCCTGACCATAGATTTACACCATTTATTCACCAGGACAGATAATCAATATATGTTTGTCATGTATTCACTACACAGAAATGGGAAAATGCAATCAACAAAGGTATCCCTGATACCTTTCAGCTGCATGATTATGAGTTTCAACCTGTGAGCATTACTGATGATAGTCTCTTGTATAGAATGTCTCTCACCTGAACAAGTTCTCCAGGTATTCCACACAGTAAGGAGCAATGGAACGGTATCCCAGGGCTGGCATCATCAGATCCAACCACACTACAATAACAGGGCATTTTAGAAGATTAACCAGGGTGTTCAAACAGACATTCTGTATATGTTAATATGATTTTTCAGGTCATGAATAAATATCTGATAGTGATTGCATCTAGGATTTGACATTTTCCAACAATGGCTGAAAAATATTACAATAATTTATGACTGTACACATCAACAAATTGGAACTAGTGTGTTTAGCTCAGAACATGAAACAGATTGTAAAAGTAGCTGCACAAAATACAGAATACCTAAAGTGTATAGATGAAATAAGCATCTACCTTAACATGCCTAAAGGTATACAGACTGCAGAAAATGCAAATCTGATGTTTAACAGTGTATCATACAGAATAGTTACCCACCTCTGAGACCACATCTGAGTCTCTTTACACCAGCCTGGCCTAGAGCCCACAGGATACTCAGACATCGCACAGGTCTGTTGTGGTGGGTCTTGAGCAGATCCAGGTACTGAAGTCACCATGGTTACATAGGTCATATAGGTATCAAAGAGCATGGTAAATGTATACACTGACAGTTGCATTGTTTTTCTTAAGATTTCATTGCAATATCATATCGATACGAAAGACCACATATTAACTCGCCTGTGGGAACTTGGAGAGAGGGATATCTGGTTTGTGGAAGGCCAGGGACTGGAGGAACAACCTGTAGCCATAGGTAGCCAAGCCTGGAACAAACACAGTGTCATTACCATCATCACACTATTCAAAGCAACATCTGCTTTGTTATCAAGTCAAGATTGGTCCCTTGATACACAAAATTCCCAAGACCCAAGATAATACATTAAATTTGTATGTAAGTGTTTGAGTTGTGACCAAGAAAAACTTGTTTTCCTTTTCCTCCCATCATGCACACAAGCTGACTGATGTACATGGTTCAAATGATCTGACAAAACTCACTACTATCCTTACTACAATAAATAATTGAATCTAGTGATCACGAATATTTATTTGAATTCATGAATGGATACAATTGGATTTACTGAATATGGGAGTAAATCGTTACAGTCCTACCAGCTACCACAAACATTCTCCCATATGATACATGACTAACATGAAAGACTGCTACATGAAGGTTAACATACTAAACTTTATTAACATCCAACATCTACATCTAAGCAGCAGTACTCACCTTTCTGAGCCTCACTCAGCATAGTTTGTACACAGTGGTAGAAGAGATGCTCCAGTGTTTGTTCTGAACATTTCTTCATGGAGGAGATCAAAACTTCTTGGCAGCTCTTGCTCAACTTACACAAGGGGAAATCTAGGTATGATGAAATAGGAATAACTGTCATTATGTAACACAAGATGCTCTGTGTATTAAATATTACACATATCTGATAGGCCAAATGGGTCAATTTTGTTTGCATTCACTTACCTATGATAATCCCTGAGGTCACAATCTCAGGATTGGTTACAAATGAAACTGACCATTGTCCAGACATGCTAAGACTTTTAAGAGTAGCCCTTGAACATTCTTGACAAAAAGGAGTGAGTGAGTGAGTTTGGTTTTAGCAATATTCGAGCAATATCACGGCGGGGGCCACCAGAAATGGGCTTCACACATTGTACCCATTTGGGGAATCGAATTTGGGTCTTCGGCTAACGAGCGGACGCTTTAACCACTAGGCTATCCCCACTGCCCCTTGACAAAAAGGCATTTTTATGGTAAATAAACAATTTGTTTCACATTTAAACATTGACATTCATTTGATTTCTTCATATTGCATTAAGAAGTTGGTATGATGAAGAGAAACAAGTTTTATGGACTGACAACTTCATTACTGCAATAGATGTGACAATTTGGAGTAGATGCGACGTCATCACAGCGATGTGAACGTGTTAACAACAAAGCTCCACTGAACTCAGTAGGAAGATGACTGTCTGAAGTGATATGGGAATAACATTGCTTTGAACAGCACAGTGCATAAGGTCTCTAACTGCCCTACCTGGTTATGATGCCACCCTCGATATAATGCCACATTTTCTCCTGGACAAATGGTGGCATTATAACCAGGGTAGACTGTATTTCGGTTATATCACTGGTTAATGAGGCAGGAAACTCCAGTCACAAAGCCCACATATCATTAGATGTTAACCACTTTGGTGAATTCCATGAGAACTTGTATGCCATTGATACACCAGAGATTGTAATCAGGACTTCAGGAACTCGCAACAAATGACCAGCAGAGCTTTGAGAACAAGGGACACAACTCTGCAGAGAAAATAGTGCTGCCGCAGACCATTTGGTCATACACGCTCCCTCTTATTGGAGATAACAAAAATGTTGAATACCTTTCGGTTTATCCTTGAAGACAGCATCATTTTCATGTACTCTTTCTAGTTTGAGATTCAAGAATGATGCCAGATCTTTCAGCCATACATCAGGATTCTCTGGAAAGCTTTCATGTGACTGATTAAATATCAGTTGCAAGTCAGCCTTATCAATCTGCAATGAAAAAGTTTGATCATGAAGACATGAGATCTTCATATATAAATTTAAGGGCATGTCACTGCCATAAACATTCTTGATGTTAACAGGTAAGTTGAGCGGAGAACTGTCTGAACATTGATTGTTTACCTTAGGAGAGATGAAATATCACATACATCATGTCCACCTCATATACATACTTTATTTCATCAGCTTCTATAACTTCAACACACATTCATTTACCTTCACAAGGCATTGTAGACTTAATATTATTTGCACCCATTCCTATGCTTTGTTTGTGCATAAAGAATGCAATATTTTGTATCCAGTAAAACCTGGTGGATGTTAAAGTGGAAGCAATTATGCTTGAGTTGTTATTTTAACAAAAAGAAATCAATGGTTCTTAACATATAAATGACAATTAAAGATATTGCTTTGAGAAGTTCCACACTAGAATTCTGTACCTTAGCAATTGCCTCATCGAGTGATTTAGGCTTGCTTTCCTTCTTTTCTGTCTCTACTTTCTTCTTCTTTGGCTGTGTGACCTTCTTGGAGACACCATTGGTCTTTACATTGTTTCCACGATCATCAGCTTTTTTCTCCTTAGCAATGAATGCATCAAACATTGAATGAGACTCTTTCACTGGATCTGAAAATGGAAAAATAACTAATCTAATCCAGCAAATAAGGTTAGGTGAAATGAAGTTTAATGTTGTGTTCATGGTTATTACACATACAGAAATGTGCATGTATGTGTGGCTGCTTGTTGTACTTGTCACAACAGTTTATTTTATTGTGTTAGTGTCAAAACGGCCAATGGTTGAAGAAATGTTCTGCATTAACCGGTACCATTTTCGTGAAACCAACATGCTGAATATCATAGGACCATAATCATGTTGAATCTGGGATTTGAACTGGCAATCAAACAGTCATAAAAATAATGTTCATAATTATCTCTGTCATTCTGGTTGTACGCACATGATATAACCATAATAGTGGTAAAATATATTTAAAAACAATGATCATGCTGATAATTCCTGTTATTCATTATGTTCGCTATAATCATTATGCAATGAATGTTTATCACAAATAACACAATTCCAATGATTTGCTTCATTTTCAAAAAACCGAATCAATAATGAATTTCCAATATCATATTTAAAAGTAATTTCTAGCTGACCACAAGAAACATGTATTTTCTGAATCTGAGACACATCAATCCTTGAATCATGGCATATTGCACAACACAAGTTCATTTCAAACACCGATAGGACTGGAATTCAATAAACGATTTAGATCTTTGTAGCGCCTATTTATCACCTGTGTACTATAGTGACAGGAACTGATGCACGGTTGGGAAAAATCAAATTAAGTTTAACATATTTTCAACAGCTTTGAAAAACGTGTCTGCCTGTGCAGTTGACAGTCACAGGTGATGACGTTGATCAAATAAATGTAGGGTTCAGCATGTGTCAAGCATCAAGTTTGAACTAAGGAAAATTATTACCGTTATCTTCGATCCTTGGCATGTTTTCAACAAACTGCTTAATTTGTGTTTTAGTCATAGGCCTAGAAGGTGCCTTGTCCTTCTTAGCCTTGCCAACAACTTCCCATTGACCGGTGGCCGACATCTTGCAATGTGAGACTCTTGCGTGTGTTGAAGATTTAAAAGTCTATCAAAGTCGTATTTCCGCTTCCGTAATGTCACGTGGTAGGTATTACGCCACCAGCGTTGATTGGCAAAGCAGCGTAACAAGCGTAAATTTGGATTCAGGCCACGGGGCATGTGGATTGTATCTTTATGGTCGTTGTCAGTAAGGGTCATAATTCAGTTGGCAGTTATATTCGTCATTTAAGCCTTTCAGGCCTTTGTAGACGATGTAATTAGAAAATATGTCTGATGTGTAAGCCTATCGACAGGTGGCAAAGTTTGTCGCTCTGACTTATGATTAACTAAAAAATGTTAAGTAAGTCGTCCGAACTGTCAAAACATGATAGTTCCAATTTTCATTTACGTTTAAGTGACTTACAACGTCATATTACACGAATGAAGCATTTATAATCAATTCGAATTGCTTGAATTATGTCAATTTCCTAGTAAAATCGGGAAAGCAATGTGAGCAGCCGACGTTCCACTTCTTGAAGTAACAAACATCCAAGAGGGTGGGGGGTGTCCAACCATCCCCACCCCCTTTGAAAATGACTAAAGACCACATTGAAGTTAGATCTAATGTTTTTCTTTGGCGGAGCCGTGGGGTGGGGGAAGGTGTGTGTGTCGAGACCCCCCACCCCTTTTAAACTTCCTGGGTCCGCCTATGTGATATATCTAGTATCGTTATTATCCCCCGCAGCGATTTGAGACAAGGATATAGGGGTATGTCAGTCCGTCCGTCACGCGTCGTTTCCGGCGCATAATAACCGTAATATTTATTTGGATCATAGGATTCGAACGTCAGTACGTTTTCGGAGGGCAGTGCTCACTTGGACTGTAACACGAGGGGTTGGGTCGCACAGGCAAAATTAGTGACATGTTTTACAATGTTCATGCGATACTTGAGTGAGTGAGTGAGTTTAGTTTTACGCCGCTTTTAGCAATATTCCAGCAATATCACGGCGGGGAACACCAGAAATTGGGTTCACACATGTACCCATGTGGGGTATCGAACCCGGGTCTTCGACGTGACGAGCGATCGCTTTAACCACTAGCTTACCTCATCGCCCCTGGTTATTGAGACAGCAATCTTTTGATGATTTGATTACGTAATTTACGCAGGAGCACTTTATCAGCACCTGTTTATTGAAATGGAACACACTGCCTCAATGTCGATTGAATTTAGCAGGGTATGAAACTCAAAAAACATTCAGCCAGACAACAGGGCTGGTTAAATGTAAAACTTGCCAGCCCTGACCAAAACTTCCCTGCCCACAAAAATACTACTTACTTAGTATAATTAAATTAAAACTTGTAAAATATTGAAAAACATAATACCAATGCAAGAAAAGAATTAACTGTTTATTTCAGATTTGTGTTTAATGCTTGAATTCATGTTATTACTTCATATACATGTCTAAATTTTAACACGACAGTAGGGCAGTACGTGTTGAAACTATGCCGTCCCGGGCGGTCGGGCAGGTAGGTATTTCGGTGTCCTCCCATTACGCAGACAGCCAGTTCGCAGACACCTTAAAACAACAACATTTACGGTTCAGTGAACAGATTATCTACTACCTGTTACCTACACATTATAATGGAATAGTCCAAATAAAAACACAGGAACAAACTGAAGCTATATTATTTATTTTGAAAGATGGACGAAAAGACAGTAATTTGAATTTTTATTGCTGCAATATAAAAACAATTTATATTCATAAACATTTCGGTTTAACCTTCTAGTCTAACGGGAGTCAGCATCATCATATTGAAAACACAAGCTTAGCTATTAGAAATTGCGACACTGTTGTATCATATAAATCAAATAAAGACAAATGTGAACCTAAATATTCATATGGAATAAAGAAGTTATATGTTTTGCACACAATATTATGATATATGACGAGTGCACTTAATTACGATTTATTTAGAATAAATATTCAAAATATGACGCATCATGTGATGTGGCCATGGATGTGAGAATGTTTTTCATTACTTCCTTCAACGTCCATTGTATGATATTCAAAGACATAAACTGTTACAATCTTTAGAAAGTATTGTTAAAATCAGAACACTGATTAGTATTAATCTGATCTTACATGGCAATGCAGGTGTCTCATTTACTGCAAATCAGAAATGTTTTCAAATATGTACATATCTATATCTCTCCAACAAAACGTTTTCTCAGTTAACTTCTGTTGCACATATGCTATTATTGGGAGGGGGGCTTTTCTATCAATAAACTCAAACAAACCTCTCAGTGACAAACCTGTTTTTATATTCGATAGTAATTGATAGTAAAATCAATTTTGAGAAGAGAAATCATTTATCATTTAATCACAACAAAGTTCTATTTACCCACAATCAAACTTGGCAGTAACGAACCTGTTTCAGGCTCACCCTGCTCTACTCACTAGACAGTGGACTGTTCCATTATACCCGTAGGTGTTACCCTAATTAACCTTCTAGTTCAGTGTCTGTCAATTGGGTGTCTGTCAAATGGGTGTCTGTCAATCGGGAGATAACCGGTATTTCGAACGCTGATTTAGTGTGGTGAGTGACATTATCAGCGAAACCTTCTGAAACATTTGGGTCCATCAAAGCAGAGACCATATCTATTATATGGTCTCTGATCAAAGTATATGAATGGAATTATCATACAGAAGTTCCAGACACGTTCGATATTGGACAAATGAAGTATGAAAAAAGGATCAGTTATGTTGAAATAAGAAATAAGATTATAATGGCCAAAATACACGTTTATGTAAGGTAGCGTTATTCTCACAAATGAGTATCAGGTTAGCCACAAGTATAATCCCCAATATCACATATAGCATAGCTATTTACTTGCATATAGTATAGATCGCGGTATTAACTACACACAAGACACATAATAATGATTTCAGATCAGTCATGGACCAGATACAGAATTTTCCGTTTCCATAAAGTACTCTCTATCTCTCTCTGATTATATAATTTGATTGAATATGACGATTTCTCCCCACACAAATGGAATGTAGAGGACAGCCCGTCTGCCCTAAGATCGGAATGTTGGAAGTTCATCTGGTGGTCGCTTCCTACCGACATTAGGTGGTTACAATTACCAGTCAAAAGTTAAGTGTAATTGTCGAAATTAAGCGGCATAGTATCTTTACATTACGTTTCAGACTAACATATAGTCTATAGTCTATGGTGCCTCTTCTCCAATAAACAATGCGCATGTGGTAAATAGAGTTGACAGGACTTCAAAGTAAGATATATATCGAAGAAGGTTTGGGAATCGTAGTTATATTGTATGTTTCTGTACAATACTGTACTTGACCAATAAGGTCGGATGGTCTTGTCTGATGTCGTCTAATATACATGTATACACTATTTCCGTACAACTTTGATTAACTGATAAAAAGTTTCTAAATTCTTTGAGTGGCATTTTTAGAAGTTGGAGAGTCAGATAAGGACAGACTTTATGGACAAACAACTTCTTTATTGAGATAATGCGAAGTTCCGATACAAATTCTTAGAAAGTTTCTAAATAAAAAGTATTCCTTATAATTATTTGCATAGTTTAGCAATATTTCGTTTTTTCCGTACACAGTCCGAAATTTTATAACACCTATCTGTGTTCAGGTATTGAACAGGATATGTGGTCAAACAGTCTTGTTTCTGACATTCAGGACGTCAGAAAGTACTTTTCTTTGTGATGTATTCACTGACCTGAAAAGTGTAACTCCCGAGAAATTCCGGCGTTTATGTAGTTTGATAAGTGTTGTGAATGAAAGGACGAAGCAACCATTTAAGCTGTCAGTGTCAGTGAAGCAGGCAACATTCGCATCACGGTAAGGCTGTTAATTGATTTATCAGGACATGTAGAAACTTATATGTATTACTACCAACGTATTCTGTTATAGTTTGTAATTTCAGTTAAATACAACGGACTACGCTCGTCCTTCGATTTGTTTTGACGCGGTATTGTAAAAAGTTGGATCGAAATTCAACCGAAATATGTAGTACCTGCGAGTTAATTCTGACGTGAAGTGGATACTTTTCGTATAGTTATTCAGCCATAAGACTGACAATATGTCTTTAATGATATAAACTGATGATTAAATAATGATGTGCCGCCCACTATTTTTAGTACTAGTTGTAGAACTAGTATTCAGGTGGGCGTTGTGATTTTGCATGGGGCAATGAAGTATAAACCCTGATTGCACGGTTTACCCCGGTTTGAATGCAGTCATTCCAATGAATTAGCCATCCCCTTTCCCACAATTGACTAATTTTACACACGAAGAGTCTCAGTTATTAGGTGATGAAACTACCGATCTAGGTCAGGTGGTTCAAGGTATATAATGCACAGCTGTAGTCACAATTTAGTCCATGATAACGCTGGATAAAAACTTCTACTCCCGCTATAGTTCAAGGTGTGCATTCAAGTTGACGGTAGGTATACATGTAATTTACTTCACATGTACTGCTATACAGCATAATGCTCACATGAAGAAATCTATCTTGCAGTTGCACTACTTGAACTTATAGTAACACCTTACCTCTAACTGAACTTCGAATCCCGAATCTGACCGACTACACATATACCATGCAACTAAAACTGGTTCCCATGACGATAGCTGCCATTTGATAGACCGATATGCGATGTATGTATTCTTTTAGCATGTAGAGAGAGCACACGTAGCACATATTTGGAAGGCGCGGAAATACAGGGGTTGTGACGAAGGTCTGGTAATATATATTGTGTGCTCTAATCTTATCAGTGACTGTTTTCCAGGGTTGGATGTCCGAGCGTGGTTGAATCGTTACATTACGTTTAGGGAAGACAAAGGGAATTTAAGGAAAGTGCTAATTATTTGCATAAACAACCATTAGCGTGCCTCAGCAATTTGTTCTTTATGCTATAATATAACATACGGTCACTCATTAGGTCAGTGGGGTGGGTATCATATAAGTTCAAGCGTTCGGTCGTCACGCCGAAGACCCCGGGTTCGATTCCCCCATGGTTACAATGTGTGAAGCCCATTTCTGGTGTCCCCTGTGTGCTATTTCTGGAATATTACTAAATGCGGTGTAAAACTCAACTCGCTCACTCATCCATCTCTGTGTGGTTACCTTATAGTCAGTTTCACACCTGGTAAAGTTGTGAATGACATTCCAAGATTTCAAGGTATCGTTACATACGCCCGAGAATTGTATAATATGTATTAACCCTCTGTTGGAACAGATGCAACTATGGGTCTGGATTGATTGGTACAGCGGTGACGCAGTCCACAGATGCAACCTCAGTGTCTCCTGACACTATGCAGTCACGTGTATGCTAGACATACACGTGCAGCACGGATCTTATGCAACACGTTCCGGAACTCGACACAAGCTGCTTCGAAACATTTGAAAGAGGACGCTAAGGGAAGCAACATGGACACTACAATAATGGCACACAGTGACCCGTCAACGTATATATTTGAACTAGGCGGACCTCTACTTCTGACCGCTCCTCACGGGATTGCCTTGTGGAGAGGTGGATGGGTCGGTTTTAAGAAAGAGAAACATCTAGATGAAGTCTTGGTATCGGAAATCGTTCTGAAGCTGGCAAAGCGTATGTCGACGGTGTTCGGCGTCCCGGCCAGCTTTATGGTCTGGAATGTTCCACGTACAAGACCATACGATGAAAGGAACTTAGATCCAAACTTCTTACCCAAAGAACTATTTGGTTTATCCCCGTGGCATCAAGCTTTGGAGTCATTTCGGTCTTACGGATGTGACGTCAAACTACCAATCCTCCATGTTGATATTCACGGAAAACGGGACCGAAAAAGCGACTTGGCCTTAGATGTGGGTATGGGCGGTATGAAAGCGTACTGGAAGGATAAGGAAATGGTAACCAAATTAAGAAAAGGTTTTGAAGAAAGTTTCACAAATATGCTTGGACCCGTAGGAATTGTGAAAAACGGCATGCCCTTTACGGTAGACATGGACCCAGAGATGTCCGGATTTAGGCTAGACCGATCTGTGTTCACTCTGTCAACCCAGTCTGCCATGTTGGGCATACCATCAGTGCAATTAGAGATTCCCAAGACCATGAGACAAAAACTTAATGAGGACGACGATTTTCTGTTGAAATTTGCTGATTGTATCATGCATGTATTTGAGCAAGGGATTTGTCAAGGGGCACTGCCTTCTCGTGATTGGTACAGTAGTCACTGTCGGACACCTGCCACTGATATAGACAGGGTACTGATGGAGCTGAAGCAACATCAACAATAAAAACGTCAACTGCGGGTTTGAATTTTATCATTAATATTTCCAATACAGGGTTAAAGCTTTCGGACTACCAGATTTTATTCGGGTCTGATTGAAGTACATTTGTCACTTAAGGGCAGACCATTTCATATTCTGTTAACCGGTTCTGTAAAATGTTTGGCTTATGCGAAAATAAGTAAGCAAATATTTAAGCCAAATGCAGCAATATATGACTAACACGAAAGGCCGGACAACTTCGAATGATATATAGTTCAAAATCTATCTATATATATCAATTAGGTTTTATTATATTTATTTTATTTATGCATGCTGAGATTCTGTAACGATGGGGTTCTTTTAACGTCATAGAGGTGATTTATATGTGTATTTGTTTATTTCTATCAGGCATTCATTTGTTGACATGAGTGTTATTTCATTGCATTCATTTGCGCCTTGATTAACCTCATCTAGATTTGACACGAAAACTAATTACTGATTTTTATCAACGATCTTTTATACATATCAATACCATTTTGATCAGTTGAATATTGAATTGTACATTTGCATAATGTGTGAGGATGGAAGTAACCGTTTGTGTTGTTTCGTCTTAGTCCTTATTTCACCGTCTACACGTTAAATTGGCATTAATTGAACATGTCCGTGGAAGCAGACATTCTCAGGTGATATTTTTGTGTATGTAAATATTTCACTCAAAGAGTTATGTTTCATACGGGGACGGTCGCACTGTGCACGGTGTGTGGTTTCGAATTCAGATTCATTCCAAACTTACGATTAGTCTAGCAGTGCCTTTTCAAAGTGAAGTGAAGTATTTTTATATTTATATCAAGAAAGCTATCCGTTTCCCTAGTGTATTTCGAATAATAAAAGAATTGTGATTGTTGTTAAAATGTTTCTTGGTTCGTTATGTGTATTCTTATAGTTATTTCTTTACACGATTATTATATAGCTTAAATATTGCTGAAGGGGTCGTTGTCGGCACAGGTACTACAGATACGTACCCCAGGTACGTTTCTGAATACAGATATGTACCCTAAACAAAGTCAAAATACAGAAATGTACCCGGTACCCTAAAAGGCGGACGAGTCCATATTCCGCAATCCAAAACCGAAACCGCATGTAGTTGTTCCCGTTCAACTGATTGCGAGTGGTATTCATATGCATCGCGAAATACCCGTTACTGTGTATTCTCATTACTTACATAACGCAATCAAATGTATCTAATACAACAGTATGACAGTTCCGATGAAGAATACGACACAATGGGAGTGGAATCGTCCTAGAGTACGTTTCTGTATTCTCATTATGGCCAAGGTACGTTTCTGTATACAGAAACGTACCTGGGCGTGCGCGGATCCAGGGGGTGGGGGGTAGGGGTGCGCGGACCCCCCCGTGTTCCAAATGTACTACATGTTTTATGCCCAGGGTTCCGAGGATTGGGGCCCACACACACACACACACACACACACACACACACACACACACGAACGAAAATCCTGTATCCGCCCCTGCCTGGGGTACATATCTGTAGTACCCGTGCCGACAACGACCCCTTCAGCTTAAATATTGTTGATTGTTACGTTGAACCAACCATACAACAAACTATAAAAAGGATGTGATAGGCCAGTCTGTTATGTTTGACTTGGCTGAGGCGTGGAGGGTTGTTCATGTTATTAGCTGGACGGCATGGTCCCGTCCCAGTTATTGGTCTTCAGCAACGCATACTTGTCGTAAGAGGCGACTAACGACATCAGGTGGTCAGGCTCGCAGACTTGGTTGACGCATCTCATCGAATTCCAGTTGCGTAGCTAGATGCTCATGCTGTTGATCACTGGATCGTCTGGTCCAGACTCAATTATTTACAGACCGCCGCCATAAAGCTGGAATATTGCTGAGTGCGGCGTAAAACTAAACTCACTCACTGTTATTTACAGGTCACCTGGATTATTGCTGTACACTGCAGAACACGTTGCCAGATCACGTGCTAAATTATACACGATGATATAATTTATGTACAAAGTACTCATAAACTACACAAAATACGGGTCCCAGCACAACCTTCACAAGTTTTCTGTAACCAGATGCCACGCAATGAACTTTAATGAATGCATGTTGATGACATTCCTTAACACCTGTGGCAGTATTACGTTCAGGTATCGTGTGATTACTTTGCGAATCGTCCTGCTTGCATAAGTTGTGATTTTGAGTGGAACATTGTGTAATGGTTTTGTAACTCACTGCATAGTCTGGAAACATCAAAACGAAGTTAGAGGGGTCTTTTCATTGTTCACAATTCGTGAACATGTGTATTGGTATGTTGCGGTTACACAACTGATTATTGCTACCATATACCACCTGTTGACGGCCATCAGCGGTATTTGCTTATCTCAATGCCTCTAATCAGAGGAAAATGCACAAATTCATTTGCTTTAAGTGACAGTAAAGCCGACAGGTTGTCTGTTGAATAAAGGCATGTGCAAACAAGTTCACCATCTGAAATTACCTGATTCTCCACATAAGTACAATGTCTAAAGCCTATTTCTTATGTATCCTTTATTGTTTTGTATATTTGCTAACGGCGGTGTAAAGCCATACTGTATCACCCTCAGAATAACGTGTTTTGAACCCTCACAGACCCAAGGGAATAAATAATTTACTGAAGTCGACAATGATTTGGCAAGTTAATTAAAGACATTTAGGACTGTTTTAAGGATTGTTTTGGGCACCATTTGTATTTTTGTTATTCTGTAGATTTGTATTTAAGAAATACACTTCGCTCTACCACCATGTATAGTGTAATAAAACACACTTTTGCCCTGAACTATTATAGTTAAAGCACGAGGACGCTTGCGTCCGAGTGCTTTTAACGTTATAATAGTTCAGGGCGAAAGTGTGTTTTTTTATTACACTATACATGGTGGTAGGGCGAAGTGTATTTCTTTTCTAAGATGCCAAATTTAATACTTTCTAAAGATAATTACGATTAATTTAGGTAGAAAACAAACGACGGTGTCGGTGACCTAAATTAAGAATCCTCGTACAGGGCTAACTGGCGCGTTCTATTGATGTGTCTGCCCCCTACGTTAAGACGAACGTTACCAGAAAAAAACAAATGATAACAGTTTGATGACGGTTTACGTTCGGATTAAATATCTTCTCTGAATTATTTTAATTACATCTGTCATTAACGTAAACCATATGGGGCAATATGAACGTTGCATTTCTACTACCAGCGTAAGTTTAGATCCGTACATCCAGAGGAAGTTGAGTAGTCAAGCGACATTCCACAATTGCATTGTGGGAATGTAAACATTACGAACGTTACCGTGTCACTGAAAACTTGTGAGTCGAAATGACACATTTTAACCGTCGTAAAACATAAATGTAATGTTTCCACCAGTGATGTTAGCTGCGTGAAGCAACAGCCTACCAAGAAACTGGATGCAACGGTGTAGTTTACTGTAGGAGGCCGTACGAGGCGATGACAACTGACATGCATCGTGACGTCGCTTACATTGTGACGTAATGTAAAATGGTTCGATTACGAGGGGGCACACTAGAATGGCGCATTGACGGGATAACGTCATTCAATTGTTACGTCATCAAAAAAACTATACCTTTATTGTCTGATAATGTATTTTTTTTTCGATTGTTCTAACCGCTAGGCATCTTAGAATTTCAAATAAAGTAACTATTCCTGGGACCAAATGTCGGTCTATGAAGTACTATCATCGTAGCCCTCAGCTCGCTTTGTGGAACAGGGCCAGTAGTTCGCAGAACTATTTCTATACTGACATCCCAACCATCTGTATGCCATTTGTGTTGAAATATTAATTAACAACGGTAATGATCCACCTTAATCCCTCACAATCACTTGCTTCTGGCTTGGCCTCGGGGCCATGGTGTCATCTCAACAAAAACGTCATTGTTGTTTTTCTTTGTCTTGGATTCGGCGTGTAACTGATGACAGAACATTAAAACCCATCAGAAGATCGTGATGTAGTATATGACATAACTATCTTGGATAATGAGGTTTACAAAAGATAGACTCCATACATGGTTGTATGAAGCACGCAAGCGGGATCACAAATTAGACCCACCACTGCGCTACATCACCCCAGTGTCAGTGAATGTTGACGTTGACCATTTAACATTACCATATACTTCCTGAATGTCACCCTGAATCGCTCGACCCTGAAGTGTTTATATTCGCTTACGGGCGATACCTTTATAACGAGTGTCTCCCATAGCGCGGTGGTTGGCCTTACGCCGCTTTTAGCAATATTCCAGCTATATCATAACGAAATGGGCTTAAACATTGTGCCCATGTGGGGAATCGAACCCGGGTCTTCGGCGTGACGAGCCAACGCTTTAACCACTAGGCTAACCCACCGCCGTTATATATACCAAGAGTATAGAGTGTACATACAGTTATATACATATAGAGTGTATACACAGTTATCCAACCACCGTATATTCCAATACGTCATCAAAACGCTTGAATGTTTTCTACACCTATTATGAAACGAAACTTAAAAGTAACAAACCATTAAAGGAGTTATACGTATGAACTGATGGAAGTGCTAAGTCCGCTCATTGCTATTTGGGTTTCACATTCAGCGAGGACGAGCATTGACCCTATTTTCCACTGTAGTGTTACTAAATTTATTAATTTTCGCAGTTATCAACTTATCAAAGTTCAGTGTCCTTATCTGATAAACCTTCGGTCAGCGTCTGACCATGTACGGACCCGTTCCGAATGACTCGTGATGCATCCTGACTCTGCCTGTCATCTTCAGCATGTGTGTATACATCGAAATAATTCAAAACGAGTCCATCCAGATTTCATAATGCCAGTACTGACTATGTACAGATTTCAGGCTTTTGAAGATGTCTCCGCCGACTTATACACTGATATAATATTATATTAACCCATGCTTGTCGTAAGAAGCGACTAACGGGATCCGACTTGGTTGACGGATGACAGAGAATCCCAGTTGCGTACATCGATGCTCATGATGTTAGTCAGTGGATTGTCTGGTCCAGACTCGACTATTTACAGACCGCCGTAATGTAGCTGGAATATTGCTGAGTGCAGCGTAAACAACAGGTAAAACAAAACAAAGCTCACTTTGACGTAGTTCAGAACATTATATATGATTGCTGGCGATCCTACATGTATAAACAAAATTCAACAACACAATATTGTACACAATAAAGTTCATACATGTATCTGTATGAGTAGTCATACTAATGTGCCTGAGTCGGATGTGATGTGCAAATTCGTGACCCCACCTACACGTACCCTGTGTGCGAACCTATATACCCGACCAAGTTCATAGGTTCATCCATGGACCAGTGTATTGCATAATACGAAACAGTGTAGGTGCCAGCACAGCAGTGTAACTGTATACACTGTAAGAGCTTACCATACTCAAAACTGGGGAAGTATACATGTTGTAATAACATTTAACCGTTTACGATGTACTCCTAACAGTACTGATGCCCGTATGCACGAACTAGAGTCAGCCGATAAACATGCATGTGTTACACCACTCAGTGCGGTTATTTTGTACTGCAGTACAGACTCTCATTTAACGCGACTTGGAGTCTCTCTCTCTCTCTCTCTCTCTCTCTCTCTCTCTCTCTCTCTCTCTCTCTCTCTCTCTCTCTCTCTCTCTCTCTCTCTCTCTCTCTCTCTCTCTCTCTCTCTCTCTCTCTCTCTCTCTCTCTCTCTCTCTCTCTCTTAATAGCGACGGGACAGAATTTGAAGGTCTCGTCTAACACATTAAAGGTAGTAATATGTAAGGGACATAACCGTGTTGTTTTCGAGAGCCCTTTGAACGGAAGTAAACAAGGGAACTAAGCCAATATGGCGGGTGTAGGGGGAGTGCCCCAAGACACTAAACTTTCTGGTGACCCGTCATCAATTAATTCATCAACAGAAAAAAGTAACAGCGACGATGTCAGTTCACAGGAGGACCAAATTCTTCCACCAAGTAATAAAACCGAGTCTGCAGAGATCCAACGTAAAGACAGCGAATCTTCTTACCCGGAAGAAACTCGCCTTAGCGGATGGCTGGCCAAAGTTGGTGCACTGGGCTTCGTGAAAACTAGCAGACTGTTTTGGTTTGTTTTTGGCGATGACACGTGCAAACTGTACTATTATCGCAACCCCCAAGACTTGCTGCCGCTGGGAGAGATTGACATTTCGAATGCATACTTTACATTTGACCCAAATGTCACAGATAAGCCCGGTTTATTTGAAATCAGGTACGGAGTCTCAACAACCATATCTTTTAAGTTAATTATGTTGAACTATTTCTCTATAGTTCTATGAAAAATGAACAAATATTCATTTGAGACATATTTCATGACTAGTACACTTTATGACATATAGCATATACATGTAGTTGTTAAATTATATATATTTTTTAAGAGATCTGATCTAAGAATGTAAATATTTCCTTGATGTACCTGTCAAGTCATGTGAGGATGATTCTCTCACACTGATAAAATAGGGGGAGCTGCATTTAGGCTGTGGTACACAGTTTCATGTGAAAGTAATTTGTGAATGTAGTATTACACAAAGTATGTTGGTTGTAATGAAAGTTATTTTAAAGGACAGTATATGTTGATGGTACTGTAGCATTTTTGGTAAACAGTAGCTGATAACCCCTGAACTTACTCAGCTCTGCTGATGGAATAGTTTTTCACATTTTAGCTAGGTTATTTTCAATGAAAATTGAACATTTCATGGTGCATGTATATCTGAATATGTGTATTCATCTAAACATATGATTGATAAAAAAAAAAAATTGGACTGCATGAGATGATATGACAGTCTAGAGGTACATGGTTGGCACCAGGAAATACTAGGTAGGAGAGAGGTTTGCTTCCAATGACGTAGACATATAGATGTATATATATTGTAATCTAATCTTTGATTAAAAACTGCCTTCTAATAAAGCTGGCAATTGGTATTTTGTAACTCATCAGTCAGGAAAACACACATATTTTCTAATTTATTTTGCCTCGAGTGGGTTGAATTTGATTTTGCTTCAGTATTATTTGCCTTTAATAGAAATCTTGATTAAACATCAATATTGCCTCAGCATGAGTTCCACGGTCTGATCGTCAGTCGACATCTAATTAGTGATAACATTGTTATGTGGGTAAATATCATCAACTACATTCAACATATTTTTGTTTACAGAAAAAATAGTGTTTTGTTGTCCAATTAAAACAAAACTTACCAAATCAGTCAATTTGCTGGAGTTTGTGCTGATTTAATGAAAATACACTAATGTTTATTTGCTTGCTCTGAATGACATGTAGCTGTACATTATATTTTTCTCATCGTCATCCAACATGTCCATCATAGCAAGAATCATAATCATGCATGCTCTAATGATTTCTACTTGCATGTGGGGTGGTGGGGTAGTCTAGTGGTTAAAGCGTTTGCTCGTCACGCCAAAGACCCGGGTTCGAATCCCCACATGGGTACAATGAGTGAAGCCCATTTCTGGTGTCCCCTGCCGTGATATAGCTGGAATATTGCTAACAGTGGCATAAAACCAAACTCAGTCAGTCAGTCTACTTGCATGTAAGGCAGGGTAGGTCCAGTCTAAGGTGCCAAAATTCTCTGTACATGTGAATTTATGGAGGAAATGATGGGTTCATAACATGTTAAGGTTCTTTTGGTAATTATGTACTGAAAGATTGGTATGCTTCAGAAGAATTGAGTAAGCTGACAGCTAACATGATGTTTGAATGCTGTGATTCACCTTTGTGACGACTGTCAGTTTACATGGTTTACTCAACAGAAGCAACTCTCAGCTGATGTGTTTCTTTTTCATTGACTAGTTTATTGCATCCAAGTGTGTCCAACTGAATACTATGAAAAATAACCCCAAAATTGATTTGTTAGTATATGATAGGAATAAGGGGACACTGTGCTTGTTAAAAAGGTGAGGTGAGGTGAAATTGGGTTTTTCGTCGAGGTGAATTGTTTCGTCGTGCTTGAGAATATTTTGCTCATATGACGACGTGCATGCGTGTGTATGTGTATGTGCGGCTGCTTGTACTAGCCCAGACTTAAGCTGGTTTTATAGTGCTAGCACACTGAAATACCATGCTGCAGTGAAGCATGAATACCCCACTCAGACACATTATACTGACTCCGAGCCGACCAGTCCTTGTTGTACCCATTAATGCCGAGCGCCAGGCAGGGACCAACAAGTACCATATTTTGACGTCTTTTGGTATGACGCGATTGGGGATCGAACCTGCGACCTTCCGCTCTCTGGGTGGATGCTCTAACGACTACACCATGGAGGCAGTTGCCACAGAAAAGATCCATAGCTTATACTAATAATCAACAAAGGATATCTAAGTATATTGAAGTACATTGCCACCTTATAAACTGGAATGGTTTGGGAATGTTGAAATGTTATATTTATTCATGAACTTTCAAATGGGAAAGCCAGAAAAGAATTGGGATCTGTCAATGGCAGGATTGATGGCATCACATGAACATGTATGAGCTGAGTAGAGTCAATTCATCTTTTAATTCTTCTTAACTGTAGACTATGCAGAAAATGGAAAAAAACAGGTGACCTGTTCAATAGCGAAGACTATCAGCAGGAAGTGACAGCAGTTACCATCAGTAACAGTTGATTATTTGGTATAAAGATGAATGCATGTGAGTGAATGTTCCTGCGACTTGCTTTGACAACAGCATGCTTATCTCTGCTGCAAATTGTGACGTTTGTTGTAAAGATATTTTAGAAATTAAAATATTTTGTTGAAAGAGTAAAGATATTTGAGAAATTAAAATATTTTGTTGAAAGAGTAAAGATATTTTAGAAATTAAAATATTTTGTTGAAAGAGGAATTGATTTGTGGCAGAATATTAGTAATGGTAAAGATATTGGAAAATTACGAAATATAATACTGGAATTAGTTATTTAGAAGTTGCAAACTCCCATAATTTGCTGAAGATGGGCGAAGTTCAGCAAGCTATTTTCAGACACTTAAAACTCTCTTCACCCATACATAAATCTGTAAGTGTGCTTCATATAAGGTGTTTTTGATTGCATTATATTCTTGGTTAACTTGACTAAACACAGGTGGCTAAAGAATATGACAATGTTGTCAGGGTTTTTGGGTAAGTTTTAAGTTAATTTTCCAACATGTCTAATGTCCAATAAAAACTGATTGAAAGTTCTTGCACATGAAGAGTTTAAATAATTATTATCACCATAATATCTTTAACTTGATCAGAAATGACAGAACATGAACCATGCTGAAAAGAGTGAGTGAGAGTTTTACACTGCTTTTAGCAATATTCCAGCAATATCATGGTGGTTGAACACCAGAAATGGGCTCATATAAAACGTTATAGCACTAGCTTCCCCATTTTTGTAGTTTTACTGTTTGTTATGTAGTTAGATGAGTATGTAAACAGCTAGGTGTTTATTCCACGTGTTTGTGTTCAGGTCTGAAGGTAAGATCCACTACCTGGATGCTCAGGAGCGGCACATGATGTTGTACTGGCTGCAGGAACTGCAGAGGAAGAGACGAGAGTACAGCCAGAAGCGAACCACCGTATCATCAGAGCGGGTTCAGTGGACAGTCAAGGTACAGTAAACTTGTGTTGTAACCAACTGAAAGGGTTATATTATGCACATTTGTTATGCCCATTTTAACTAATATATATAGTAAGTGGTTTGGACCCCCCAAATCACATTGTTATATCTATCACTTCGCCATGAACATGTTTGTTTTAAACATATGTATTCGCTGTATTTCAATAACCATGGCAATGAATATTGGTCGGGTAACCAATTACATGTAAATTTAAAATAGCACTTACTGGATGTTATTTACATGTAATAGGTCTTTTTTTATCAAGTTTTGTAGCTCTGTTGACATTGTATCAGGGCTCGATTTAAGAGATGTTAACCTACTTGCACCAGGTGCAACCTAAGATAAAGACCTAGTTGCACCAGCCATATTCCAGTAGCAACGTAGTGTGTTAAAATGTTTCGGTGCACATAAACCTTAATCAGTGATGTAGTGCCCATGAAACCATAGCAACACTGAGACACAGCTGATCCCTGTTTACAAGAGCTGTCATAGCCGAGAAGTGTTTATGAATAGCAATGTTTCATTGCCATAGCTATTCAAAGTTTAGAAGAAAAATGGGCTGGCATATTTATGCATATGTTAGATTTGTTGTTGTTTTATTTAGAAGATAAATAGTTTGGTTTGTTCAATTTCCGGGTTTCATTGGAATTCAACATAGGCAAAATTTAGTTTAAAACCGACGGCGTTAGCCGGAGGTTTTAAACGCTTAAATTTGCCTATGTTGAATTCCAATGAATCCCGAAATTGAACAAACCAAACTATTTATCGATATTGTAAACCAATTTGTAGTGAGAAGCCTTTTTCCAAGGAGTTCTTTGAATGTAGCGATCATGTGTAATGCAATGCGGTTAGCCTCTCGTGGTCAAGTTAAGCTGTAAGCCCCAGATCGAGAAGCGACAAAGAAGGGTTACGCTATTATCTAATGGGGGAGATAGGTTACGTCATGTTCGAAATGAATAACTGTCAATATAATACACAAAACAAAATGTATTCAGTCATTTTTAAAATTAAACTTGATGAGTAACATTACAATCTCAATTAATGCAATACCACTGGAATTGCAATGACAATGAAAGAATTCGATTTATGCTACCTTCTCCACCTCATGTAATCTTACGTAGACTGGTCCAATCAAGAATGACCACAAGGATTAGATCGTGTAAAGTTAGGCCTACTGTCGATTAACGAAGCTGACATTTATGGTAGAATTGTGTATACCCTGAAACATTCCCATCATGGATACAATTGAAGAACTTTGCAAGTGTGAAAAGGGCCAAGATGATGAAACAGTGGCAACGGCACGAGAATCGACGCGTTGGCGATCAGACCCCTGCAAAATGGCCGAGTACGACCTCTTCTGTACACTGCTGGATTCGGTGCAGTATGATTTTAAACTTTCAACTCGATTCCGGCATGAGATAGCAGAATGACGGCTGTTGCGTGAAGGCAATGATTTGTGTATGTGTGTGGCAACTTGGCATTCTTGGAGATGTTTTCATCATTTGTCATGGTTATTAGGCCATCAATTTCAGGTATGTCGAACAATATTCAACAAGGGTAATTAACCAATCAGGTTGCGGAAAGCACTCACTATTGGTTTACAATTTTCAACAATTCACTTGCAACTTGTGCAAGATAGACTCATAGCTAGGTTGTATTTTGTAATATTGGGTTGCACCAGTGCAAGTAACAAAGCACTAAATCGAGCCCTGTGTATGTATGGATAAAATGATGTTCCAGTGATTTATTTCTTTGGCTTCTTTCTGAAACGCACATCTTATAATATTTCAGTCTCATAATACTGAGCCATTTCTGTGTGTTCCATAATAGGTGTATTTTAGTGTATAGAGCTCTCTACTCTTTGTTTAAAGCAAGCGAAAGGACTTCCAATCTTTAGATGCTTAAATGAATATGCTGTGAAAAGGGTTGGCATTGTGTACATTAGTTTTGGGAATTGGTTGAAATCTCACAATTGATGATTGCTTCATTACCAACGAACAATCATCGAAAAAAATTGGTTAGCGTCATTTTTCAGATTTTCCTATCCAGGTTGTTATTGCAGAAAAGTATAACATGATGCAACTTGCTACTTTAAAGTGATGACTAATATATCATGAACATAAACTTCCTGGAGTCTTAAAGAAATATTCAGTCATGACTTTTTAGTAAGTGAAGTGAGTTTTCTAAGAATTAAACATGTTTTCAGGCCCTGACGACTTCTAAGATATGTTCCATTGTCAAGTGTTTCAAAGAGTAAAACAGTAGTTCCAAAATGTGATCGATTGCTTCGATAATCTTCGATTATTTCAATTAATCGGAACACCACTAGTGTACATAATCATGATCTTTTCTCTGCTTGTATATCTGCTATGTTAATGTCTTCTGTTAATTTGTTCTTTTGAGATTATTATTTCTTACACTCCCTGTGTCATGGACAATGTTGACCAAAATGGTGGCTCACATTAACATGTGATGGAATTTAAGGGTGTTCCTGTGCTCTGAGGTCTGTAATAATTGAATCTAGGGCCCCCTAAACATTTTAGTTTTTATGTGAGCCTTTAACTTTCATGCCTAATTTTGAACTCTGTCAATCATCTAGAATTTCCATTTTTTGTAAAATTTTAAGTTTTTGTAGAATTTCCACCTTTTGTAGAATATTTACTTTTTGTAGAATTTTCACCTTTTGTGGAATTTCCACTTTTTGTAGACTTTCCACTTTTTGTGAGAATTTCCACTTTATGTATTTGATAGCATCTTGACACATGTATATGTATTGAAAAAAATCTGGTAATTTACTGGCTATATTAGTTACTTTTACACTGCCAGTAAACAAAGTGGCAGAAGGTTTGAAAAACTGAAATATGAAACCTTTGTTTCCCAGAAGAGACTTCAGATCAGTGGCCTGCTTGGTGATGATGCTGGAGACGAGGATGGGGGTGGCAGAGTCACCATCGAGGCTCCCATGGACAACATCCAAGTAGAGCAGAGTTTCACTGGGAACAAAATACCTCAATGGAATCTGAAGAGGGACATCCGTAATGCAATGATTAATTTCAGGTCCAACTTAAAAATCTCAGGACAGGGAACCAAAGGTCTATAATTGATTATTCTTAAGACTGATTGTTTTCTTGTTAGAGTTGCTCTTAGCAGTGTCCCACTATATCCCAGAGGTGTGTAAATAAGACTGAGCAAATCAAAACAGTGTTTGATACCATCTGTGAAATAGCCACTGGCCTGCTAGCCCGTGGTTATTAAAAATCAAGTCGGCCCAGTAAATCTCAACAGTCACTGACCAGACTAAGTAGTGAATTTTATGGAGTTGTTTTGTAAATACATCACTCTCTCCGACTTGCTTAGTTATAATACACTTTTAAATCATGCACGATTATGGCCTGATTAATGTTCATCATATTAGTGGGGCGGTGGGGTAGCCTAGTGGTTAAAGCATTGGCTCGTCACGCCGAAGACCCGGGTTCGAATCCCCACATGGGTACAATGAATGAAGCCCATTTCTGGTGTCCCCCGCCGTGATGTTGCTGGAATATTGCTAAAGCGGCGTAAAACCAAACTCAGGCAGTCAGTCAGTCATCATATTAGCAGCTTCATGGTGAAACCGGGGCGGTGGGGTAGCCTAGTGGTTAAAGAGTTCGCTCGTCACGCCAAAGACCTGTGTTCGATTCCCCACATGGGCACAATATGTGAAGCCTTCCAGTGTATGAAATAAGGCCCGTCCAACCGCCCGAGACGGGCTAGATTTCTGACGGACCGTCTAAATTTACAGTTGGCCATCCCGATGGTCTGGTAACAAATTTCGTAAATTTGAGTAAATTCACCATATCTTGGTGTTTGGTCTGGTTAAATCTATTTTGGGCTGGTAACAATTTGAATTTAATAGCCCTGATGTCTGGCTGGGTTTTGGCTTATTTCGTACACTGGTGAAGCCCATTTTGGGTGTCCCCTGCTGTGATATTGCTGGAACATTTGCTAACAGCGGCGTAAAACCCAACTAACTCACTCATGAAAGCCGTGTCTACATTCAAATTTTGGGCTAGTGAATTATTTTGTGGGCTAGTAACTTTCAGGCATAGCTAGCCCAACTGGCTAGTAAAATTTGAAAACTATTTGGCACACTCACTAGTTTGATAATATGAGCAACTAACCACGCTCTTTCTCTTGGCGGTCAGAGTGGGTGACCTGGTTGATTGGTGATTTGTTGATCCTGACTTGGATCTTCATTCACAATATTGCTGGACTGTCCTGATCCTGTTTGATTATTTGCAGGCCCCTGTCATATAGCTGTCATGTATATATGACTGAGAGCAGTGTAAAGCAACAATAAAAAATTGTCCATTGTGTATGCAATAATTTCAGGGGTCTTCTAGAATTGGGCATTAGAGCACTTTTCTAGTTGGTATCAGTTGTACAAATATGTAGTTTTGGATTGAAATTATAATCAGTTGAGAGTTTCTTGCCATGTCATCAGATTTTTTGTTAAACAGCAACTTTGTTGCTTTTAAATCAAATAGTAAATTAGTGCTTTGATAAACCAATAAAGATAAACAAACCAGCTTGTGCCATCCTACAGTCATTACATAGGTGAATTGTTTCACAAAATATGTAATGTTGTAGATAAACTTACTGTTGTTTCCAAAAACATGTTTGTTATAGTAATCAGTGTGAATCAATATTGGTTATTGGTATTGTAATTTGGAATTGTAGGTGTAACCTTTTAAAATACAACACCAGTATGAGATTTCTGTACTCAATACTACCTGTTTTCATGTTTGAGTCTTTTAAGCCATAATCCAAGGTTAAAGTCCCAAAGATAGTTAGTGGCATTATGCTGTGATAAATAGATTTGTGTAAACAAATCTTCTTGTGCCCTCTTACTGCCAATATATAAATGAATGAATGTAATGTATTGTTATAATAATTACAGTTAGTCAATATTGGTAATTGGTATTTTGAATAGTAGATGTAGCAACAGTTTTGTGGAACAGAACATGAATGAGGAACAGAGGGTGAATGCACATACTACTTATGTTTTCTAGCTTGAGTTTGCAATTTTGCTATCGGAGCTTGAACTATTAATTGTAATATGCAGGGAAAGAAATCTTTCAACATTTCCCACTAGGCCACAGTACCAGTGAATGGACAATAATTAGTGGTCCTGTCTGTACTTCACTGGTCCAAAATAACGTTCGTAGATTTACTTAACTATCAATACAAAATTCAGCTGCCACCAGGACAACTGCAAACTTATCATTTAGTGGTCCTGATGTATTTTTACTAGCCAGGGACCACAGGACCAGCGAAATTTTGCACACTGAATATGTTATTATCTGTAAACGTTTGTTGAATACCTGGCATATGTTATTACAACACCAACATAGTTTGAAATTGGCTGTGAGCTGTTGAAATTGTAACAATGTAACACAATGTTCCAGAAACTGAAGGCCCACCATCCACAGATCAGGGATCATCACGAGAAGGCTGGACCTTAGTGGAGAGTGAGGTCCCTCCCACTGAAACTCTCTTGTCCCCCAACAGCACAGCGGCCCCCTCCAAATCTTGCCCAGACCTCCAGTCTCCCACCTCCCCAGTCTCCAAGTCGAACCCCCAGGGGAAGTTCATGTCCACCTTCAAGAAGCTGGCATCCAAGAGAAGCAACACTGTGACAGAAGGGGTTTATAAGGATCAACGGAATAAGGTTGTCTTCCCTACCTGTGTTCGCTGTAAACATGTAAGTTCACATCTTAAACATGTTACACTCAGTGTTCACGATAGGAAAAAACGCTTTGTGTTCCTAAAATGCATAGCCCCTTGAATCTCGTGCGTGCATGCCCAAGCCACAGAAGCCTCTATGGGGTCCGTTAATGTGAACAATGTCACTGGTTATTCATGTCTGTGAAACATTCCAGTTTACTGTTTGAGTTAGATGAATATGCATATATATCTGCGAGGTTAGGTGGCCCATCCTAGGGTACCACAGTCTGCTGGATTGTGTCCCTTTGGTGGGGGATGAGTGAGTGAGTAAGCTTTTACACAGCTTTTAGCAATATTCCAGCAATATCACTGGGGGCACCAGAAATGGGTTTCACACATGTGGGCAATCCAACCAGAGGTTTCAGTGTGACAAGTGAATGCTTCATCCACCAGGCATCGAGGTTTTTCGGCAAGATACTTGTAGCAGAAGATGCGTGAGATCTGCATCACTTCTACCTTTCTTTCATATTAAACTGAAACCCATGAAAACCCGGGTTAGAATTAGCGTTCAGTAACCCGTGCTTGTCGTAAGGGGCGACTAATGGGATCGGGTGGTCAGACTCTCAGACTTGGTTGACATGTCATCGTATCCCGATTGCGTAGAGGGGTGGTGGGGTTAGCCTAGTGGTTAAAGCGTTCGCTCGTCATGCAGAAGACCTGGGTCGATTCCCCACATGGGTACAATGTGTGAAACCCATTTCTGGTGTCCCCCACTGCGATATTGCTGGAATATTGCTAAAAGTGGTGTAAAACCAAACTCACTCACTCACCCAATTGCGTAGATCGATGCTCATGCTGTTGATCACTGGATTGGGTGTTCCATCCTCGATTATTTACAGACCGCCGCAATATAGCTGGAATATTGTCAACTGTGATGTAAAACTGAACTCACACACACACTCACATTTTAAACTGACACCTCTGATTTAACTGCAGTTCCCTTCAGAGCAGCACCAGACTTGACTCAGTCACCCATTCATGTTTGGGAATGATGGAGACAGTCAAGATACTCCATAGGTGTAGAGATATTTACTTTCATCAATCTTGGACTTGAAGTTTGAAACACAACACAGGTGCCAAAAAGACCCCAAATGTGCACGTATTGAGACATAATAAAATATTGTACATAAATCCAGGCAACAGCTTATGGAAGTATTTAACACTCAAAACGTGAAAAGTCTGTTCTAAAACTGAGGCTCTGGTAACACACTCTCACTGATTGTTCAGGTAAACAAACCCTGAAAACACAACCTCAATTACTGTTCAGGTAACAAGGAATTTATAACACTGTTTTTCCAGATAAATGAGGACCTGATAACGGCCCGTGACGACCTGCAGGCAACAGAGGAGGAGCTCCAGGCCCACAGGGAGATTGTTAAACTCCTGCAGAAGCAGGTGGATGTACAGAGGACAGAGATCAACACCATGTAGGTGTACTGGGGGAATAGATACACCATGTTGGTGTACTGGAGGAATATATACACCATGTTGGTGTACTGGAGGAATAGATGCACCATGTAGGTGTACTGGAGGAATAGATACACCATGTTGGTGTACTGGAGGAATAGATACACCATGTTGGTGTACTGGTTGAATAGATACACCATGTTTGTGTACTGGAGGAATAGATACACCATGTTGGTGTACTGGGGGAATATATACACAATGTTGGTGTACTGGAGGAATAGATACACCATGTTGGTGTACTGGTTGAATAGATACACCATGTTGGTGTACTGGTTGAATAGATACACCATGTTGGTGTACTGGTTGAATAGATACACCATGTTGGTGTACTAGAGGAATAGATACACCATGTTGGTGTACTGGTTGAATAGATACACCATGTTGGTGTACTGGAGGAATAGATACACCATGTTGGTGTACTGGTTGAATAGATACACCATGTTGGTGTACTGGAGGAATAGATACACCATGTTGGTGTACTGGTTGAATAGATACACCATGTTGGTGTGCTGGAGGAATAGATACACCATGTTGGTGTACTGGGGGAATAGATACACCATGTTGGTGTACTGGAGGAATAGATACACGATGTTGGTGTACTGGGGGAATAGATACACCATGTTGGTGTACTGGAGGAATAGATACACCATGTTGGTGTGCTGGGGGAATAGATACACCATGTTGGTGTGCTGGAGGAATAGATACACCATGTTGGTGTGCTGGGGGAATAGATACACCATGTTGGTGTGCTGGGGGAATAGATACACCATGTTGATGTACTGGAGGAATAGATACACCATGTAGGTGCACTGGGGAATAGATACACCATGTTGGTGTACTGGGGGAATAGATACACCATGTTGGTGTGCTGGAGGAATAGATACACCATGTTGGTTTGCTGGGGAATAGATACACCATGTTGGTGTACTGGGGAATAGATACACCATGTTGGTGTACTGGAGGAATAGATACACCATGTTGGTGTACTGGGGGAATAGATACACCATGTTGGTGTACTGGTTGAATAGATACACCATGTTGGTGTACTGGAGGAATAGATACACCATGTTGGTGTACTGGAGGAATAGATACACCATGTTGGTGTGCTGGGGGAATAGATACACCATGTTGGTGTACTCGAGAATAGATACACCATGTTGGTGTACTGGGGAATAGATACACCATGTTGGTGTACTGGGAGAATAGATACACCATGTAGGTGTACTGGGGGATTAGATACACCATTTAGGTGTACTGGGGGATAGATACACTGTGTAGGTGTACTGGAGGAATAGATACACAATGTAGGTGTACTGGAGAAATAGATACCTACACCATGTAGGTGTACTGGTTAAATAGATATACCATGTTGGTGTACTGGGGGAATAGATACACCATGAAGGTGTACTTGGGAATAGATACACCATGTAGATGTACTGGGGAATAGATACACCATGTAGATGTACTGGGGGAATATATACACCATGTAGGTGTATTGGGGGAATAGATACACCATGTAGTTGTACTTGGGAAATAGATACACCATGTAGGTGTACTGGGGGAATATATACACCATGTAGGTGTATTGGGGGAATAGATACACCATGTAGGTGTACTGGAGGAATAGATACACGATGTTGGTGTACTGGGGGAATAGATACACCATGTTGGTGTACTGGAGGAATAGATACACCATGTTGGTGTGCTGGGGGAATAGATACACCATGTTGGTGTGCTGGAGGAGTAGATACACCATGTGGGTGTGCTGGAGGAATAGATACACCATGTTGGTGTGCTGGGGGAATAGATACACCATGTTGGTGTGCTGGGGGAATAGATACACCATGTAGGTGTACTGGAGGAATAGATACACCATGTAGGTGCACTGGGGAATAGATACACCATGTTGGTGTACTGGGGGAATAGATACACCATGTTGGTGTGCTGGAGGAATAGATACACCATGTTGGTTTGCTGGGGGAATAGATACACCATGTTGGTGTACTGGGGGAACAGATACACCATGTTGGTGTACTGGAGGAATAGATACACCATGTTGGTGTACTGGGGGAATAGATACACCATGTTGGTGTACTGGTTGAATAGATACACCATGTTGGTGTACTGGAGGAATAGATGCACCATGTTGGTGTACTGGAGGAATAGATACACCATGTTGGTGTGCTGGGGGAATAGATACACCATGTTGGTGTGCTGGAGGAATAGATACACCATGTTGGTTTACTGGGGAATAGATACACCATGTTGGTGTACTGGGGGAATAGATACACCATGTAGGTGTACTGGGGGATTAGATACACCATTTAGGTGTACTGGGGGATAGATACACTGTGTAGGTGTACTGGAGGAATAGATACACAATGTAGGTGTACTGGAGAAATAGATACCTACACCATGTAGGTGTACTGGTTGAATAGATATACCATGTTGGTGTACTGGGGGAATAGATACACCATGTAGGTGTACTGGGGAATAGATACACCATGTAGGTGTACTGGGGAATAGATACACCATGTAGATGTACTGGGGGAATAGATACACCATGTTGGTGTATTGGGGGAATAGATACACCATGTAGTTGTACTTGGGAAATAGATACACCATGTAGGTGTACTTGGGGAATATATACACCATGTAGGTGTACTGGGGAATAGATACACCATGTAGGTGTACTGGGGAATAGATACACCATGTAGGTGTACTGGGGAATTGGTGTACTTGGGGAATAGATACACCATGTAGGTGTACTTGGGGAATAGATACACCACGTTGGTGTACTGGAGGAATAGATACACCATGTTGGTGTACTGGAGGAATAGATGCACCATGTTGGTGTACTGGTGGAATAGATACACCATGTTGGTGTACTGGGGGAATAGATACACCATGTAGGTGTACTGGTGGAATAGATACACCATGTTGGTGTACTGGAGGAATAGATACACCATGTTGGTGTACTGGGGAATAGATACACCATGTAGGTGTACTGGGGAATAGATACACCATGTAGGTGTACTGGGGAATAGATACACCATGTAGGTGTACTGGGGAATAGATACACCATGTAGGTGTACTGGGGGAATAGATACACCATGTTGGTGTACTGGGGGAATAAATACACCATGTAGGTGTATTGGGGAATAGATACACCATGTTGGTGTACTGGGGAAATAGATACAACATGTAAGTGTACTGGGGCAATATATACACCATGTAGGAGCATTAGGGGTAGATCAACATTATGTGTACTAAGGGAATTGACACACACTGTCCATTTGTATTAGGGGTAGTGCAGGTATTTATATTATTATTATATTTTTGTGTTGGATTGAGACCTCCTATGTTAGACAGTTTTCAATTGTTTTACATTGTTTTGTTAGGAGAGAAGTGGGCTCGAAGTCTTTTGAGGACCGGGATGCGATGCTGCGTCAGAGAGACAAGCACATCGTGGAGATGAGGCACAGCATGTCCAGCATGGACGAGGAGTGCTCACAACTCAAACAAAATACAAAGTAAGTCAAACGTCCAGGCAGCTGCATTTCATTTGTATGCAAGAATGACAGAATAATGACTATCAAGAATGTGTGCTCTACAACATTAACAGTGTTTTGGCATGTTATTTTCTACTATGATAAAGTTTCTAATAACAATAAACTCATAAAGATAGGTATGATGTGCTGACAGAACACGACTCATAATCAGGGAAACAGGTTGAACCAATAAACAGCAGATCCTGGCAGGGCAAGGCAGAGACTAACAATAAATTTCTGGTAATATATCATTTTGATGGAAACAAATTACTCTATTTTCCATTTGAATTGAAAAGGAACCCAAGTGAGATGGGAGTCCTGAACCAGAGGAATATCTAGACTGTCTTGTTGTTTTTGCATTAGAGGAAGATCTAGATGGAAGGGAAAATACTATGGTCAAGGGACTGATACAGACTTGTTTAAGCAATGGACTCTAGTCTCATAGCTTTTTGAGAGTTATGTCCCTTTGTTTGTTCGTGGCCTGTGGTAAAGTTGAATATCTAGTTAAGCATTATTTCATGTCTCTATCAGCCATGCTGTGTTTGGTTTCTTTTCATTTGTGTTATGTTACCATAGATACAGTTTGCGTCATGTCTGTCAAAGCGTTGGCAATGGTTTTGCCAACATTACCAATGAACGTCTGAATGCTATGTGATATAACTAATAAACTGTTCAAAGTAGCATTCAACCCAGCTCACACACTTGCTCAATCATTCAGACTGATTTGGTGAAATCTGATTTCTTTGTCCTCTGGTAATAACTTTTGGCAAGTTTCTCAAAAATGTGTAGTTTGATACATAGGACACTGTTAACAAGTACCAGAATACTTCTCAACACTTCATATGATATGATTTACCACTGATTTTGAACCCGTGAAGATCCAGGTTTAGAATTGATCTTCAGTAACCCATGCTTGTCGTAAGAGACGTCTGACGGGATTGGGTGGTCAGGCTTGCTGAGTTGGTTGACACATGTCATCGTATCCCAGCTGCATAGATCGATGCTCATGCTGTTGATCACTGGATTGTGTGGTCCAGACTTGATTATTTACAGACTGCCGCCATATAGCTGCAATATTGCTGAGTGTGGCTCTCACTCACTCACTGATTTTGAATTGTCACAAACTGCAATCATGGAGTTGGGCTAGGTGAGTCTAAAGCACTGTTGTTTGCTGTACAGAGTTACCTCCCTTCGTCAAGCTGGACTACTATGATTGTGGATCGAACCGTTTTTCCCTAATTATGTGCATAATAGGTTTGTCAGCCCCATAACCAAACTCGTAGGTTTCATCAAACTGGTAAACCTCTGAGACCCTTTTGGGTTTCCTTCAACATAAAGCTGACATGCAGTGAGTTGACTGGACTGCTGTCAGACACAGCATCAAACCCCAATTGCGTAGTAACTGTATTCATGCAAATATCCATGCTGTTTGTACTAGTGTTGTTGTTTTTTCAAATATTTTTATTCAGTTCAAGAGTATACATATACTAACATAGTCTTTATATACACCACATTGATTCAATCTAGATACATTTAAATGTCAAATATCTAAACGTCAAATACATAATCACATGTTATACCAAAAGATACACTGAGACTGGAACTATTGAAGCATATTCAGTTCAAGAGTATACATATATTAACATAGTCTTTATATACACCACATTGATTCAATCTACATACTACATACTAGTACTTTGTACTAGTTGATATCTCCTGTGTAAACTGTATGACGCAGTTCCTGTAAATGTCCGGCTGTTTTCAGGAAAGGCAAGATGGTGAAGTAAGCATTCCCTGTCATGTTGCCCACGTGTATCCCTGTGGTTGTCATGTGTCATGTTAGTTTGTCATGAATAAAGATGGATGAAAAAAGGGAACTTCCACAAAGAGAATCAGGAGTATGACATCAAACTTGTATGTACCAAGAACTACTATTCAGGGCCTAGATTTTCGAAGCTCCCTTAGTGCTAAGATAGTCGTAAGTGCCATACATTAACATTAACTTATGACTATCTTAGCTTTAAGAGAGCTTCATAAAATCTAGGCCCAGCTATATAGTGGTGTACATTTTGCTCAACATGTTGAGTAACTTTGATTTTTATTAATTATATGTATTAAACATGTTATGTAATAAGTTTACATGTTCCCTATTATCCCATCTTTATATCATTGATGAGTTGCACATGTCATGCATGAAATGCATATTTCATGAAAGAATTGTTGCTATCATGCATGTGTTTAACATATCACTAAAGAATCATGTTTATTTCATGAAAGAGTTCCATATCACTACATTCTGATGAATTGCCTGTATCATTATTGAGTTGCATATGTCAGTAATACAATGCTTGGATTTTTCCAGACCTACACAGAGGTAGGTATTCAGCTCATAGTTGGCAGTGAATAAAAATTCCACATCGGAATTAAACATGTCCTCATTCACGCTGTTATAGTCGTGTAACTGATTACTGGCACAGTGGAGAGAAAGATGCTTTATTGCTTATTCTCAACAATATAATATAGTATATAAAGTTAAAATTCAATGCTAACCATTTGTTGACAACTTCTGCTTTTTTTTAAAAATTGACTTTTAAAATATGTACCAGTTTTTAACAAAATAATTTCTGTTTTATAATTTGACTGCCAATTTTGAATTCCTGGATAAATCCTTGATGTTATGAATCGTGCATACTGTGATTGAGTTACATATATCAAACATATCATGAACATGATATATGAATTGTATGCATGATCATGATTAAATGAGTAGAATGATATGAGTTTTTATCTCATGATGCATGTCATGCATGCAGTGTATAATATTTATTTGCATCGGAATGATAAAGATGTTTCAAAGTAAAACTATTGTTCGTCACTTGATGATTTGATTGCTGAATGGCATGTTTACAGATGCACGTCACTAAGTAAGTAAACATTTTTCAGTGAAGGGTATTGTGTTCCTCTCTATTTTTGTGGTATTCCTGTGCAGACATGAGAATTTCGTATCTGTCAAAAGGATCAAAAGTCATTTATTTTGGTGAATTGTTTATATTTTATTAATATTTTTATGAGTTCATAAACTACTTATTTTTGTGTTTTGGTTGTTAGCAATTCAGTTGTTTATGGACATGTTAGCCTGTAATTCACCTCTAGTAGAATTAGATGGTACATAGAAATAGCAATCTTGTCAAGAAAGCATGCATCATGTTCTCTGGAGTATTTTGATATCATCGCTGAATAAGTGAGTACATTTCGATATTTGTATCAGTCAACCAATCGTAAATCTTATTCAGTACAGCTTTATATTTTTATATGAAATCAAGTATTTTATAATGTTTCCTTTCAATCTGTAGTTGTTTTTGCTGCTTACAAATAAAATTTGTGTTCATCAGTTTTATTTACTAGTTTATTTAACATGTGCAGATAGATTTCTGACTGCTCTGAGGTAGACATGTTTGAGGTGTCAGGACTGGACTCTTGTCATAAGTATTGATATGTGATCTAGCTTGATGGCACTTGGAGATCCAGGTTATGATTGGTCTTCAGGGCGGCATGCTAGCCTAGTAGTTAAAGCGTTCGCTCTTCATGTCGAAGACCCGGGTTCGATTCCCTACATGGGTACAATGTGTGAATTCCATTTCTTGTGTCCCCCGCCATGATATTGCTGGAATATTGCTAAAAGCGGCGTAAAACTAAACTCACTCATTCACTCAGATTGGTCTTCAGTGCCCCAGTCTTGTAGTAAGAGGCTGGAAAGGGAATGGGTCCCGAACTGCTGACTTGGTTTATGCATGCCATCATATCCCAGTTTGGTAGATCAATGCTTGTAGAGTCAGTCAGTGTATTACCTGGTTTACTGACTGTCGTCATATAGCTGGAATATTGCTTCATGTGGCATTGGGGGCAGTGGGGTAGCCTAGTGGTTAAAGCGTTTGCTCGTCACGCAGAGGACCCAGGTTCGAATCCCCACATTGGTACAATGTGTGAAGCCAATTTCTGGTGTCCCCGCCGTGATGTTGCTGGAATATTGCTAAAAGCGGCGTAAAACCAAAACTCAGTCAGTCAGTCAGTCATGTGGCATTGAACACACTTAGCAAACATCCAGTACTGCTGAAGGTGGACATATGTTGCTGGTATCTGTTTCTTCTGGTATTGCGTGTATTATATTGTCACAAGCAGTCCATGTTGATATCTGTAGTCCCTCGGTGGCAGATGGTGTACTTCCTTGTTCAGTGCCTGGAGCTTGTATCACAGTATCATGTTTTGTCCTTATATTTGTCTCATGTTTTTAAGTATCATGACCGATTCATAGACTGTCTAATTATAAGTTCAATGAAACTGAGAGACACTATTCATAAATTACACTTTGGATACATAATGTTTTGTCACCATCTCACCATCTCATGAAACATACCCTATTATTGTATGAATCAAGACATATTAATTTCATCATGAGCCAACAACTGTGTCTGACATAGTACAACACCTTATGCGAATAATGTTATTTGTAACATTACATATAACAGATATCATGATATATGTGTAACTGCCTCCGTGGTGTAGTGGTTAGAGCGTCCGCCTGGAGAGCGGAAGGTCGTGGGTTCGATCCCCGGCGCATCATACCAAAAGACGTTAAAATATGGTACTTGTTGGTCCCTGCCTGGCGCTCGGCATTAATGGGTACAACAAGGATTGGTCGGCTTGGAGTCAGTATAATGTGTCTGAGTGGGGTATTCATGCTTCACTGCAGCATGGTATCTCAGTGTACTAGCACTATAAAACCAGCTTAAGTCTGGGCTAGTACAAGCAGCCACACATACACATACGCATGGACGTCGTCATATGAGCGAAATATTCTCAAGCACGACGAAAAACCAAATTTCACCTCACCTCACATGATATATGTTGCAAATTGTTTATGAAGCCTATCATTAGTGGCATTTCTTTATAAAAGAAAGAAATTTGCATTTCTTCTATACAAATGTATCTTGATAAGTTATGAACCTCATTAAAAAACGATCATAGTGCTATCTGTTCCCTAGAAATATTTTCGGTCATGTCTTGAGGGAAGATTTTGTACATTTTCCTTCCACACATGGAGGGTTTTGTCAATATGCCTTGTCTTTTTGGAATATTTTATACACTGTGAATATCATCCAAGAATTGACCAATTGATGACCATGTCTACCAAGAACGATTTCCTTTGTCCATTGCATGCAAGAAGGATTCCCTCCTTTTCCGTTCTAATAGAATATATACACCATTTACCCTGTCTCCTCTGGTTTTTCCCTTGAAACTGTTCCTCTTAGATGGGTTTAACCTGTGAAGATCTGGGTTAGAATTGGTCTTCAGTAACCCATGCTTGCCGTAAGAAGTGACTAACGGGATCGGGTGGTCAAGCTCGCTGACTTGGTTGACACATGCCATCGTATCCCAATTGCGTAGATTTAGGCTCATGCTGTTGATCACTGGATTGTCTGGTCCAGACTCAATTATTTACAGACGCCATATAGCTGGACTATTGCTGAGTGTGGCGTTAACCTAAACTCACTCACTCATTCACTAAGATGGGTTTTACCATGTCATGTCATTTCAAAACAATTTTGTCCATTGACCATGTTGTCTTATTTCAGTCAGCTGACCTTGTCAGAGGTTTTGTCCTTTTGCCTTTTCCTCTTTGAAGATTTCATCCATTGATTTTGTACTAAAAGATTTTTTTGATCTGATCAGTATCTCTGGAAATGTTTTATTCACAGACTATGTTGTGAATTACAGGATTCAGGAAACAGAGCTGAAGACACAGCGGGAACAGCTCGTCATGTACCAGGACATGTTGGAAGTCAAAGCCCAGATCATCATGAAGCTCACCAATCAAATATATGAACTGGAAAAAGGCAAAGGACAAAACTCTGTGTCTCCCGAACCTAGTCCTACGTTGCCCACAGCGCCTGTGATAGTTCCCAATACCAAAGAGTTAGAAACATTAAAGGTAAGGTGATGTTTTTTTCATTAGTTTTTATGAGCATTATTTACTGTTGCTCAAAAGTTGTTCAATCAGGTTACAATATTCATGCTTGTAGTAAACAGTAAAGCTTTCAAAACAGTTTGTCGTTGATATGTGGGTCCTCCACTCATTACTTTTAATGTGACAATCATCTTGTCTGATGTAATTCCCTATTTTTATCATTAGGTTAATAATTGACATGCCTTTGCATGTATTTAGACTCACATAGAGATTTCTTATGATTATTTAAATGGATTTGTCATGGACTTTTATTTGCAATGCCTGCATAGTGCATCAACAAGTTTTAAGATAGCTCTTGGTTGATGTAATTAGATGAAATGAAATCTAACATTGTTTTCTTTAATATGTTTACTCTTTCAATGGGTGATGACAATTTTTAGTGTTTGTGTGTTATCTTGTTTGTTAAAATTCCATCCCAAATACTTTTGGAGCAAATAGTTACACAGCTTCCCATATTTCTTGTGTTTATCACAGACTTTAAGCACATATGATGCAGACTCAAGTGAGCTTAAATCTGGGCCAGTTTGTATGTTTTCTCTCATCCTGTGTCGTACCTACACAGTTTAACAGAAACATCTTATACTTGTATCCCACCAATGAAACTCAAATTTGTCCAGTATGTTCCATTTGGATTTTTCAAAATGGCCACCACAGCAGCCATGTTGATAAACCTTTTTTGGCCCATTACCTACCAAGTTTTGTTTCAAATGTAATGAAATGTTATAGCTGTGTTGTTGCTTGTGTAGCTCAACACATATGTTCGTGTGTCTTTCTGATCATATAGATTTGACCTTGACACTCTGATCAAGCTTCTAAATTCTCTCGCTGTGCATTTCCTCAAAGTGGACTATGAAGCAGAAATTGCACATGCTTTTTCAAACCAATATTGACACCCCAAACTTTTCATGATGGTCAAATTCGATCCTCCACCAAAATAATCTGTTCATTACTCTTGTTCTGAATGTAATGAAATGTGATTGTGTTGTTCCATCTATTCCAATATTTTAAATTTTGTCCATGCTCTTAAGTTCTCTCTGAAAGCATATTTGGCTTAGAAAGTTAAACTTTGGCATGGCTGTGTTTCTTCTTTTGTTGCTGTTTTGTATTGTTCAAATCATTAAATTGTGAGTGTTAGTTTATTCATCAAATGCAGAAAACAATGAATATCAGTGAGCACCTGTCTTTGTTTGGATTTTAAACTGTTGACTTCCTATCAAGGTGAGCTATAGTGAAGTGTCAGTTATTTTATAGAAAAATGGAAACTGGTAAGGATTCTAATGTTCTGGTAATATTCTGAACGTTCTTCTCCTTGAGTAGGATTCTTGCCATGCATATGAGCTACAGAACAAATTCCTCACCAAAGAAATACTGGAGTTGAATCAACTGCGGCAAAATGACGAGGCTCGAGAGAAGATGCTACTTATGTGAGTACCATTCTAGGACAGAATCGGTCCCAAGTACCCATGCACATCTGACCAACTATAGCCACTTTGAAATTATAGGGGAGGTGAGGTGAAATTGGGTTTTACGTCGTACTTGAGAATATTTCGCTCATATGACGACGTGCATGCGTGTGTATGTATATGTGCGGCTGCTTGTACTAGCCCAGACTGAAGCCTAGCCTCGCCTCGCCTCGCCTCGCCTCGCCTCGCTTCGCCCGCCTCGCCTCACCGCACCCCCACCCCCACGCGCTGTCAACCACTGGTTGGCATGATCCAGACTGGATTTTTAAATTCCGCCAGAATATGGCAACAGCTACCCTAGTTTTCATCATGTACCACCGGAATGTCGTGGTATTTTCCTTCCTCAAGTCTGCTATTATACTACTCACACTTTGCTAAGGATCACAAAAATTCCCAACTTTACTTAAACATAGATTTATAATTTGAAATTGTATCCATTTAAAACTAGATATATAATGATACGGTAACCCCTCTTTAGGCAAACAGCCACTTTAATCTAACCCTATGCACTTGATACATGAGTAACCATAAAACTGGTTGTCATGGCACCAATCAACCATTTTGCAAATCATAGAACGAGTCATTGACAAGTACACACCACCTGTCAAAATAGCAAGTATGGGATCCACAAGATGCAGTGACATACTGAAATCTAGGATATATGCTTACAATAAGCATAGATATGTGTAAACCACATTATACCCCATATCATAGTTTTCTGTTGAATCAGTGATTTGATCCTTAGCAAAGTGTGAATAGTATATTTATCAGGTTTCTTCACGGAACCTCAGTGTACTTTGTGCATGTTGGGATGATTGTATCACTGTTTTTTTTAATGGGTAATAGATTAGAATTATATAATAACTTCATGCAGGTGATTCAAACGTATTTTACTCGTTTGTTTCAAAGAACATCATTCCGAAGTTATTTTGATCAAGGTTATAACATTGAAGGCCTCAGTAAAGGCCTCTTTTCAAAAAGTTTGATGGTAGGCATGTGGAGGACATTTCGAATTTGATGCAACAGTGACAAAAATGATGTCCGATGCAATTCCCTGTTTTGACTTATACCATAGATTCCTGAATTATTCCTGCATGGTGGCAATCACTGTATTGTCTGGTCCAGACCTGATTTTTATACAAACAACATCATACAGCTGTAATACTGCTGAAACAAATAGCTGCTGATGATATAATCACAATTGTACATTCGACTCTGCTTGTAGCAGAGATTTCTTAAGAATGTGGAAAGGGTTTTGTCTCTTCTATTTTGTTAATGATTTTGTGGAAATTTATTGTGGAAGGGATACTCATGTAAGTGTTTATGTTGAGGTAATTTAAAATATTCTTTTCTTACTACATGCAGTGAAAGCAGCATTGATGTGCTCTCTGATATAAGTACACTATTGTCATATGTTGACCAAGATCTGTTTCATATTCTAGAAACTATGCAAAACTGGAAGCCGATTACTACAAGACCAAAAGCCGCTACCTTATCCTGTTGAAGGAAAACCAGACTCCGGTCATGGGTGAGTGTACAGTGTTCCTTACGTTGTGTTTCTTAGAGAACAGGGCAGATGTTACCATGGTTACCAACCAGTGGGGATTCAGGGTAAGAACTGGTTCTCAGCAGCCTGTAGGGGCAGTGGGGTAGCCTGATGGTTAAAGCGTTCGCTCGTCACGCCGAAGACCCGGGTTCGATTCCCCACATGGGTACAATGTGTGAAGCTCATTTCTGGTGTTCCCCGCCGTGATATTGCTGGAATATTGCTAAAAGCGGCGTAAAACCAAACTCAGTCACTCACTCACTCACTCAGCAGCCTGTACAGGGTTCTTGATCTCTCAACATTTGGGACAAAAGGGGTGGCAGGTTTCTAGATGTTGGGTATCTTCCAAGTTGCGATACTTTCACTTCAATCATGTTGAGGTTTAAGGATTGTTGCTTCTGTGTGGCCTTGCTTGATCTTGAAAACCTTGATGATCTTGTACAGGTTGGGATGAGGCGAGGCCATGATCTTTCTCAACTTATTGTGCCAACCCTCTACATGGTCGTTGGTTCTGGATTTTCACAACCATGCTTATTTTGAACAAACTCCACATGTACTTGTGCATTTGCCATGATAGCATTTGTGACTGATAGAATTCCATTACCTTTATATATATCATCATTTGAATTAAATTGATTATTAATGTGATCTCTGAAAATTGATGAATATTGTTCTGAGGTATCATATAATGATTGACAATGATTGGTGAACTGGATCAGTCTAATTAAACTTAGGCTCAGTATTATACGTTACATTGCTATACCAAGAGGTTAGCTGACGCTACCTTGTACTAGGGTTTGTTAGACTCAGTATAGCAGTGTAATGAATAATACAGTCTTAGTTTACTTAGACTGTGAACTGGGTAGATTGGTGAACATGTGTGACACTGATAGGGAAATTAGGATTATAGCAACAGTGAGAGACAGCTCACTGGGACAGTTTACCTGGAACCGCTACCTACTTTGATGGGTGAGTTCATCTCAGGACTAGTCTGCATGCCTGATGATGGGTGTGTTTGTGTGTGTGTGTGTTCATCCATTTTGTTCTGGGGAGGTAGGTGGGTCATCAGTTTTGTACACATGCACTAGGGTGGTTAGCAACCTTGTACATAAAAATATAAAATTATGCTTAATAATGATGGGAATGGGATGGGGGAAGGGGGAGTTCTGCATCCATTCTCTTTATTTGTGTGTACTGAACACTCATTCTGTGTGTTGTGGAAAACCTGGTAGGCTGATTGGATGGTCAGGGTAGGTGACCTGTTGATTTTGTATCAACATAAGGTGACTGTGTGACTTTACTGATAATATCAATCATTGTATACCAGATCTAGATTCCATTATTTACAGACCTTAGGCATATTGCTGGAGTGAGTGAGTTTAGTTTTATGCCGCACTCAGCAATATTCCAGCTATATGGAGGAGGTCTGTAAATAGTCCAGTCTGGACCAGACAATCCAGTGATCAACAGCATGAGCATTGATCTGCATAATTGGGAACCGATGACATGTGTCAACCAAGCCAGAGAGCCTGACCACCCGATCCCATTAGTCACCTCTTGCGACAAGCATGGGTTACCTGAAGGCTCATTTTAACCCGGACCTTCACGGATCTGGAATAAGTGAGATCAACAATAATCACAATAAAACTTCACTGATAGTTACATGTTAAAAGTGAAATAAGTAAGAACAATGCATAGTCAGAGTCGTCTGATTATGGGGGGCAGTGGGGTAGCTTAGTGATTTGGGTTCAATTCCCCACAATGGTACAACGTGTGAAGCCCATTACTGGTGTCCCTTGCATGAGATTGCTGGAATATTGCTTAAAGCCGCGTAAAACCATACTCGACCACTCACCTTATTCAAGTTATTATGATGTGAATAAGACATACATAAATGTTACAAAGAAGAATATTCATCACACATCTCTTCTTTTTATGTGCACAAGTCCCTTCCCATTATACATAAGTATTAATCGAAGATCATGGGCCAGAGTGAGCGAGTCATCTTTTGTTGCTGCTTTTAAAAATATTCTACAAATATCACAGTGGTCTCCACTAATTGAACCCAGGTTTTGGGTGTGACACTCTGTTGAGGAACTCATCAGATGTAATTTCCGAGACTCAACTAATATCCAACTGGATGCACTGGTCTTCCTGCACTATTAAAGCACAAATAGCTGCTACATTAAGCTAGTATCCTTCTTCCTACCTCCGCCATGCATGCCCTAGTGGGTACCACGCCTTTCAGCGCTTGACTTTTTGGTTTGCCATGATTATAAAACAATAAAACAGCATCTTGTGATAACTCAGTATTATGGAATCTGGATCACCAGACCACACGCAGTTTCCTCATCGAAGGTCATTGCTCCCCAGACCGACGATAACGAAGCTTCTAAGCCGGCGCTCGCTGGCTGACACCTGAACTCCAGATCGCCTTCATATCTAAAAGACTCAGCAAGGGATTACACAAGAGCTTCTCACAAGGCTATCAGTCCCTCATAGATCGCCAAGAAGGTCAACCCTATCGATATAGATCACCAAGATTTATCACCTCGCCGGGACAATTACCACGCCGACACTCACAGTGTCTGCACACTAAGCTCTACAACTAGATCTCCACAAGCTGCCAAACGATATAGAGATAGAGCCACACAGCCCTACATCAGAAGAGCAACAAACTTTATCTATGATGATGGAATGGAAGATGATGGAGGGAATACTCTCAGATGCAGATACAAGATATTGGATGGTCATTAATCTAGATCTCTTCATCACCTTCCAAGAGTGGCAATAAGCTAGACTTATCTGATGAAAGAAGATGACGAGATGCTATTACACTAATACCCACCACCTCGACAGGGCGGTAGTACCTCAGAACCTAGATACAGCATTTAACAAAGCCCAAAGGTTCAGACGCTACATCTGCTAAACTCAGCCAAGCAGTTTCCACGCAGATAATATGGAACCTTTCTTCAAAGCAAGACATCGATGAGAAACTATAAGCTGATCTCCGATGCCAAGAACAAGTACACAAGATTGATGATCGGAAATTGGTCCAGATAGAAACCATGACAGGCGTATGTTCTTCTTCGGGCTAGTCCAAATAGATCTAGAACAATAAATGACTTATCTCCAGATTTCTGAACACTCCACCTCTTGACAGAATGATTTACTCGGCCCTACTGATGCAAAAGAAGGAGTTTTAACAGATCATCTGACGCCTGTCTCAGCACGACCTTTTAGCTCGTCAGCCAAAGCTTCCTGCAACTGGGGTGAGAATCCAGCTCCACTATATACAGCCCCCTGTCTTCCCCTACCATCCACGGAGGAATAGACACAGTCTCCAAAGAAGTCACCAAGGATTCTAGAGAAGTCCTGATGATTAAATCGATGGACACGCTAGCCAGTGTCATTCGACAGACTTCACAAAGATACTCAGGGAGATCTAAATTCACGGGCCTACAAAGAGCTAGAGACAGGAAGATTGCCAGTTCCAGGGGAAGAGATTCTTTTCACCATATGGCAATATAGAGGAGGGTCAATGACCACAAGTGGGTGGACGCCTTCAACTACACTGGGAAAACTGGGGAATACTTCAAGACACCTATGTCTCCAACATTCTTCTTCAACGCTGATTTCAGATCCCACTACAGGCCAAGCCTCCACTAACAGTCAACCCTCACAAGTTCGAGGTAGAGGCACAACAACTACTAAAGTTAAGAGAGGCGGTTACATTACTCCTAACCAAGCAGGCCATAGAAGTAATAGAGCAAGGAAACATCGAACCAGGTTTCTACTCCCCAGTTTTCCTAGTACCCAAGAAGAACTCCAAGGAGAAATACAGACTCATTTACAACATGAGCTTCTTGTCTATAAATGATCTACAAGATGGTGTGACCTTCACCTATCAGATGCATCAGCCCCATGGTTATTCACTTATGATAATCTAAACCGAATTTCGACGACGGGATACTGATCCACAGCAGCGACATACAGCTGGGATGGTTAGTAAACTTACACGTGCTTCCACTTAGTACCATCGCAAGATCTGCAATTCCTGGTACTGAAACTATGGAGTATGATGTCTTTAACAATGTATAAATATGTGTACCTATATAGAGGTCTGATGCATCCTTCTTTAACACAAGTATTCTCAGTATCTTTGTACAAAATCCTTTAAGTTTTCCCACATTCTTTGAATTGATCTTGACAAGACATCAGTATGTTCCCACCATATGAGCAATGTAAAATCACTAATTGGTACTCACCCGGTTACCTCCCCTGCCCGTGGCGGGAACGAGTGTCGCCACCCTTCTACAGGATGTGAGGCGCCTGTGTCTCCTTACACACTATATCCTTTGGTTTTTCGCACCTTTTACCAGTTTACTATAAAGGTATAGCTAATCCTCCTTCCATTAATAGTGTCATTATTTCTACTGTTTATTCCGCGTGAGTTCATTGATTGTTCCAGCTAGTTTTACATTGATGAAAAACTGTACTATTGTTGAATTGCGTTTTCCGCTGATCATGCGGTATGCCCTAGTTGTACAATTAGCGTTTGACTCACGTTACTGATTACTGCATAGAATTTAACCAATTCTGCCTTTGATAAATACCATCTTTCGCGTCTTGAATTGCAGATAGGTCGCAAACTAGGTGTCAACGTCCAGATTGCCCATCCAGTCAACTGCTGTCAGTGATGAGACCCCCATGGGAAGAGGGGCGTGGGATGCAGTCCGTCACCTCTAAAACCCGACCTCTCCAGACATCCAGTCAAAGTCATGCCACATTCCCAGGGCAGCGCCAAAGGAAATCTGAAGTCATACTTTCTCCAGGCGAGATCGTTCCAGCGCTTAGAATTAGGCCTCTGATGACCAGCCTATCATCGCCGACATAAGCATCTAGTGGCGTCAGCGAGATCAACAAAGCAGCCTGATGCCTCTACACTGATGTGCGATGCTCACGCTAACTTACAGCAGAAA